TGGTGGTGTAACCCTGTCGGTCCCAGGTAACTTCGTGCTTGTCGAGATCCGGGCCCTGACTCTCTGCTTCAACGTCTTTTCTTTATTTATTTCAGGATCAATTAACGCGTTGCCGAGCCCTCTGGTTTTATTCTCACCAGGTTGTGGCTCCGAACTTGCTCTAATCGCGAAGTCTTTTGACTGGCCTGGTGTGTTTGCCTCTTTGCTTATCGTTGTCACTACACCAAATTTGTCCATGGTTCCAGTCTCTCTTCCGACGTGTGTCTCAATCTCCTGGATCGAACTATTGAGGCTGACTTGAGATCCAAATTCCCCTTGCTCCTCTTCATCCTCTTCCTTCTGGGTTTCAACTTCGTTCACCGCACCTCCTCCCATGGTGAATGGAAAGATGTTTCCGAAGGTGTTCTTCATTCTTTCTGAGAACGATGATGACGTTGTTTGTTTCCCAGTTCCGCCTGCCATCATAGTGTTGTCTGTCGGAGATCTTCTCGTTGCCGCTACTTCAGTTGAGATGTCGGACAGTTCCGACATCTCTTCCCGATCCAATGTCCCGGTGGAAGTGGCAAAATCATGGCCTTGTTCTACCGGGGTAGATTCACTCGCCAGCCTTCTGCCTCTTCCTTCCAGTCCATTTACTTCCTGGTTGTCATTCATGGTCTGGTCCGTATTGACCTCCACTTCTAACAGTTCTCTTCGCTCTTCTGAGGTCTTCTGACTTCTCGTTTCAACCATTCTGCCTGAAACCGTCCCCCTTTTGTCAGACCGGGATCGCTTGATCCAATCCACAAAAGGATCGGTCATCGTTTTTCTTTGTTTCTCAGGTATGAATTTCCTAGAGCTATTACCTCGTTTTGGTATCCTTGACTTGTCTAGACTCATTCTCTATTTGTCACTTTCCAATGCCTACTCTTGACTCAATTGCTAGAGACCTTATAGTTTTATTAACAATAATAATGACCCAACACAATTAATTTCACCAGATTCTATTAAATAGTGACTACGAATCCCTGTATGTTGTCAGAGTACAGTTTGTATAAAATTTATTCACACTAACCGATTATCGGTCCAAAGATCTGGAAACTAGCATAATATGATGTTATCAGTCAATTTAAAAGATAGTGTATTCACTACCCAATCAAGCACAGTTTACGTTGATTTAAAATCAAAAACAAAAATATATATTGACACAATATGAATGTATATATAAAAAAACGTATGTGTCTTGTATTCTTAGTCGGTCGCAGTACAATAGTCAAACCTGTCTTTTAAAGAAAAAGCTTTTCCTGCTTGGTGCTGCACCAAACAGACAAAACTTTGAAGGCAGTAATTTTCTCAAGTGGGCGTCTATTGCACCCACCGAGTACTGTGTTACCTATCTGCCTTCGGACTGCCCGAGCTAGACCTACTAAAATCCTCAGGGCAGTCGCTTTTCCCAAAAACGTATTATGTTTCAATCCACACCAATGAGTCACGCTCTTTTTAATTTAGACTTAGTGTCGCGAATATCCGAGTTCGGACCTGTTTTGTATTAGTCTGGTTCTTTTTGAAAGGCAAGTTACCAGTGCAGTCACTGATACCTAGCCTGTGTATTAATAACCTAATACTTCTCGCTTTTTAGTCTTTCTTTCGTTTACCTAAGTCCTTAATAAAATAATACCCCTCCGGATTGGCACAAATAGGACCCTTCCGGATTGATAGAATCTAGACCCCTCCGGATTTGGACCCCTCTGAGTTGGTTGATACAAGACCCCTCCGGATTCGGACCCCTCCTAACTTGAAAAATCTTTGACCCCTTCGGATTGGGAGCCCTCCGGTTTTGTAAAAGTGGCTTTTCGGAGATTTCCTTTTTTCAACCTATACCCCTCCGGATACGTTCTCCGATGCAATTATGCTCTTTCAATTAACTGGGAAGGGTATGTACTACCTTCCTAGACCCTTCCGGATTGAAGTTAAGCCTCTTATTTGACAATTCACGCTAACGGTGAAGGGTCTTATCGCTGGCCCTACTTCGGCTCGATTAAGCTTTTGCTGTGCCTTTAGCCCTCCCTTTTGGCCTAGAACGGCCTAAAGTTACTTTATTCAACCGCTATTACCTTTTGGTAGGGGTCTAAGGGTTTTTCAGAAAAATTTGTAAAACGTGAAGGGTGTACCCCTCCGGATTTGTGTAATTTGCTAAAAACAATCTCAAAAAATTTTCTCGCTGGCTTTTTCGAGTAATTCTCTTTCCTACTAGTAAGTTCAGCTAATTTCTGATCTAATGGTACCAATATTAACCGGATCTGTCCAGCTGTCGAAAAGTTATTAGCCAAAACGTCTTTCTTGCAAACTCAAAAAATTTCTCATTTATAGGTTCCACCTAACTTTTTCCGCAATTCTGGTCCTTCCGACCTAAAAATTATTGATCCGAGCTCAGAAGGCCTATACTCTTCTAGTTCAATTCAAAAGACCCGATCTAAAACGCTTTGGCAGAAAAAATTTGCGAAAAACTATGCTACCTGGACCCCTCCGGATTGATGAATCCACCAAATCAAACACGTTATGTTCGATTTCTCTGTAACCCGGAAGGCTTTCGGGTAGCGGGTTTTAAAACTCGTAGATTCACTAGTGGACGTTGTCCGAACAACTAATTTTACTGTCGTAACTCAAAAATTTCAAAAAATTTTCTAAATTTATAGTGTTCCGTTTTCTCAAAAATCACGAAAATTCGGTTTTTGGTTCCAAAATAGTTCCAACCACTTTCGAACTAAACTTAACCGGTTCTATCTATTATGGTAGTGCAGTTACGTTGTAACACACTAACTTAGCGCTTTTTTACGTTTCAAAAAATATCGATATCTCAAAAATCGCGACTTGTGGGGGGATCAAAATATCGCTATTTTGACCCTAAAAACCGGTCTGTTTTCGTTGTTTTTCACTGAAAAACGATATAAGACTAATAATATAGGCTATATAAATAATAATATTAGTAATAATATACCCCTCCGGGTTTCCTCAATATCCGAATTAAGGTGCTTAACTCGGATATTCGCAGTTCGGTGAAGGGTCACTACAGTGCAGCACTGTCGAGCCCCCCACAGATTACTATCTTACTTTTTGTACCAAAAGGGCTACAAAACTTGTTAACGATACCCAACAGTCGATTGTTGTTGTCGTTGAGCCCCTTCTTGTTGCTCCTTGTACTGCTTGCCGGATCGGTCTTCACCCAAGACCCTTCCGAATTGAGCGCAAATCAGCTGACCCTTCCGGATTGAGCGCAATTTATCATTAACGTGCTTAAATGCTCAAATAACCCTACAGTACAAGCCTCACAAACGGGCTACAAAACTGATCGTAACGATCCTGACTGATATAAATGCCTGTAACAACAATATATCTATCAACAACAAACGGGGGTTCGGATCACATCTTGTCTGGGGGGATGATTTCTACTGATTTTTTACTTTTTTACTGTTTTTGGTTTTTTCGGCAATTTTTTATGTTTTTTGTTTTTCTTGGGTACTATACTACTTTTTGTTTGGTTTTACTTATATCTTTAAGTGATTTTGGTCACAAACCACTCAGGGGATGAGGGAATGGCCGATCCCCCCACCCTTCCTGGTTCGTGAATTTTCGGTCTTAACTAAGTTAAAAAGCTATTCACGGTAATCCGGAGGGCTTCCGCGCTCCGAACTACCCCTCCGCCCCCGGCGGTTTAGGCCTAATAAGGGCGTTAGTGTGAGCATCCGCTCGGCGCGGAGTGCTCGTTAACGGTTCTGCCGGTCATGATGTTAAAAAGAATAACACCCAGAAGCGCCATAAAAACATGTATGTAACATTCGCCCGGAAGATACATATCGACGGATAACAAAACTAAGTCTTAAGACGACTGGCTAACGTCTAAACAGAGCTTTGCATGCTTTTCACCGTCTCTACCAAGCCAGTACTTTTCGGTGGTCTTTCTAACATCGGGTCGACAAAAACGTTACTGTTCTCCGGCTTCGACCAGAACGCTCAAGTTAACTTAATTACATGCAAATAGTGAGCTCACGGCTGGGTCTCAGTATCCCCAGACCACGAGGTCACTCCTAAAAACAGGGTTACTACTTATTATATTACTATTGTTTTTGTTCAGTAGATAAAAATCATCATCTCCATCGAAGATGGATCAACCCTTTCCCCCAACTCCTAGCTTCTCATCCTTATCAAAATGAATCTAGATATTAATTAAATTCAAGTCAGGACATGACAGGAAGCTAAAAGTTTATGCAACAGGATAAAAGTTCTAGTTCCTTTACCCTTCCGGATTGACGAATCCGCTGAATCAAGCTCATTAATCTTGATTTCCTCCTAATCCGGAAGGCTGTCTCTTACCCTTCACCGTTGTTCGCAACGGCCTTGCAACTATTGTAGCAGCACAATAGTTGCAACTCGGAACGTTCTCTGCAATCTGCTGCTGTTTTTCAATCACGATTGTCGTTGCTATCGTCAGCGCAACTAATGTTGTTGTTGTGTTTTCTCTCTCGTTTTTTGTTAAAATGGCCGTTTCAGCATTTCTCAGAAATGTGACGTCATCATTCGAATTTTTGAAATTTTAAAATACTAGAATATTCCAGCCCTCACCGTCTGGCCAAACGTTCCAATAACGCTCTTAGTTCTTAAAAACCACCAATCCGGAAGGCTTACTGCTAAAATTCCGAATTCTGCACAAATTGCATTTTGGCCATTCTGGTCGAATGTCACAAATGTTCGACAAAAGGTTTTTTATTTGTTGTTGTTGTTGTTGTTGGGGATTCACAGCACTGCTGTTGGGATTCTTGGTCCCGGCGTCTTCTCTAAAACAATGTCCACTTGTTTCTGCACGTGATACAATCACAGAATAATTGCCACGTGCACGTTGTCATTTCTGAAAATCTCTCGTTTACAAATTTCCACATCGTGTTTAAAATTCTCGTCTTGAGGCCGATTCGTTTATCAAAATGAATATATGGTTCTAATCGATTTACCGATTATGGTTTCTCGCTTTTTCCGTTCTCACTTTTCGCATCTCAAAAATTTCTGTATTTCTAGCCCGTGTGGTTCGCCTGTTTAACACTATTTCATTTCGTTCATTAGAATCAAGACTGGCAAGAAGTAAGATGTTATTTAGCTGGATGAACATGGGCAGGGGTAAAATGTTTAGCAAGCGTAGTTCGTTGATGTACACTCCCGTTTTATTTCCAGTGATCCAACGGATTACTTTCTTTTGAAATCGCTCCAACTGCAATTGATCCCCCCTCGATATATGTGTACATGAGAGTCCGTATAATAACACTGGGAGTATTAGTGACTTATACAGACCTAACTTTACAAACGTATTTATCTTTGCTGATAGGTTTCTTCTCAGGAGGTACAGTACTTGGTTTGCCTTCTTTAATCTTGTTTCAAAGTGTACCTTCCAACTTAAATCGCCCGTGTACCTTCCAACTTTCTGAGTCTATTTAAAGATACAATACAAAACGATACTTTTCCCGATACTCAAAAGCTATTTTCAGAAAAAATGATACCGATACCACTTAAGCAGTAAAAACGATACCGATACCGATATTTCAAATTAGATGCCCGATACGATGTCGGTATCGAAGTCGCTGGTCGTGACGAGAAGAAACAGAGAAGATCGAGTGGACCAGAGTGAACCTTCGGTGGAAAGGTGGACAGCTGAAGCTGCCCAATAGTCCAAACAGAACACTTGTGTCTTGATTCAAAGCTTATTCACTTCAAACTTCTTGAGTTAAACTTGATTACCGAATTAACTCTAGAGTTGCTTATTAATTTAGTTACTCGATTCTAGAAGTCGTGTCAGTATGTAAGTAACCAATTTAAATACTTGAGTGTGTTTTGACCTAAGCATGGGGGCGTTCTTATTTCTGGATTCGGGGGTATTTTAGTAGAAACCTTTAAGCCGTAACGCGGACTGTAGTCTCATGTCGCAAGTGAACCGAATTGGCTCCGAACGTTTGAGGTAGAAAAACACAAGAGATAGTGTCCCTGACTCTTGAGCCAATGGTTATAGGGCCTATTTTTCTTTAACCTCATATGTGACTTAGGTAGGCGACTGTTACATTTAATTTATTTTAGAGGTTAAAAGTATTATAATCTAAATAGTAATTTTAGAAGTCAAATGTGATTGGCTAATTTCTTACATGTTGGTTTAGAACCAAAAATGTATGTAAATTATTGTAAATAACATTTGTAAATTGATGTTTAATTGACATTTAGATTAGTTTATTGGAAAAATCCTGATGATGCACATAATTGCGAAAACGTGTGAAATTTTCTTTTTTATCAAAATCTCTGCAGCTGGTGTACTTATCTGATAGACCCGTAGCCTCATCAGGCTAATCTTTTTGATTTTCTTTCAACTCCGGTTTGTTGTGCGCAGGTGTTACAATTCGGTTACAATGATAACTTTGGACCTTATTTACAAAAAAAAAGCTAACAGAAGAAAAAAAATTCTTTTTTCAGACACTTAAGTTTAATTAGCCTGTTTTTGTGATCTCGAAAATAGCTGGTTGATGGGCAGATTATTCACAAATAAATTAATTGCAATATGAGTTTTCAGGTATTATACGATCTTTGACTGAGCGGAAGCATAATGTCACATTGCTTACAACAAATATGTGCTCCGAACTGGTTGAACAGTTTGCACCTAATGTGGCGGCTCTTCACGAACTTCAAGTCATCCCGGAACACGATTTCTCAACGAATGTCGTAGCACAGTTCTGGAAGATACACTACATTATGCATGCAAACGGAACCGTTCTTTTGTACCACGCCGTCGATGATTTTCTGAAATCGTCGGAAGTCGTTTTCGATGGTATGTTCATTGATTTGGTCGCAAATGGAGCAGCCATAGCGGCCAAAAAACATAAAATTCCTGTTGTCACTCAGTTCATGGGGCCGATCATGGAACCCTACTCAGAGAAGCCTCTTTATTTCGATAGGCACGAAATCCCCACCGAGACACCGTGGGTGCGTAGTTTTCAAACTGATTATATTAAAAATTGTTAAGATAGGCTAATAGGAAGAAGTTATGAAACTTAATTGTTTTGTTCAGGAGAAACCGAGTCTGCTTATGGCATTGATGAGTGCTTTCTTTAGCGGTGTTTATGATCTTGCAATTTCGTACCCCATCTACCGGTCAGTCAATCTAATACACGCGGAAAATGGTTGGGATAAGGTTGACTACAATAATGGACTGTGGCCTTTCAGTTACACTCAACAGTTCTCCATGTACATAGCTCACGGTGCTCAACCAATTATTCATCCGAATGGATTCAAAATGGAAAACGTGATTTCAATTGGTAAGGAAGTTTTTTAGTTGCCTCGCAAAGTTAGAAGAAACTCGAAGAATTTATGTGAAGAAATTATGTGAGTTTTCAAGCTACACGGCGTGGTGGTTTTTCAAGCTAAATTTTTTTTACCTTGAAAATAGCTTGTACATGGTCAAAAAATGGTGGTCATCTGACTTCGTCAGCGAACAGATAGTTTTTGAGCTTGACTGCATTTTAAATGCCCGTTCAATGCGATTTTTTTATGTTACGTGTAAATTTATCAACTCCGTCAATATACCAGTTTTTTCTTTTTAAGGAGTCGAAGAACGTATTTCAGTTTTTTGTATAGGTCGTGATGGTTTTTTTCTTTTTTTTTCAGGCTCAAATATACTTTTCCGCGATTTGACTATTGATTTCTTTTAATGTTCAGTTCAATTATTTTGTTAAAAGCAAGGAAAAATCCACTATCGAACTGCTAAAGTGTAAATATCACGAAAAACCTGATCCACTTCTAGTTTCGAAAGTGGAATTTAATTTTCAGATTTCCCATCGAAATAAAAATTGTTTTTTTGATCCAGTTTTCTAAAATTGGGTTTATTTGATCAAAATAGTTCCATTCATGAATTGCTCTAGTAATTCAAAAAGCTTTAAGGGCATCTATTTTTTCTTCGAAAATCTAAAGTTGAGATTTTCAAGGTAAAAAAAAATATATTTTTTTGCTTACTTGCGTTCATTGACTCTTTTCTACCTGTACGTTGACTATATATATATTTTTTCGGCTTAAAAGGTTTTGACTTGTAATATATCGGCTTAGAGGCTTCTTTTTCAGTCGTTTGAAGAACTAAATTGTTTCATCTAAATGCGTTGATGGGGATTCGGCGCAACGTGTCTGCTCAAGAATTGTCGGTTTTGTTACCGCCTTATAAGTTCGTTTCGATGTTTATGAAACAATTAAATGTCTTACTGTTTAGCATATTTTCTTGAAAAGATTTTTTATACAAGTCGCAATCAAGACAAATGTAAGAAAAGTTTGGTTAGATCGTATTTCAGTTTTTGTATAGGTCGTGATGGTTTTTTTTCTTTTTTTTTTCAGGCTCAAATATACTTTTCCGCGATTTGACTATTGATTTCTTTTAATGTTTAGTTCAATTATTTTGTTAAAAGGAAGGAAAAATCCACTATCGAACAGCAAAAGTGTAAATATCACGAAAAACCTGATCCACTTCTAGTTTCGAAAGTGGAATTTAATTTTCAGATTTCCCATCGAAATAAAAATTGTTTTATTGATCCAGTTTTCTAAAATTGGGTTTATTTGATCAAAATAGTTCCATTCATGAATTGCTCTAGTTATTCAAAAAGCTTTAAGGGCATCTATTTTTTCTTCGAAAATCTAAAGTTGAGATTTTCAAGGTAAAAAAAAATATTTTTTTTTTGTTTACTTGCGTTCATTGACTCTTTTCTACCTGTACGTTGACTATATATATATTTTTTCGGCTTAAAAGGTTTTGACTTGTAATATATCGGCTTAGAGGCTTCTTTTTCAGTCGTTTGAAGAACTAAATTGTTTCATCTAAATGCGTTGATGGGGAATCGGCGCAACGTGTCTGCTCAAGAATTGTCGGTTTTGTTACCGCCTTATAAGTTCGTTTCGATGTTTATGAAACAATTAAATGTCTTACTGTTTGGCATATTTTCTTGGAAAGATTTTTTATACAAGTCGCAATCAAGACAAATGTAGGAAAAGTTTTGTTAGATTGATTTTTCGATATTTTTTGAAAAATATTGAGTTTTTCTTCGGCCTCTTCTGCTATCTTGCCTTGAATTTCTACGGCCTCATATCTGTCGGTTACCTTGTCATTTTATGTTCGTGTTGTATTCGAAAAGTGAGCAGCTTCGTTTAGCCACTGTTTGTAAAATTTCTGCAGGTAATTCATTTCCAAGATTTCGGATTTTGCAATTTTCCGATTTTTTTGAAATGTTTTGAAGTTTTTCGATTTCGTGGTTCATGTGCGAGTAGTGAAAGTCATTCTCTTTTTTATCACAGGTGGTGAGCAGTTTTGCTTCGCCACTGAATTAAAGCTTTTTTGGTCGTGATTCTAGTTCCAATGAGTAATTATAATGAAAATTTCACTTTCGAAAAAAACTGGAGAAAAAAATTAAGAACATTAAAAAACTGGAGAAAAAAATTAAGAACATTACATTTTTTCAATGGTAAAAACAGCGTCTGCGGCATACTGAGGAATGTGCGCTGCGACCGCCTTCTCTGGGCTAAATATTGATTTTTGGCCTTATATTGGGGACTAAGAGGGTTACCTTTTAAATAATAAAGTCTAACATAAAAATAGTTGGAATTTTGTAATAAGTGGTTTTAAAGATTAAATTCACCTTGGTATTGTATCGCTAAAAAGCTCCCAAATGTTACGGTTTATATTTTGAATTAAAAGTCACCGACCTAATTTTGAAAACTTTGAATGATTTGTCTATGTTGGAGCGAAGTTGCAGTAAAATCTAATTAAGATCTCAAATGAATTCATGGAATTGACAAAATTATCTTCGCGTGTATTTAGTTTTTGCTCTGCTGGAAAACTTTTTTTTACTCCTAGAAAACTAGTTTTTGAAGGTTCCTTTGCGCTTCCTTGGAATTGCAAGGATCTATTTACAGTTTCTATTCATTTTTCGTAGAGGGGTCAGAAGTGGTAGCATATTAAAGCATAGTGTATCATAGCAGGAAACTATTCGATTTTCGCAATTTCTTTTGTGGATTTCTTCTTCAATCAGGTTTGAACATTCTGGGCTACTTGCTCAGCAGTCGGTTATTCTTGTTTTTCTTTAATTTTGGATGCTGTTGTTTCTAATGGCTTCTGTATTTTAGGCTTTGTTCCTGACAAGTTGATGTACTCGGAGTTGACTCGGGAGCTGACTGATTTTATAGAACAGGCCGATGGGCCAGTTATTTTCATCAGCATGGGCACAGTATTTATGAAGAATGCAGACGAATTGATAAAGTTCTACGAACAGCTGAAGAATCAACGGAACTTTTATTTTATTTGGGCTGTAAAGACAGCGATGATTGAAGACCTCGGAATAACGACAGAACGTTAGAATGGTTTCAGTTTTTTGTGTTATTGAGCGCAAATATTGCAGATAAATTTTTACCGGGTTGCTGGGCATTAAATGATAGATTACTTTTAAATTTCGAAGTTTTTTCAGTTCATGGTAAAATTTCTGCTTAATTGTGTTAGAACACCCTGACCGTATTCAAAATTGTTTTTTTTTGCCGCTAAAATTTATAACTGTTTAGCCGTCAGCAGTGAGCGTCTGTTTGTTGGGCGATATCTTCCACAGGGGAAGATTCTGCAACACTCCAAGGTGAAGCTGTTTGTCACCCACTGTGGCTCTAATTCAGTTCAAGATAGTGTCTATGCCATGAAGCCCATGATCACTCATCCCGGTTTCGGAGACCAGGTGTACCTTTCTAACATCATTCTGAAGTACGGACTGGGAAAATACATGGTCAATTTTGACTATGGAAATATGGAGTCACTCATTATTGAGTTATTGGAGGACAGTAAATACACGCAAATGAAAGAAAAGTTGAGAGTGTACAGAGACAACCAGATTGCGTTGGGTGGCTTTACGAAAGGCGCAGAGGTTATCGAAGATGTCATAAGTGGAAGATTGAAAATAAACACCAATGTAAAACCTGAACAGTTATTTGGCATTCATCTGTTTGGAATTCGAGCGACTGTATTTGGCGTTCTTGCTGTTGTTCTCGGATTTTTTTGCTTGGGAGTGATTGCAGCTCTGAAATTATCAAAGTTTATGGTGAAGACTTTCTCAGGGAACAGAAAACCTCACAGCAAACAAGCCAAAAAAGACTAACTTTTATTATTTGAAAACTTCGTGATCATTGTTTGGAAGAAACTAAATAAATGCATCTACTATTCTATCAAGTTGGGTCAATCAGAAACAGCCGCTTTTTTCAAGAAAAGGCGGTTAGTTCGTTGAACTCGAATGAATCATTCCAAGTTTACATTAATCCTTTATGATATAGTTCGTTCGTTGAACTCGAATGAATCATTTATCGAGTTTATATTCAAAATTTACATTAATCGAGTTTACATTCAAAGCTTACATTAATCCTTTATCGTACAAATATTTTATGTTTGAAGTATTAAGTCTTTATTGCTCCTCTTTACACCAGCGAATCCAGTTTTTTTTTCTAGCACAACTTCAACTCGTGCTCATTTGCTCCATTGCAATCTAAAAAATGAAGATGTAATATTACAAAAAATGCCTCGCAAATTCACATGTTTGAAACCTCAGGAGAAATTTTGCGTGTCACGTGTGATTCACATGCTTACACAAGCGAAGCTTAGTCTATTATTACGTATATTTTTTCGAACCTTAGTCTCAATTAAAAAAGCTCATGTAGTGGCGCTTTTGGTATACTTCAATTTCATCATATTTAGGTCTATTTAAGCATTGGCAATTTAAAAGCATATGGTGTTGCTTTAATTTTGGCTAGTGTTAGGTCCTGTTTAAAAATCAGGTATTATGAAAATGCATGGGATTTATTGTTTTTTTTTTGCAGTTGTTTTTTGCGAGACTTTGGAAAATTTTAAATTTTTTGCTTTTCCGCTGGCTTTTTATCCTAGGGCCTTCGAAAGTTTAACTGGGGGGATTTTTGACCTATTTATTTCATTTTCTCAAATATGCACAAATCTGAGATCAAAAGAAAAAATCAAAAGAACAAAGCATGAGAATCTTGCCTTCTCCAGCGGTTATTCCTAAATTTGTAGAAAACAGTTATGGCCTCAAACTAGCCCATTTTTCGACTTTTTGTTTAATTTTTCTCAAAAACTACCATACCAAATTGGAGATTAAGGGTGTAAGCGAAAGCAAAAAACCAGTTATGTGAATCTTCCCTGCGAAACTTCGTTTTTTTTTCTTAAAAAACTGACCTGCTGTTCTGAGGTTGATAGTTCACTCAAACTAACATGGTGCTTAGATTTTCCCTGCGTAATCTGTTTCTCCCCATTTTTTGTAGAAAAGCTTTCTGGAAAATCCATTTTTTTTTTGCCGTTTCTAAAAACTTTTATCATTAATCTCGAAAAATACTAGCTAAATCTGATATTATGGGTTCAATCTAAAAATCTGGCAGTGGAGTTTTCCTTGCATAAGAGGCTGTTCTCATGCTTAAGTTGAGAAAACTTTATGGAAAAGTCAATTTTTATTTTTTTGATCGTTTCTTGGAATCTTTTTCACTTTTCCGAAACTACCCAGCCAAATCTGAGATTAAGAAGTCAATTGAAAGAGCCAGTAGTAGTTTTCTCCTCCAAATAAGCGCCTTAACTCCTGCTTAAGCAGTGAAATTACCATGTTTTTTTTCTGTAATATCATTTTTTTTGAAATTAACATATCAGTAGAATATGTTTTTTTAAAAATGTTAAAACAGGTACATCGAGCATTAGCTCGGTCACTAGCTTACTTCCAAGTGACCGTGGCGCAGATGTAAGACGGAGTGACACTCCTAATTATCAGGTCAGAGATTCAAATCCAGAACATTGAACTACCTTTTTTGCTCAAAATTTGCTGCTTTTTTGGTGGCTAGTGTTAGTAAAATTGGATGCGGTTTTGGAAAAGATGTAGAACTTGAAACTCCTTATCTCAAAACTGATATTCAAAATTTTTTGTCAAGGTGTTTTTCAGTTTTTTATTTTTTCCTTATTTCACTGTGTTTTGTTAGCTTGCTAAGTGCTTTTTTTGCATTTTCATTACCTGTGTTTGCAAAGCGCAGCTTCGCCTCTGGCATTACCTAAGCAAAGCGTAGTCTATTATTACGAAGATTTTTTTAAAACTAAGTTGAAAAAGAGTGCTCATTTGGGGTCACGTTTGTTATATTTCTTTCTAATGGTATTTTAGCCGATTTAAGCATAGACTATTTAATTGCAGTTGTTGTTGCTTTTTGGCTAGTGGTAGATCGTATTTTAAAAAATGAAAATGTAGGGATATGTTGTTTTTTATTTTTTTTTGCGATGTTTTTGAAAATTTTTAAAATTTTTGCTGAAATTGGTAGCCATGGTAAAAACTGCTGCTTCTCTCTGTGCCTGCGTTATTTGCTAGTCTGTTTTGATTTTACTCCAAGTTAAACAGCCTTTGAAAGTTTCAGGAGGGGATTTTTGACCTATTGGCTTTAATTTTGTTTTTTTTTCTCAAAAATAAAAGCACGAACCTGAGATGAAGGTTGCAACAAAAAGAACAAAACATGGGAATCTCCCCTTCGCAAGCAGTTTTCCCCAAAATACTGGCAAAAAGTTATGGCCTCAAACTAGCTCATGTTTCGACATTTTGGTTAATTAAAATAACTACCCTGCAAAATCGGAGATAAAGGGTTTAACCGTAAGCAACAAATTAGTTATGTGAATTTTCCCTGCGCTATTGGCTATGCCCTGCGTTTTGAAAAACATATGGCCTTTAAAATTGTCCAATTTTTGCATATTTAAGCATTGGCAATTTAAAAGCATATGGTGTTGCTTTAATTTTGGCTAGTGTTAGGTCCTGTTTAAAAATCAGGTATTATGAAAATGCATGGGATTTATTGTTTTTTTTTGCAGTTGTTTTTTGCGAGTTTGGAAAATTTTAAATTTTTCGCTTTTTCGCTGGCTTTTTATCCTAGGGCCTTCGAAAGTTTAAGTGGGGGGATTTTTGACCTATTTATTTCATTTTCTCAAATATGCACAAATCTGAGATCAAAAGAAAAAATCAAAAGAACAAAGCATGAGAATCTTGCCTTCTCCAGCAGTTATTCCTAAATTGGTAGAAAACAGTTATGGCCTCAAACTAGCCCATTTTTCGACTTTTTGTTTAATTTTTCTCAAAAACTACCATACCAAATTGGAGATTAAGGGTTTAACCGAAAGCAAAAAACCAGTTATGTGAATCTTCCCTGCGAAACTTCGTTTTTTTTCTTAAAAAACTGACCTGCTGTTCTGAAGTTGATAGTTCACTCAAACTTACATAGTGCTTAGATTTTCCCTGCGTAATCTGTTTCACCCCATTTTTTGTAGAAAAGCCTTCCGAAAAATCCATTTTTTTTGCCGTTTCCAAAAAACTTTTATGACTAATCTCGAAAAATACTAGCTAAATCTGATATTATGGGTTCAATCTAAACATCTGGCAATGGAAGTTTTCCTTGCATAAGAGGCTGTTCCCATGCTTAAGTTGAGAAAACTGTATGGAAAAGTCAATTTTTATTTTTTTGATCGTTTCTTGGAATCTTTTTCACTTTTCCGAAACTACCCAGCCAAATCTGAGATTAAGAAGTCAATTGAAAGAGCCAGTAGTAGTTTTCTTCTCCAAATAAGCGCCTTAACTCCTGCTTAAGCAGTGAAATTACCAGGTTTTTTTTTCTGTAATATCAGTTTTTTTGAAATTAACATATCAGTAGAATATGTTATTAAAAATGTTAAAACAGGTACATCGAGCATTAGCTCGGCCACTAGCTTACTTCCAAGTGACCGTGGCGCAGATGTAAGGACAGAGTGACACTCCTAATTATCAGGTCAGAGATTCAAATCCAGAACATTGAACTACCTTTTTTGCTCAAAATTTGCTGCTTTTTTGGTGGCTAGTGTTAGTAAAATTAGATGCGGTCGTGGAAAAGATGTAGAACTTGAAACTCTATATCTCAAAACTGATATTCAAAATTTTTTGTCAAGGTGTTTTTTCAATTTTTTTCTTTTTCCTTATTTCACTGTGTTTTGTTAGCTTGCTAAGTGCTTTTTTTTGCATTTTCATTACCTGTGTTTGCAAAGCGCAGCTTCGCCTCTGGCATTACCTAAGCAAAGCGTAGTCTATTATTACGAAGATTTTTTTAAAACTAAGTTGAAAAAGAGTGCTCATTTGGGGTCACGTTTGTTATATTTCTTTCTAATGGTATTTAAGCCGATTTAAGCATAGACCATTTATTTGCAGTTGTTGTTGCTTTTTTGGCTAGTGTTAGATCGTATTTTAAAAAATGAAAATGTAGGGATATGTAGTTTTTTGTTTTTTTTGCAATGTTTTTGAAAATGTTTACACTTTTTGCTGAAATTGGTAGCCATGGTAAAAACTGCGGCTTCTCTCTGTGCCTGCATTATTTGCTAGTCTGTTTTGATTTTACTCCAAGTTAAACAGCCTTCGAAAGTTTCAGTAGGGGATTTTTGACCTATTGACTTTAATTTTGTTTTTTTTTCTCAAAAATTAAAAGCACGAATCTGAGATAAAGCTTGCAACAAAAAGAACAAAACATGGGAATCTCCCCTTCGCAAGCAGTTTTTCCCCAAAAATACTGGCAAAAAGGTATGGCCTCAAACTAGCTCATGTTTCGACATTTTGGTTAATTAAAATATATTCCCTGCAAAATCGGAGATAAAAGGGTTTAACCGTAAGCAACAAATTAGTTTTGTGAATTTTCCCTGCGCTATTGGCTATGCCCTGCGTTTTTAAAAACATATGGCCTTTAAAAATGTCCATTTTTTGAAATTTTGCCCGTTTTTTTTTGAAGATCGTTTTTTCTTCGAAAACTAACCTGCTAATTCTGAGATTGATATTTAATTCAAACTAACATGGTTTTTGAATTTTCCCTGCGTAATCTGTTTCTTTCCATTTTTCCGTGTAGAAAAGCTGATAGGGACTTCGGGAAAATCCATTTTTTGAAGTTTTTCCCGTTTGTCTTAGGAAATTTCATCACTATTCTCGAAAACTACGCTAAATCTGACATTGTGGGTTCAATCTAAAAATCAGGGCGTTCATTTTTCCTCATTTTACTTTGTTTTGCCATTTTTCAGCTCTTTTTTTTCTTCGCTTGTGTTTGCGAAGCGCAGCTTTGCCTCTGTCTCGATCATCTAAAGTTACATGGTTTTAATTAAATTATTAAGAATCACCACAAAATTTTTGACGTAATTTTTATGTTGCTCATTTGATTTTACATATTTTCTCATGTGAAATCACATGCCGGATTTCAAACGTTGAGTGAAGTCTTACATGATTGCCTACGTATATTGTTATATTTGAATATAATTGCATGTGTATATCACTTGAGCAAAAATGTGAATTTACGTAAATAGACATGCGGATTCACATTAGGATAAAAGTGAAATCAGTTGAGAATTCAATTAAATTTTGACAAAAAGTCGAAAATCAGCCATGTGATATGAGCCAACGTGTGAAATCATTTAAACAATATACAATGAGGTAAAAAATTTCGTGGTAATATTTATTAAATTAAGTTAAGGAACATGTAGTCTTACATGATTGAACATATGAATCACGTGTGATACGCAATTTCTCCCAAGGCTAAAATCAAATGATCCGCTAAATTTGAACTTACTAAAAAGTTAAAAACAAAAGTTGAAGTTTTTAAAAACAAGTCATTATTTTTTTTATATTTCCTTGCGTCAATTGACTCGTTTCCATCTGTCTGTTTGGTCTGCTCATGATAAAAACTCTATTCTAGAGGAACTACTCTTTTGAAGCCTATTCGAGGCTGCAATCGATTTGGCAATCAATGGTTTAATGTTATTTAGCTTAGCATCATCTGGTGATAATTGGCTTTCAAATCGTGTTTCTTTTCAGATTCACTATGAAACCGAACTTATCAACCCATTCGAGGTTTTTGATCTGGACATTTATGGAACAACTAATTCTGTAAATTTAATGACCGGCTATTGTCCGTTTTTTCTTACCTCTCGTCTCGTTTACTCTCAGAGATGTCTATGCAGTATATGTACACCGTGAGGGATACTCACAGTAGACCAATCACAGCATTCGGAAGAAATCCGCACCGCAGAGAGATTCTACTCGGGTTTGAAGGTCAGACAGTGTTAATATAATTTAACATTGCGAGAGCTAGTAATCGGGAAGTTTTTTTCCGTAAACAAGTTTTCTTTTGCAGTTGCTTTATTATTGAATGTTAACAACCTACAGGTTATATCCCTCTTGGTCTGGAAGTAACGCGGTTGCTTTTGCACCCTAAGGTCTGGGGGTCGAGTCCCGACAGGACCGAGTCCTTTCAGTATTAACGAAATTCAGTATAAAAGAGGTTTTTCGGTAAAAATTGATTAGTATGACTTTCGTTCGTCCACTCAAATTGTTTCGGTTTAGGTGCCAATTCACGGATGTAAGCAAGTATCATGGTAGTTTCAAGTGTTGTTCTTTGTAGTTTCAGGGGGACTTGAAACTTTTAAACGTTTTTGTAATCAATTTTTTTCGGGTCTACTGGTTTCTGCTCAAAGATTTTCGGCCTTGTTTCCGCCTACTAAATTTTGTTCCGTTGCTAATTTGAAAGTCAAATGTCTTGCTTGGCCAATTTTCCTCGATTTTTTTTTGATAAAAACAGTTATTATGGAAATGAAGGTAATTGTTTTTTTTTTCATTCGGCTGACTTGAGTTTGTCAATTGTGCTTTTATGAACGATCGTTGCTCTACTCTGTGCGGAATCTTGAAGTCTTCTAAAGTTGTTGAACAAAATGGCAGTTTTTTTGTCAATTTTTTTACTTCTGACAACTCTGGCATATCTTTTTGTATCACAAGTGATGAAAAGGTCCGCTTCGCATCTCTGGTAACATCTATATTGCTTTTGAAGTTTTAGTTCAATTCAATTTCTTTAAAATTTTTTGAGACGCTTAGGAAAATTTATCACTTAGCTAATTTTTTTTAAAAACTAATTTACCAGTTGTCAAAAACGAGTTTAATTGGATAGACCGCCTACTCCCCTGTGTGCCTGCAAAATTTTCTAGTATCTTCTTACTTTACCCCATTGTCTACAGAGTATGTGTGGGAATATTTGATCCAGACCTTTTGGATTTTTTTTCGTTTTCTCAAACAGCCCCATCTTAAGTCCAATATTTTGGGTTTAACGGATAAAAGGGATTGTGAGAAGCTGCCCTGCTTGAGTGGCTACGCCTAAATTTATAACACGAAGAGAAATAGCGCTCGGAGAAGTCAAAAATTTGATTTTGTTGGTCTTTCTGGAAACTTTTGGCTTCTCTCGAGAACTACTTGAATGAGTTTTTGGGTTGAATTAAAGTAACGGTTGTGGATATTTTTTCTGCACGAATGACTACGCCCATTATAGTTATGGCCCTCGGTAAAGTCATTTTTTTTGTTTTGTGAAACTATTTGACCTTTCTCGAATATCTGAGTTTTTGAGCTCAATCGAAATAACACGTTGTGTGAATCTCTTCTGCATAATCGGCTACGCCCTATTTCTTTAACACAAAAAGCTATGATTCTTGAAAAAGTCTAATATTTTCGAAAAAGTCATTAAGTTGTTTTGGAATCGTTTCAATTTTTCTTAAAAACTACCCTATCAAATCTGTGATGAAGGTTTCAATCGCTAGAAACAGTTGCGAGATTTTTCCCGCGGAAGCGGCTATTCTTTTTTTATTGGGAAAATATTATGTACTTGAGAAAATTCGAAATTTATTTTAGTGGAGAAACAACTAAGGTTTTGGGCACAGTCCAATTTTTGAAACTTTTGGTTGGCCTAGTTTTTAATCAACCTTTTTCATTTTTTTCGATTTGTTTTTTTTTGTTTGTATTGTATCGCAAGTGGAGCGAAGCTCCGCTTCGCCTCTGTGTCTTACTTTATCAACTGAGGTCAATAGTATATCTCCTTTTTAGTGATTTTTTTTATGTCTAGATTTCGTTTATAGTTTTAAATTAATCAAAAATATATTTAACGTGAAACAAAAATATAAGATTTAACGTGAACCACTTTTCCGAGTCAAATTGATATTGAAAACTATCCTATTACCGCTTTTTTGTGTGTCCACAAATTTAACCGGTTCGCGCCCAAAACTTAAAGCATCTTAAAATGACATATTATTGTGTAGATGGTGTGATTAAGACGTACGACTGTGAGAGTGGTTTTCTGGTGCAGAAAACTCACCAACACGAGGGCTTCATCACCGACTTCGCTTACTGGTATACAAATTCATTGCAAGTGACGTCAAACGATGCCTTATAAAATAAAAAGCAGTTAATTAAAACGAGGGTTTTTATTCATTTAGATATGTACACTCACTTCAGTAACAAGTCTATTGGATGATTAGCTAATTTCAAATGTTGACCAGATTATTTTTATACTTCAATTTCATAACAGTGCTGTTAAAAAGCCTACTCAACAACTACTCAACACCTTTTTAAAAGATGGATAACTTCACAGGTGGAGTCCAAAATTCTTGTTCTCCTGTTCCAATGATGGCAGTCTGGTCGTGTGGGCCTCGGGAGGGGGTCTCTACTCCAAACACAAGTTCCCAATCCCCATCTACTCCATGGCCCTGAATGAATCCAAGAACCAACTCATCCTCGGATTTAAGGCCAGAATCATGGCATTTCAGCTGGACGAAAGTGAGTTAATTGAGTGTTCGTAACAAAATAGGATATAAAGCTAGATTTCCAATTTATGGCATTATCTACAGGGTGTTTCAAAAATTCTGCAAAATAACCGTGAATTGCGAGCAATGTATGGAAGCAATAATTACGAATAGTAGCTGGTTGCTTAGGTTGTTTAAGGACGTTTTATAACTGCTAGCATTTAAACTACCGGAAATAGCACCATGTGAACAAAACTTGATTTGAATAATTCAACTTTCATACTCAGAAATAAATATGGTTTCAAAATTCTCTGACAACGACGAAAAGCGTTTCATTGTAATGGAATATTGGAAATACACGAGTGGTAAAAATTGAGCGCAAATTTAGATTTTTACTTAAATATGTCAAACTTTAAAGACTTTTATGGACAAAATTTAAGAGTTTTAACAAATCTTTTACATAGACCGGCAGCAAATTATCTGAACTATTTCTCTGGAAGTCTAAATTTTTATTTTGAAGCACTTAGAAAAATTTTCCTGGTCTGAAAATTCCAGTTTTCATCATCCGCACTAAATTTTTCAAAACGCGTGAAATTGTAAGAAACAGTCGAGTTTAGTAAAGTTGTCACATTGATTGTTTCCATTTTCCTGCGCAGAATGCTTCACTTCGCATGAACCATTTTTTTTTACTTATTCGAGAAAGAATTCATTACGATGCAAATTTAGCGCAGACGGTGAAAACTGGCGTCACCCGAAAAAAAACTGGTTAGTGCTGCAAGTTAAAATTCGAGATTATCAGAAATGTTAGATCCAGTGGCGGTTTTAGGATTTTTTCAAAGAGGGGGCTCACTTTCTAGCAAAAAGATCAATTATAAATTGAATTTCAATCTTCGATTTTTAACAGCAAAACGATCAATTATAGATTCAGTTTTCACATCCAAGTCACTATGTATATAGCAAAGTGCTAGCGCACTTATTCGCTGCTCTGACATCGTTGCACGAAGGTAGCTTTTGAGTAACTTCAGGGCAGAGAAACTTCGCTCCGCAGTAGCCGTTGACACTGGTATAGTCGCAAAGATGCGGAGCAAAGCATGTATTGAGGGCAGAAAACTGGCAGAGCAACAGTCGATTGCTTCCACTATACTAGTTGGCAGACTTGAAAGTTCCACGTTTTTCCATTGGTTTACCCAACGTTCGAACTCTTCTTCGACTGCTTGCAGGTCTGTATCACCAGGCAGCAACTCCTCATACAGTTGTACTGTCTCTTTGACGTCTTCGAAACAAACGTTGTTAGCTAAAAGCGAATGCGGCAAAAACTGGCTGAGTTTGATGGCAAGGGCACTTTGTTCGGAAAATCTCGAAGTCAGCTCATTCATAAAATAGTCAACAAATGGCACGTAAATTTGTTGACGGTAATGATCAAATGGCGTCGAGTTTGCCGTACGAGGTTGTCGACGTGATCCCGGCAACTGATCAATTACAATCTCCCCAACTAGGCTCTCAGCATCACTGAACACATTTTCATAAGAGCCGGAACCATTGCCATCTCGCCATTGTTGCAGCTGCTCTTTCAACTTCTTCACGTAATCCACACATGCTGGTAGTTCTTCTTGGGGACCTTGTAGAGCTTTGCTGATCCATCGTGATGCACCTAAGCAGATATCAAGGTTATTTTGTAGTTAAAAACGTTCTGGAGTGTTTTAAAGAAAATATAAAGTTTGTTTCTAACCTAGAACATGCTTGAGAGTCTGAAGGGCAATGACAAATTCAGCTCGAGAAATAGCAGCTAAGTAACAAACTGCATCTGCAGCGTGCGGGTCGTTTTGCCATCAAGTGACTTCGCTGCTTCCGTAAAAAGATTGCTTTTCTTCGTTGAATTTCGGAACATCGAAACTATCTTCGAAATTGTAACAAACGCGTTTTTGATTGCTGTTACTTTGCTGGAGGACGTGATGACCAAATTGAGGCAGTGGGCCACACAATGTGTGTACACGGCTGTGGGAACTTCTTCTCGGATGAGGCGCTGAATCAGGCGCGATAATTGGGAAAATATTATGTACTTGGGAAAATTCGAAATTTATTTTAGTAGAGAAACAACTAGGTTTTGGGCACAGTCCAATTTTTGAAACTTTTGGTTGGCCTAGTTTTTAATCAAGCTTTTTCATTTTTTTTTCGATTTGTTTTTTTTTTGTTTGTATTGTATCGCAAGTGGAGCGAAGCTCCGCTTCGCCTCTGTGTCTTACTTTATCAACTGAGGTCAATAGTATATCTCATTTTTAGTGATTTTTTGATGTCTAGATTTCGCTTATAGTTGTAAATTAATCAAAAATTTATTTAACGTGAAACAAAAATATAAGATTTAACGTGAACCACTTTTCCGAGTTAAATTGATATTGAAAACTATCCTATTACCGCTTTTTTTGTGTCCACAAATTTAACCGGTTCGCGCCCAAAACTTAAAGCATCTTAAAATGACATATTATTGTGTAGATGGTGTGATTAAGACGTACGACTGTGAGAGTGGTTTTCTGGTGCAGAAAACTCACCAACACGAGGGCTTCATCACCGACTTCGCTTACTGGTATACAATGTCAAATTCTTTTCAAGTGACGTCAAAAGTTGCTTATGAAATAAATAAGTATTAATGTAAAACGAGGGTTTTTATTCATTTAGATATGTACACTCACTTCAGTAACAAGTCTATTGGATGATTAGCTAATTTCAAATGTTGACCATATGATTTTTATACTTCAATTTCAAAACAGTGCTGTTAAAAAGCCTACTCAACAACTACTCAACACCTTTTTAAAAGATGGATAACTTCACAGGTGGAGTCCAAAATTCTTGTTCTCCTGTTCCAATGATGGCAGTCTGGTCGTGTGGGCCTCGGGAGGGGGTCTCTACTCCAAACACAAGTTCCCAATCCCCATCTACTCCATGGCCCTGAATGAATCCAAGAACCAACTCATCCTCGGATTTAAGGCCAGAATCATGGCATTTCAGCTGGACGAAAGTGAGTTAATTGAGTGTTCGTAACAAAATAGGATATAAAGCTAGATTTCCAATTTATGGCATTATCTACAGGGTGTTTCAAAAATTCTGCAAAATAACCGTGAATTGCGAGCAATGTATGGAAGCAATAATTACGAATAGTAGCTGGTTGCTTAGGTTGTTTAAGGACGTTTTATAACTGCTAGCATTTAAACTACCGGAAATAGCACCATGTGAACAAAACTTGATTTGAATAATTCAACTTTCATACTCAGAAATAAATATGGTTTCAAAATTCTCTGACAACGACGAAAAGCGTTTCATTGTAATGGAATATTGGAAATATACGAGTGGTAAAAATTGAGCGCAAATTTAGATTTTTACTTAAATATGTCAAACTGTAAAGACTTTTATGGACAAAATTTAAGAGTTTTAACAAATCTTTTACATAGACCGGCAGCAAATTATCTGAACTATTTCTCTGGAAGTCTAAATTTTTATTTTGAAGCACTTAGAAAAATTTTCCTGGTCTGAAAATTCCAGTTTTCATCATCCGCACTAAATTTTTCAAAACGCGTGAAATTGTAAGAAACAGTCGAGTTTAGTAAAGTTGTCACATTGATTGTTTCCATTTTCCTGCTCAGAATGCTTCACTTCGCATGAACCATTTTTTTTTACTTATTCGAGAAAGAATTCATTACGATGCAAATTTAGCGCAGACGGTGAAAACTGGCGTCACCCGAAAAAAAACTGGTTAGTGCTGCAAGTTAAAATTCGAGATTATCAGAAATGTTAGATCCAGTGGCGGTTTTAGGATTTTTTCAAAGAGGGGGCTCACTTTCTAGCAAAAAGATCAATTATAAATTGAATTTCAATCTTCGATTTTTAACAGCAAAACGATCAATTATAGATTCAGTTTTCACATCCAAGTCACTATGTATATAGCAAAGTGCTAGCGCACTTATTCGCTGCTCTGACATCGTTGCACGAAGGTAGCTTTTGAGTAACTTCAGGGCAGAGAAACTTCGCTCCGCAGTAGCCGTTGACACTGGTATAGTCGCAAAGATGCGGAGCAAAGCATGTATTGAGGGCAGAAAACTGGCAGAGCAACAGTCGATTGCTTCCACTATACTAGTTGGCAGACTTGAAAGTTCCACGTTTTTCCATTGGTTTACCCAACGTTCGAACTCTTCTTCGACTGCTTGCAGGTCTGTATCACCAGGCAGCAACTCCTCATACAGTTGTACTGTCTCTTTGACGTCTTCGAAACAAACGTTGTTAGCTAAAAGCGAATGCGGCAAAAACTGGCTGAGTTTGATGGCAAGGGCACTTTGTTCGGAAAATCTCGAAGTCAGCTCATTCATAAAATAATCAACAAATGGCACGTAAATTTGTTGACGGTAATGATCAAATGGCGTCGAGTTTGCCGTACGAGGTTGTCGACGTGATCCCGGCAACTGATCAATTACAATCTCCCCAACTAGGCTCTCAGCATCACTGAACACATTTTCATTAGAGCCGGAACCATTGCCATCTCGCCATTGTTGCAGCTGCTCTTTCAACTTCTTCACGTAATCCACACATGCTGGTAGTTCTTCCTGGGGACCTTGTAGAGCTTTGCTGATCCATCGTGATGCACCTAAGCAGATATCAAGGTTATTTTGTAGTTAAAAACGTTCTGGAGTGTTTTAAAGAAAATATAAAGTTTGTTTCTAACCTAGAACATGCTTGAGAGTCTGAAGGGCAATGACAAATTAAGCTCGAGAAATAGCAGCTAAGTAACAAACTGCATCTGCAGCGTGCGGGTCGTTTTGCCATCAAGTGACTTCGCTGCTTCCGTAAAAAGATTGCTTTTCTTCGTTGAATTTCGGAACATCGAAACTATCTTCGAAATTGTAACAAACGCGTTTTTGATTGCTGTTACTTTGCTGGAGGACGTGATGACCAAATTGAGGCAGTGGGCCACACAATGTGTGTACACGGCTGTGGGAACTTCTTCTCGGATGAGGCGCTGAACTCCAGAGTGTGCACCTCTCATAACGGCCGCTCCGTCATATCCCTGACCAACTATGTTGTTTTTCTCCAAACCAAGTCTCTCCACAAACCCAAGTATCTTCGTTTTGATGCCCTGTGCTGTGACATCATGAACGTCAACAAACCCAATAAATTCTTCTCGGATAGTTTTGTTGCAATAATAGCGAAGACACAGCGATAATTTCTCAGTTTGAGACACATCGGACGTTTCATCCGCAAGAATTGTGAAAAAACGTGCTTGTTTCACTTGTTCGACAATATGATTAGTTATGTAGTCGCCGATGCAATTGATGATATCGTTTTGAGCCAACTTCCCAATATAAGTAGCGTTTTTCTTCGAGTTTTTTAAGTGATCAGCCAGGACGACATCACCACTTGCCGCCTTAAATTGTAGTAAAGCCCTCAAGTTTCCGCTCTCAGTGTCAATTTCCCCTAATTGGTTGGGGACGCTCAATGTTCCATCATCTCGGTGGCCCCGTAATGGTAAGCCCAACTTAGAAGCGAAAATGATCGTTTCGATGATCGGCTTCAGGGCTCTGCGATTCCTTTCTACTTCTTCACGAATGGTCTTGTCAATGGCCAAATCGATGGACTCATTTGGATTCTCGAAAGCTCGTTGAAAATCAAGTGATTTGGATAGAGCGGTTTTGTGATATGCATTTTGGGCATGCTTATCAACGTATCCATCGCCTCCTCGGAACATTCTTGCATACTTCGTAAAAGCCCTCGTGAAAAAGAATATGTCTCTCGAACCAGTTTTCTGTGCTGCCGTAATATCCCCAAATAATACACACACTTTGCAAAAAAGACCTTTCTTTTCAATCGAATATGCAAGATATGGGTGCTTAGTCAGATGATCTTTGCTCAGAAAACGTTTAACTAATCGCTCACCATCTTTGCGCTCGTCGTATGGCCATTGAAAGTTGGCTGGAGGAAATAAATCGTCAGTTAAAAGAAAATATTTCTCCTCCTTGGTAAGAGAATGTGACGAAACAATACCGATATCTGCAATAAATTCGGGTCTCGGAGGTGTAGATTCTGCTATTTGCGGCTCCTCAGTTGCTGGCACCGCATTGTTGTCCGAAGATGCCGTTCGTTTCGACGCGCACGTGAAAAAACTGGTTATTGAGGTGTTCTTCCGTTTGGACATCATGCAAATCTGAAAAGAGAACAGGGCATGAAAACATGAAAATTGGGAAAGAAAACCGAGCAGCAGCAAAACCGCTGCAGCTGAAAAGCCACGCAATTACATGTACGCAATTGCGCGCGATAGCGAACAGCGAATGATTCACGTTTAACCTGCACGCTATGTTGAACGAAACGCGCATTACGTCATTTACGCTTGCTGGAATAATTCAGTCGGAAACGCCAATTTCCCCGCTTCGCAGTCATATGTTTTTTATTTTTGGTATAATTTTTATTAAAAACCTCAAAGGGTCCCCCCTTTGCTCGTTTTCACTGTTAAAATCCGTAAGGGGGGGCTCGAGCCCCCCCAGCCCCCCCTCTAAAACCGCCACTGGTTAGATCAGATCATTTGCTGTCATGTCAGTCTATGTAAATTTTTTGTTTAAGTTCAGAAGTTATTGTCCAAAATGGTCCTTGAAGTATAATCAATTGAATTTGGGCAGAATTTTTGAAACAGCCTGTAGTTGTGGTGCACTATTTTACCACGATGATGAAAATGCATAAATGTCTGTAAAGATGTTTATGACGGGTGTTGATTAAAGCTTTAATTTATTCTTTGTCATCCCATGCTTATGAGATCATTAAATGATTTTTTCGAACAAATTAAGTTATTTTCCTTCAAAGTGATGAGCATTTATTAGATCCCTATGAAGGTGTCAATCATCTATAGCAGTAGATTCTATGAAAAAGCAGTGTATGAAAAATGTGTTTGTATTTCTTTATCTCTGTACTGTTTTTATTCTGATGTTTTAGAGAAAGTGAGTGGCAATGTATTGCGTCTGGACTCCAAGTTCGAATTGAATGACCCTGAGCTGTACCATCACGACATAGTGCGTCGGATGCTACTGCACGAAAACAGACTCTTCACAGCCGGATACGACCAGAAACTCATACTGTTCGAAGTGTCAGCCGTGTCATTTGGAAACAGAAAAGTGCTGCACAGAACCAGAATGTGAGGAGCAAAAATCAGTTGAACTCTGATTTTACGACATTTCTCAAATTCCAAATCGTGCGAATTCAAAATGATTTTTGCGGATTTGAAGTTATTTGAGCTTCAGTTGCCTTTAAAATGTTATAGTTTTTTTTGTAAGTTCTTTAAAAACCGGCTGTGAAAGCCGACTGTCTTTTTTCGAAACAGACTGTGAATAATAATTTCAACTATTTGATTTTGTTTTCGAGCAGACTTTATTCAGAAATTTATTTTTTAAAAAGCTGCTATTATGTGTTTAGAATCAAGAAGGCTCATGCAACAGCAATAATATGTATGGTTCTCAATGACCAGTCTTCAAATAATCAATGGTACGAAACATGCTTATTTTTTTGCTCATTATTTAAGACCACATTCTTCATATTGTTCGGGCCAGACTTTGAAGGTGTCGATGTTTACGAAACTCTTCTGCAGAATTGTTTCATGCGATTTTAACCCAAGTGGCAGCTTTTATAATTATTTACATTCGCCAGGTGTTAAATTTTCATCTGTGAGTCATGTCATCATCAACATCATCAATTTTCATCTACATATTAAAGTATAGCATAAAGTAATCGAATTAAGAAAATTTATGTAAATTGAGATCTGCCACTTATGTTTTGAGTTTAAGCCAGAGGTAGCTTTCTGATAGAGTAACTTCAGATAAAGTACACCGTCTGTTCGTCACGCTATCTTATTTTCGGGCGGATAGATTCGTGCAACTTCTTAGTCTAATACCAATCTTAATCTTACTCTTATATCTCCTAGTCTCAATAGATCTAGTGTATACTGGTATTTGCGGGTGAGATTTATAGAACTTGTCCAAAGGAGAACAACTGTCTTCTAAGATTTATTCAAATTGTTCTGGTGCTGAAATTACAAGTAGTTGCAGCACTTACAAATAATTGTCAGTGTTAGTTATGGAATATGATTGGTTAGTTAGTAATATTTTATAGGGATAGTTTTATCAATAATATAATTGGTTATAAATACTAGTTTAGAACTGGTTTCAGTTTATAGCACCATGTGAAAGTTTTCTCCCTCGATTCAATAAAGCGAAGAGGAAGAGGTTATTCAAAAAGCTGAATTCTGATTGGCTGAAAATTTTTGCTAATAATCAAATGAACATCTACTAATTCAATAAAAATACCGTTTATTCGCGGGTAGATCGTTCACTTGGTTAATTAATGAAGGAAATTGTTCATATGGTCTTGCTAATATAGCACCGTATGTTCTAGGCTGGCCACGGGTGCTTTCGACAAGAGTCTTAAGTTGTGGACCCTGGATGGAGACCCTACCTTTAGAATAGACGACTTCCAGGGGGGCAATCTGACCTCATTCTGCTACATCACTCACACCAGAACACTGTGGGTGGCCTGTGGACTCAACACTCCACTCATTTATGACCCGAAATCAGGCGACAATGTACGCATGTAGTTTTCACTGTCTAAATAAAGTTTTGAATGAGCTTATGTATCGACTTCGGTTTTTAACAATTTAATGTCTTCGTAGTCGTATTTGAAGATAGTGTGGTTTTTTAAGGTTTTTGAAAACAGGAATGGTTTACTTGAAAAAATGCAAGCACTGGATAATTTTTACAAACATTTAATGGCGGCAACTGGTTTTGAGCTTCGCCTCAATGATGATAATAGTTCAGGCAGCATATAAATCATTCGCCATTTTGTAGTGTCTGTCGTTTTACGAAATTGAGAAATACTAGTCACAATTAAAGCAGAGAACAGATGCTATGCAGTTTCCAATGCTACAGTGAAATTTCCAAAAAAGTGAACACTTTTGATGAACTCTTTTTATTTGCGAGTTAGGTTTAAAAAAGGTTCTTAATAATACACGGTTCGTGAGCTTGTTTAGATTTAAGAAAAGACTTCATTCATTACTTTCTTCTGAATTTGAGGAGAACGAAGAAGCAAAAAAACCGTCTTTAAATACTATTTCGAGTTTTTTAAAAATTCTTTAAAAACTTTTTTAAAAATTCTGTAAAAGAAATTATAAGTCTAGAGGGGACGAGTGAGAGGCACTTCGATGTCTTCTTGCCATCTGAGTTCTGGCGATTTTCTCTCAGCTCTAACTTCAGTACTGTCCGGCGAATACAAATACTGAAGCCAGGACAACAGATTTGCGAAATGTTGAGGATCGGCATCGCTCGAATCCGATTGATCGCTTTCTTTTTAGTTCTTCGTTCATCAAGACGTTCTGGTTGGTCTTCGTCTTTACTGTTTATTTCATCAAGAAGTTTTTTCCGACGGCATTTTGACACGAGATTTTTCAATACCTGGAAGTAGGTCTTTTTCACCATAGAAAGTTAAACAAGTCAAAATCCAGAAACCCTCCATTGATTGACGAAAGCCGCATATGGTTTGAGGTTTGGTGGTTTTCGGCTTCTACCCTCTCGGAGGTTATAGACGAAGACGATGGAAGTTCTTTCACAGAGCCAACATCGGTTTCGTTTTCATCAGAGGAATCTAAACAAGTCAAAATGAGCCACGTTCGAAGCCCTTTTTTACTTTTCAAATTTTATCAAGAAATTAACCATTGCTTGACAAAATAAGTCGGAACTACAAAAGCCGCTTTTGGCGTTTGCTCTGGTTGTTTTCGGCTTCTACGCTCTCGGAGGTCGTGTACGAAGACGATGAAATTTCCTTTACCCAGCCAACATGGAGGTTGTTTTCATCAGAGAAATCTAAATAAGTGAAAACAAGCCGCGTAAAAACGAATTTGGGGGGTTCTCAACAAAACTAACGGCAATAACCTCACCATTGCTCGAAGTTAATTGGGATAGCAAAAGTCACTTTCGGTTTCTGGTTTAGTTTTATACGCTCGAGGAGCTCATGGCATTTCGGTATATCGTGTTGTTTTTCCTATCTTTGGAAACATTCTTCCTTGCACGAAGTTTGATTTAACTTAAGTTAATGTAGAATTGATATGAATCTCTAGCAGTTAATAGTTTTTGCTTACAATTAACAAATTGCTAACGCTAAGACATGGATGGATAGTCAGTGTCGGTTCGGTCCGTCAGTCCGCTTGTTCTTCAGCTGTTTCGCCAACAGGACCCTTTGGCATGTAGGATATTCGTGTTTCAGAGGAATATACTGTTCTGTTTTTGTCAAGAAGAGTCAACACCAATAATTGAAAAATCTGTGGTTGCTCGGGATCTGTATTATTAACCACGAAGTCCCTCATAGCTCTGTGCCACCATGCAAGGTCTTTTTTCAGTTCCCCGAAAACTTGCGGTAACTCCTCGCGAAAGCGGCACTTAGTTGCTTCTTGGTAGTCCTGAACCAGCTTCGAAAGTTCCTCGGCATTCTATGATATAAGGGCTCGAGAAACAGCAAACTCATGTTTTGCGCGAATGTCATTAAAAGCTTCGATGATCTCATTCTCGGTTTTTTGGAACGCTTGATCAATCAATTTTAAATTATTTTTGTGAGGCATAAAGAATAAGTTGATATTTGACAAATGAAATACAAAGCGGAAAACCAAAAAAGATCGAAAGGACTGGTATCTGTCCTAACTAATGAGTCCAGACTGACAAAGGTACGCACTCGCATACTTAAACAGGTCAATAAAAAGACCTAGTTAAGGTCGAGGACAATCCATGAAAAAACTAACCTTATTCATGAAGCGAAAGACAATTAAGATGCATCTAATGGTAAATACAATGGAAATCCTGGTTAGTTAATACTGATGCAATTTTGACCCAATTTGTTCGACCGCATTGTTGGGTTCAATTATGCCGACAAAATTTTTAACAGCGGAATATAGACACAATGTCTAAAAGCAAATGAAACACATAAAATTTTTTTGCGCATAGAAGACAGCTGCCTGTGAAGCGCTGTAGAGGCGCTGTTAGTACCCTCTTGACATCAAGGACAGGGGCGGATTTAGAGGGGGGACGGACGCCCCCCCCCCCCTCTCAGGGATTCGACCCCCTGCCGACCCAAAGGGTCCCCCCTTTGATACTTTTTAAGAAATCCATTTTTTGCCGACCGACCCTAAAATTTTTCTAAAGTCGCCTTTGGCGCCAATATATACTAACTTTGAGGGGGAGCGCGCGCCAAAAAACGCGATTTTTTGTCAAAATTTTTCAAAAAGTGCCTAAAAACGGCTTTTTTGACCTGTTTTTTCAAAATTTTGCCTGCGACGCAAAAAATTTGGAAAAAACAGGGACCTTTTAGTGCTTTACAAGAGAACGGAAAATCAATTTGGTCGACCTAAAAAAAAAGTTCGTCAAAATTTTTGAAAATCCGCCCCCCCCCCCCCCCCCCCCCTCAAAAAAATCCTAGATCCGCCCCTGATCAAGGACCCTGTTAGTTTCTCATGCTCTTACTCTTCTCCCAACATCGCATAAGCGACAATTCGGGATGTTATAGCGTTAAATATGATGAACATCAAAGGTGTTTTGCATGGCCTAATTCCTCATTTTTTAATATGCATGCCAATCATTGTAAGAATCTGAAAATGTGAAGACAAAGTTACTTGTAAAAGTTCGCAGGTAAGGGAAAAGGAGAAGAGCCGTTTTATGGCACCCTTCTGTTGCACTTGTACTGTCCCAAAAAATACAGGGTCCCTCATGTTAATACAGTGCTTCAAAATTGAACTATTCCACTGCCCCCCTCCCCTTTACTCACCTGCAATTTTTCATTCGGCATCGCTCGAATCCGATTGATCGCTTTCTTTTTAGTTCTTCGTTCATCAAGACGTTTTGGTATGTCCTCGTCTTCACTGTTTGTTCATCAAGAAGGTTTTGTTCTCACGGCATTTTGGCACGAGATTTTTCAATACCTGGAAGTGGGTCTTCTTCACCATAGGAAGTTAAACAAGTCAAAATCCAGAAACCCACCATTGATTGACGAAAGCCGCATTTGGTTTGCGGTTTGGTTGTTTTCGGCTCTTATGCTCTCGGAGGTCGTAGACGAAGACGATGAAAATTCCTTTACACAGCCAACATGGAGGTTGTTGTCATCAGAGAAATCTAAATAAAAGAAAACGAGCCGCGTAAAAACGAATTTGGGGGTTCTCAACAAAACTAACGTCAATAACCTCACCACTGCTCGAAGTTAATTGGGATAGCAAAAGTCACTTTTGGTTTCTGGTTTAGTTTTATACGCTCGAGGAGCTCATGGCATTTCAGTATATCGTGCTGTTTTTCCTATCTTTGAGAGGAAACATTCTTCCTTGCACGCAGTTTGATTTAACTTAAGTTAATGTAGAATTGATATGAATCTCTAGCAGTTAATAGTTTTTGCATACAATTAACAAATTGCTAACGTTAAGATAGGGATGGATAGTCAGTGTCGGTTTGGTCCCTGTCAGTCCGCTTGTTTGTTAGCTGTTTCGCCAACAGGATCCTTTGACATGTAGGATATTCGTGTTTCAGAGAAATATACTGTTCTGTTTTTGTCAAGAAGAGTCAACACCAACAATTGAAAAATCTGTGGTTGCTCAGGATCTCTATTATTAACCACGAAGTCCCTCATTGCTCTGTGCCACCATGCAAGGTCTTTTTTCAGTTCCAAGAAAACTTTCGGTACCTCCTCGCGAAAGCGCCACTTAGTTGCTTGTTGGTAGTCCTGAACCAGCTTCGAAAGTTCCTCGGCATTCTATGATATTAGGGCTCGAGAAACAGCAAACTTATGTTTTGCGCGAATGTCATTAAAAGCTTCGATGATCTCATTCTCGGTTTTTTGGAACGCTTGACCAATCAATTTTTAATTATTTTTGTGAGGCATAAAGAATAAGTTGATATTTGACAAATGAAATACAAAGCGGAAAACCAAAAAAGATCGAAAGGACTGGTATCTGTCCTAACTAATGAGTCCAGACTGACAAAGGTACGCACTCGCATACTTAAACAGGTCAATAAAAAATCCTAATTAAAGTCGAGGACAATCCATGAAAAAACTAACCTTATTCATGAAGTGGAAGACAATTAAGATGCATCTAATGGAAAATACAATGGAAATCCTGGTTAGTTAATACTGATGTAATTAAGACCCAATTTGTTTGACGGCATTGTTGGGATAAATAATGCTGACAAAATTTTTCACTGGGGAATATCGACACAATGTCTAAAAGCAAGAGATGAAACGCATAAAATATTCATGCGCATAGAAGACAACTATCTGTGAAACGTTGTATGGGCGCTGTTAGTACCCTGTTCATATTAAGGACCCTGTTAGTTTCTTAGGCTCTTATTCTTCCCCCAACATCACAAAAGCGACAAATCGGGATGTCAGTGTTAAATATGATGAACATCAAATGTGTTTTGCATGGCCTAATTGCTAATTTTTTAGTATGCGTGCCAATCATTGTAAGAATCTGAAAATGTGAATATAAAGTTAATTGTAAAAGTTCGCATGTAAGGGAAAAGGAGAAGAGCCGTTTTATGGGACCCTTCTGTTGCACTTGTACCGTCCCAAAAAGACAGAGTCCCTAATGTAAATACAGTGCTTCAAAGTTGAACTGTTGAACCATCCCCCTCCCCCTTACAGACTTGCAATTTTTCATAAGTAATGTTTCTGTTCACATTGTCTGGTTGTTTCAATAATTTGCAAGCAGACTACTTAGGCCTTAAAAAACATATGTGCTTTTGATACACAACCTTGTAAAACCCCTCGTTACCTTCTTAAATTGATCTCAATATGAGGTGTGGTATGGAGCAAAAAACGAATCAACCTATATTGTTAAAATAGATAATACGAAAAACAAAATTTCTAAAAGTTTGGTTGTTTGTTCAATTGTACAGAGGTTATCGAAGCCGATGGAAAAATAAAATTGTAAAACGTTGCGCTCGTTAGCCCCTTAAACGTTAGGCCTGATGCTGAAAACATGTCATTCATTTAATATATAAGGTTTTTTTAAGAGGCTGATTTTATTTCTCTGGTATATAATAACATCGGATAATTTTGAACAAAATTTATTCATAATGCACCTGAGATGACAGCTAATGGCTTCTTGAGGATGATATGCACTTCTGTCCTAATCTTAAATAAGCGACCTGAAGGTTGAATTTTTAATTGAAATATTAAAAAATTTCGATTTTATCATTTCATTTACCGAATTTTTGACAAAACTTAAGGTTTTGTTTTGGTTAATTCTTGCCTAAGGTAGAAACTTAGAAATTCGAGGTGGATTTCAGGAAAATTGCTGAATTGGGAGTAGATTATCCCCTCCAGTGAGCCCTTCGGGCTCATTTTAGAAAGTATTTAATGTTTTCCTTATTAATATTAATTTGTTTTTAGGCTTAATGGATGCACTATTTCCTCGAGATTTTAGTCAGTAATTTTAAAATCTCAGTTGTTTCGATAATTTGCAAGCAGACTATTTAGGCCATAGAAATCATATGTTCCTTTGATACACAACCTTTTATAACCCCTCGTTACTTTTTTAAATTGATCTTAATAGGAGGTGGGGTATGGAGCAAAAAACGAATCAACGTATATTGTTAAAATAGATAATACGAAAAAAAAATTGCTGACTTGTATAACTTTTCAAGGGGAATGACAATTCGCTCTAAAAACGCAAACAAAAAATTTGAATACAGCGTACACGAATGGCACGCGTAAAAATTCAAACAGCAAAAAAGAGTGGAAAAGAAACAAAAGTAAGCAATTGTGCATTGACAGCAATTGAGCTTTGGGTTAACAATTTCTAAAAGTTTGGTTGTTTGTTCAATTGGACAGAGGTTATCTAAGCCGATGGAAAAATAAAATTGATAAACGTTGCGCTCGTTAGTCCCTTAAACGTTAGGCCTGATGCTGAAAACATGTCATTCATTTAATATATAAGATTTTTTTAAGAAGCTGATTTTATTTCTCTGGTATATAATAACATCGGATAATTTTGAACAAAATTTATTCATAATGCACCTGAGATGACAGCTAATGGCTTCTTGAGGATCATATGCTTTTCTGCCCTAATCTTAAATAAGCGACCTGAAGGTTGAATTTTTAATTGAAATATTAAAAAATTTCGATTTTATCATTTCATTTACCGATTTTTTGATAAAACTTAACGTTTTGTTTTGGTTAATTTTTGCCTAAGGTAGAAACTTAGAAATTCGAGGTGGATTTCAGGAAAATTGCTGAATTGGGAGTAGATGCCCCCCTCCAGTGAGCCCTTCGGGCTCATTTCAGAAAGTATTTAATGTTTTTCTTATTAATATTAATTTGTTTTTAGGCTTAATGGATGCACTATTTCCTCGAGATTTTAATCAGTAATTTAAACTCACGAAGAATCCTTCATACTAAAACTCCAAGGGTTAAATCAAAAAAATTTGAATCCGTAGAGCATCCATGAGATGGTTTTTTTTAAAGTGTTAGATGTTTGGAGCGTGTCATTGATTATTTCAAAACAGGTGCCATTGAACCAACTGTTTAAAATTATTGGAGTAATTTTGTAACCTTTTTATAAACTCTTTTGAGAATTAAATGATGGCTGTTTTCGTAACTTTCGGTACGACTTGAAAAGCAACCGGATGATCGTGTTTTGAGTTTTTGTTCGTGTTAGGTCACTGATTATGTGGAGGTGGACTACAAGAGCGACTATCCCAATCAGAAACTGACCAAGCTAGACTTCTTCCCAAAAATGAATGTCGCTGTGGGTAAGATTGCTCACCTAAACATTGCTTCACTTCGCTGATCATATTTTAGAACATTTAGCGTTTGAGTGTTACCCTTAATTGAGAATAACTGGTTTCATTGTATTTGATAGATTATTTGTATAAAATGCATCATAAAAATTTGGATAATCGTTTTCAGATTTAAAGTTAGGCTGTGATGCATTGCGATCAATTACGTGTATTCACCAATTATAAGCATTTACCAAATACGTGTATGCGCGAAGTGCTTTGAATGTGAGGTCTTGTGATCAACACGTCGTGTTTAAGCTTCGAATGTGAGGAGGCATTTGATCGTGTGGAAGTTCAATCCGAATGGATGTGTGGGACTCCTCAAGAACAACTCACCAGTGCTGAGTCTGTCTTACAGTGAGTGCTATTCTGTTCACACTAACGAGCTTGCGAGCATTAGTTTACTAGTACGAACCTTGTTTTTTTCTAACCTATTTCGAAAATAAAAATTGTCATTGAAAGTGTTTACTTAAATGGAAATTTCTTTGTTGCATTGAAAATTGCATAGCATCTGTTCTCTGCTTTTTTGTTATCTATTAAGAGTCTGTAGCTGAGTGCTTAGTTCGTGAGACTAAAAATCCGTAGGTTGTACGTTCAAATACGAGAGGTAGCCAATTTTAACTAATTCGAAGCGATTTCTACTTTTTCTTTTTGCTTTTTATAGAGCTGCTCGTGTTCTTGCTAGTGTTTGCGAAGCGCAGCTTGGCCTCTGCGTTTACAAGTTAAAATTTTAAAAAAACGTTTTTTGCTTTGAACTGCTGTCGATCGTGGGTTCGAAACTTATTGTTTAAAAAAAAGGGCGTTTCAGCAATTAAAAATCTTTTCTAAATTAAAACAAGAATAGCCTGTTGCACTGCAACATATTTGTTCAAATTGTAATGTTTTTTTTCGTTCGGCTAGGAGTGGATCTGAACGAAAACCTAGAAAAAAAAACTACATTCGATGATAAGAATAGACGTAGACTACGCAAATTTGTCTGCGGCTTTGATCATAAATTTAATCGAACAACAAAAAAACGTCTAGAACAAATGTTTTTTTTTTGCAAATTTTGCAGATTTTTTATAGCATTTTTTCGTTGTAAGGAAGGCCAAAGAAGCTTCAAAAACTAAGGCTAAAGAAGCTCCTGGAGTAAATCTTAGTATAAGCTATAAGCTAGACGTCTTGTTGGCGTATTATAAGCCTCCTCGCTCGTTTTATTTGCTCTGAAGTCCAAAAAGCGAAATATTTAAACCGACTTTTCTCTTCACTGCAGAGATTTTTTGGAAATTTATAAATAGGTTTCGAAGTTATCAGTGAAAGGTTTGAAAAAAAAAGATAATGACTCTGATAGTTTCAATTGAGTCCCAGAGAAAGTTTCTCACTCAAGATAAGTATACCAAAGGCGCGTTTAAAAACTACTTAACACTTACGAGAGCAAGTGTCTTATAATCAGGAACTAGACTTTTTTCCCGGAAACAACTTTTCGTACAGGTAAGACAGTAACACGTAAGACTTGCGAAGTTGCTATATAATGAACCTTAACAACTTCGATCCTTCTCACTTGACACAGAGGCAACGTGCTTACCTTTGTACCCTAAGGTTTAGTGTTCGAGTCCCAGCTCTGGACCTTATTTTTTCAGTATGAATGAAATTGATTTTTTCTCGGGAAAAAATTGAATAGTCGGACTTTCGTTTGTCTGCTCGTCTTTTGTGGCTGTGTTGACGGTTTTTCTGAAAATTTTTTTCATTTTTGGTGGTTGTTTTTGACTTTGTGTGAAATTATATTCATTTTTTCCTTAAAAAAAGTTTATTTTTGTTGTTTCATTTTCTATTTGTTCATTTAATGCTGAGCTTGAAATGTGCTTTTTCCGCTTCTCCTCTGTGCAAAGTAGTACTATATGGGGAACCTTTGGGTGGTCAGGGGTCACGGATTCCTGAGGGTGGGGAGTCCGATCTTCCCCCGCTCCCTCTTTAAATCCGGTACTGCTTGAGATATAATTGTTTTTCACCAAACTTGAAACTACGAAACTACTTTTGATATATTCCTGTAGTTGCGTGATTGGGTGATATAGTTGCAATTATTTGAAATTTCTGAAAAAAATTTAAAGGACGATTTTTTTGTAGTTTTTGCTGCTTCATTTTCGTCAAATTCAAAAGAAATTCATGAATGAAGCCTCTTCTTCAATCAAACAGTTGCCAGAGTTAACTAGTTTGAAATCTTGATTTGATCTGATTGCAGAAACCAGTTAACGGAAGCGCAATTTGTTCCTTCGTCTGGTTTGATTTTGGCCATTGAGTTTGGCTGTTATGAATCATAGGGATTTTGCCTACTTTTGAATTATTTTGAAGTTGTGTTCTTTTAAACTGGAACGCTGAATATTTTTTCTGCGTTTTAATAGAATTTTTCAAGTACAAAATTATCGATTTTCAATCTGATTTCAATTAACCAGTTACATGTTACAGTTACAGTTCAATTAACCAGTTGCATGTAACCAGTTATTAACTATTTTACTATAATCAGAATCTTCGTTTTGGTGTGTTTGCAGCCCGTAAAGAACCCATCCTTCTGTTCAGTGGAGCCTTAGATGGGCAGGTGAAGAAGTGGGAGCGAAGTCAGGCAAACATGTTCACTTACAGGTCAGATACTGATTGATTAGTTTTCTGAGTCATTTTCCAAATATACTACCACTCTTGCATCATCACAACAAAGATAAATATCATAGTGTATTTTGTGATATTACATGGTTTGTTATATATAAGACAAGATTAGGCAACGCATATGTATTTTAAAACGCATTGCAGTTTCGTCTGTTAAAAATCAATAATGGGAAATTTTTTATGAGACTTTTTTGCAATCGGCCACCAGCGGTATTTTTATAGGAAGACAATTTTAAGATTTTTTATACACCTCTTTTTTTAAACTGAACTATAAGAAGATTCAAAGTACCAGAAGAAGCCATTAGTAATAATCATTTTTCAGTCAAGATCTCTTCTCCCCGAAAGATGCGAACAGACGTCTGATGGAGGCACAGAGCAAGTTCAACGCCAAAATGGGGCTAGCTAAGGGAGGAGGCAGCAGCCAGTCCCCCCTTGTAACTCAAACGGGGGGTAGTCGGAGAAGCAAACAGGGAGTGAAAGAGGAGGATGGAGATAGCGAGGGAGAGGGAGGAGGAGGTAAACGGAGTCTGGTTGTGAAGCGACAGAAGCGAATCACATCTGCGTATGCTGGACTGAATGTGCCTCTAGAACGATCGGTAAAAGGAGTTGACTGGCTTAGTTGGTCCAGGATATCGCTTGAAGTTATAGTATGCGTATTATAAGAGAACAGTAACCAGAAAAAAATCGTCAACACACCCGATTTAAAAAAAAAATACTTGAATTGCTTCATGCTGAGTGTTGGCAATTTACATTGAAGTATCTGACATCTCATCGGGAATTAAACGAACTTTACTTAAAACTTTGGGTTCTCACAAATTTAAAATTTTTTAGCCCTCGCGCACAATATTTTTCATAACTCTAGGTGCTTTTTTGGTTATCAGAAGCGAGGCAATTGAAATTCTGGTTAAGGTTTTTTGAAATGGCACTTAGGAAAAGATTCCGGTTACAGTTGTGTTAGATTGAAATGTGGCTTTTGTGTTTGCCTTGGCTGTAGGTGAAGATCCACAGACACAACCCAGTGGGACACTTGAAGCAGATCTACGTAGAAGACCTTGACATCATCCTGTCATCCTGCGAGGATGGAAACATATGTAAGCAAGCATTAAAAGTACCAATGAAAGTAGTAAAGACACTTAGTTAACTCGTATTCTTTTTTGTTTCAGCAAATTGTCAAAAAAATTGTCTTCAGTTTAATTGATTTCAAAACAGCAGCCTTAAAATCGATGTTATTTTTGGATCGAACTGATCAACGCAGCTAAAGATGGTTTGGTTGTTCGTGCGCATTTTTGGCTGCAAAGCATAAATAAATGGCATCAAATTATCTTCGATCATTTCATCGGTTGCGTAAGTTAAGTTCGAAAAAAAGTATTTAGTGGCCCTGAAAATGGTCCAGCTTAGTTGCCTAATCCCAGGCTGATAGAGTTGATGCAAGCAGCAGAAAAGATTGCTAAAAGTTTGAGCAAAACAAGTTTGAGCAAAACGTTGCTCAAAAGTTATACTTGATGATATTTGATTCCAATAGGGTTTTGATATGACCGAGGTGGAAAAAATTATATCACCGCTGCGCATGGCATTCAGTGGGCTTCGATTGTTTTTATAATTGGCTTCAGCATATCTTCTAAAGCTTACTTTCTAAATTTCTGGGTTTGGATAACGGATCTAAAGTATGTTAGGCGCTTTCTTGCAGCGCAAATTGAAGGCTCAACTTCAGCATGGAATTCATTTTGACAGTCGGCGTTTCGAGGGGCTATTCTCATGCGCGAAGGACCGAATGCGCGAAAAAACTCGTGTGCGAAAGACCGAAAACAAAATTAGCCGAAAGTCAATTTTTAAAAAGAAGCAATTGCCATTCAATTGAAATGAATTAATTGAAGCAATTTTTTTGCTTCTTTCATTACGAAACACTTGAAATATAAAGTTTGCCCCAATTTTGCGGCGGTCAATGACAATTTGAAAATTTTGTATTTTTCTGACGTTTTTATAATCGGCCAATATCAATACTCCAGACCCTGGAAATGTTTACTTTCTTTCCAAATTTTTTATTACTGAAATCTGAGTGGCTAATTTTTGTTTTCGCGCTTGAGGGATTCCACCGGCGTTTCGCCTTTAGCTCTTCTGCCTTTTATGTCTTCTGGTGCCGTTTCGCCTGCCTTCGGGTTCATTCCATTTTTTTGTCGTTTTTTGTTTCTAATTAATTCGGTGCTTTTTCTTTCACGCCTTCTGCTGAACCTCCTTCGAGATATACAATGTTTCCCTTACTCTTTTTCGATCTTCCAATTTTGGTGTTAATGACAAGTTTGTCTTTTCATTCTGCAACATGGGCTCGCTGAAGTCTGCAACTACACGATAAAGTCTGCAACTAAACATGGACCACTAAGGTCTGCAACATGGGGCTCGCCGCCTCAATTTTGTTTACTATCAAGTTAAGGGCAGCTGAATTGAATTTTATCATATTTTATCAAAGGTTTTTCTTTAATTATAGATTTTTGTGACCTGGTTTCTCAAATATTCAATGGGTTTTGCATACATGTGAGGGGTTTTGCCAATCTGTAAAGTTGTTCGTCCTCGCTGAGATTGATCATTTTAAAAAAAAACATCCCCCGAATCGTGGAGGTGGGGTTTCATTCGATTGATTCAGTAACTGATATCATTATTAGCAGCAACGAAAACCTGGTTAAAATTGTCTTGCACCGATTCACGGAAGACATAGAAGGTAGTTTTAAAACACTTCTTAATTTCACGCGATAAGTCAAACGAATGATCGTGATCAGTTCCAGGTATTCATGGTGGGATAATTCTGACCATACTGGAATGGTTTGTATGGGTCATCAGATAACATTCTAATATAGGTTGACCTTGTCGGATTTGATCAGAAATCTAATTAAAACCCATTAGTGCCAGCGCCCAAAGGCCGATAGAAAAATCGAATGCTAAATAATCAGGCACTAATAAATGACCTCGATTCAGTTGATTTCGAACCTTGCTCAACGATCTTCCTCCCCTTTTCTAGCCTTCCTGGCTCAGCACTGCATCCTGCCTGCCCTGTCACACATGTTGTTGGCATTTAGATTTCATTGATACTTTGAACCATTTCGTTAATAATTTGAACCTCGCTGATATTATTTGTCTGGGTTATGCAAATAACCAATGACCTTGCAGGTAATTTTGTCTGAAATTTTTTGACAGTTTTCAATTGACATTGTTATAAACATTTACGATAAGTGGCAACTTCTGATGGAGGCCAACTAATAATTGCAATCTAAAAAACTCACTTACCAGTTCCAGTTGCAAACGAATAAACAAATAATGTAAATTGGTAAATTACTAAAAGATTGAAGATTAAGTATATACTTTCTGGTTAGCACAAGGGACAATAAGTTGGTAAATTAAAATAAGATTGAAAATTAAGTATATACTTTCTGGGTAGCACAAGGGACAATTACTCTCCCCGAATAACTCTCTCTACGATTGAAGACAGTACAAAAAGATAGATAAATAGATTGATAAAAAGATTGATAGAAAAAAGAAATAAACCAGGTAATTACAAAAGCGGTAAAAGCAGGTATATTGATAAGAGAAGAAAGATATAATCATGAATGAAACAAGACTGCTCGTATCAGGGCGAAGCCCTGAATGTTCCGACTGCCTTTTAATGTTTAATAAAATGTAATAAAAATGAAAAAAAAATTCTAAAATTTGAATTTTTTTTATGAAAATCATCCCCCCACACGCCATATAAAGTACAAAAGGATAGATTTCGCTCCTTGTAACAAATCAATTATGGCGAATAAGCTTCTTCCAACTAATTTGGAACGATTTCTAAGACGGATTAAATCTCCGCTTACGCGTTTATAGCGCGAATTATATCGCGCGTTAATTGTCCCAAATTGGTCAAAATGGCAATCTTTAAACCCTCGTAACTTCACGAAAAATGATTACAGGTGAAATATCTTTTCAAATATAAGCTCAGGACAACAATAGCTTTCGAATGATATAAAAAAATTCCGTCAAAAATGGCTAGTTAAAAAGTCGAAATTTGTCTGAAGAAAAAAAAATTCACCCCGAGCACAAATATTCCGTTACTTTCGTATCGAAAGTCGGAACAAAAACTACTTCAGTCGGAAATTTTTGTTTATAGATATTTGGGGCTTCGACAAGAAAGCAGTCAAGAAACTGAAGAGGGTCCAGAGTACTCAAAGTACTCCTGCTGAGGTGAGTTCTATCAACTCTTTTTTTTTAAATTGTGATTTGTAAGTTTCAGCATTTTAAGCTAATGTGTATGTTCAACAGTGAGTATAGTTTAATGGCTATATATAAATCAGCCGAAGTATCAACCAGCCGAAGTATCAACCAGCCGAAAATAAGTAAATATAATGTAATATTTATGTAACAATTATGTAACAGTTACGAAAATAATGCAAATTTCAACCATATGATGAAACTTTTGAGCTGGCTTATATACTCCGCGCATTTTCGGTTGGCTTCAATTCGGCTTGTTTATATTCTCTCAGTTTAATAATTTTGCATCTTCTCAGGAGATGGCTTGAGTCGCAAATAAAAAGCAAGCTTCTGTCAGTTTTGAGTCAGTTGATGTGTATTAAGGATGCAATCACTAATCGGGTGGCTGGGTTCTCCTGCAGGAACGTCTTAATAGCGCACCATGGTCCAGTGACTTCACTCATTCTCATCACAGGATTTCAACACATCTATCTTGTTAGTCATCTTATTCAGTTGAGAAAAAATACCATTGTTTTTTTGTTGATAAAACATTGATCGGGGCGTTAATGTCGAAAATAACAATTTTCAAGTTTGCCAAAACAGTTTTTGTTTTCGGCACATTTGTATTTCGGCACTGATGTTCTGAAATACTGATGTTTCAGCTGAGTGCTGGATGGGACAGGCGGATACTCATCTGGAACCTGGACAGTCAAAGGTTAATAACCCCCTCCCCTTTCTAGCTCCAATCTCAAAATAGCTGAGGAAAGATTTCGATGATTTAATTAATGTTTCGTTATAAGTTTTAGTATAATATAAGGTGAAAAAGTTACTTATACGGAAGCAATGAAAATTCAAATCGGAATTTATACTGCATTGAAACATAATGACTGGTTTTCGTTGTTCATTCTGTCTATGTGTGTCATGGGTAAAAAGTATTTCCTGGAGATACGTCTACTTATGTCGTGTTTTAACGTTGTAGATATGCAGATAGTTGTCAGATGGGTCCAGTGATCGAGAGCAAGGACCCGAAAGAGGTGAAGGCGGCCATGGAAGTGGCGGCCGATGGGGCCATACTGGACATGGTCTACTCCCCTGAAAGGTAGCGCACCTTTTGTATCGCTTCCGTTCTGCTTTTAAATAAATTGTTTGCAAATTAGATTCCATTCATTGTAAAAGTTACTACATTTACAACCAAACGAAATCTCATTGCGAGAACGCCGTGGTACTATGCAGCCCGTTTTCAAGCTTTTCGATGTTATGATCAAGAAGTTCGCCCTAATTAATCTTGCTATTTTAATGCTGTTTTAACTTGCTCTTTTTGAAATGTCCATCTTCGTTTTCGAAGATTGAATCGATATACTAAGAATTTTTCAAAATAATTTACTTTTGCGTTCATTTAACTTTAAGTTTGTGGTACACTTAATTTTGAATGAATTGAAAAGCAAACTGTGTTAAAAATTTCTTAGAATACCGACTCAATCTTCGAAAGACGAAGATTGGACTTTTCAAAAAGAACAAGTTAAAAGAGCATTAAAGTAGCAAGATCAATTAGGACCAACTTCTTGATCATAATTTCGAAAAGCTGAACACAAACGACACAAAAACTGTTAAAAGATGGGCTGATTTTAACCTCAAATTAACCAGCTCGTAAAACTAAGTCAAGTAAAATTCTGTGGTATATATTTTTTCAATTATCAGGCGTATGTGCACAAATTAAAATGATGCGACAAACTGAAAAAAAAATTGACGCGACAAATTTGTTTACCATGGCACAGCATCGGTACTCCTTAAACAGGCGAATAGCTCGTATATTGTTTCTTTTCCTTGCGGAGGCAGCGTCTTTTTAAAAAGTAATGACATGAAAATGTCATTTTGAACACTTCTTTGTGCCATGATTGAGCAAAGCTGTGATTCAGCTACTCGGGTTTTTATCAAAAAAATTTTGAAATCTTTTAGTGCATCTTCAAACTTTGGTAAGATTTCATTTGCTCTTTTCACATCAAATCATGCTCGCTGTTCTGTGTTATTTTGTTATGTCCCAGTGTTCTGTGTTATTTTGTTATGTCTCTTTAAATGTTTTTTTTTGTCGATAAATTATAAATCCATATTTCTTCCATATCCAAGTTGATGCCATCACAAGGCATATTATTCGGCTTTCTCTTGTTAAATCCTGCAATTAAATGCTAGTGCCGTAATGAGGGACGGTCATGTAATTGATTACACACGAGCAGCTACGATGTCCACGTTTTTCCAACCTAAGTCGCAAATGAAAGTATTCATTAAAATCGTTTACTTAGCTGATTGTGTATAGCATGTTTTCAATAGCGTTTTAATAGCATGGTTTCAATTTGGCTTAGTTAGTGGCAAGTTCCTGTATGATAATAACGGGTCTTAATTAATTGTAGTTCCTGCGAATCGCAGAGGAGCTATCAGTAGGCCTTAACAGTCCTGTCGAGGATAGTCCATTTGTATTATCTCCCCACATTCCAGACAGTATTATTTTGCTGAGCGAAGCTGTTTTTTTGCGACTCAAGGCCGTTTTTTTTTACGTCTACAACTTTTACGTGGTACCACTATTACAGCCAAATTTGGTCAGGTTGTGGTAGACCTGAAGCTGGAGGTGAAGTGAGAGCTTGTCCTCACACACTATCATTGCCATGGCATGGGATCGAATACACGATCTGACGATTTCAAAGTGAACGCATTACCACTGTGCTAAGTGCCTCTCTTCTGAAAATTTATGTTTTTTTGGACGCTTTAGAAAATTCTTGCCTTTTCTTGAAAGCTACTTCACCAATTTTTTGAACAAGCTGTACCAATGAAAAGACCGAATACGCAAACGTGTGTCTGCTTATTGCGCTTGTCTCTTTTTATCTTACTCGACGTTTTACGGCCTTCACAAATTTCAGTGCGGGATTTTCGGATTTTTTTTTGTTTTTTTTTTTCATCTGAAGAGTTGCCCTACCCAATGTGAAATTAAATTTTCAATTGATAAAGAATGCCATGGGATCTGCACTGCATAAAAAATACGCCGTAATGTTTGTAGAAAAAGTTTTAATTTGACCATTTTATTACCGTTTTATGAAACTTTGACCATTTTATGATTTTTTTCCTCAAGAAATAATCATGTCAAATCTTGATTGACTTATCTAGTTGTAGAAGTTTTCCTGCATAAATGGCTACGCTCTTGTTTCTGTAGTTATGGTTAAAAAAAAAGTTATGGTCTTAAAAAAGGAAATTTTTGATATTTGACAGTTTTTGTGAAACTTTTTGCCTTTTCTCGAGAATTACCCTCCCAAATCTGCGATGACGGGTTCAACTGATAGAAAGTAAGAGGAATCTTCCCTGTATAAAATGTTTCTCAGCCATTTTTGTAGAAAAGCCAGCATGGCCTTAGGGTTTGACTATCTGCAAGAGTACATGGAGCAGGTGGGCGCTGGTAAGCATCTCAGTTTCTAGGTCCGTGGTTCAAATATTCATTTTTCAAGACTTCTTTTTGCTTCGTCTCTTGGCCGTTTTGTCACGTTTGGGTGTTTCATTTCTAGCATGCGGTGTGAGTTCGGGAAAAAAGGGCTCGATATAATAAATAACGTTCTTATTTGACAATATTCACATCGGTAATATACTTGGTTGAGCTCTTTTCCAGTTTCCCCCTTATATTTTTGCTGATATTCAATTTGAAATAACCTAGGGTCAACCCCCCTTTGCTATTATTTTATTATATCCATTTTCGGCCGAGCAACCTTTGAATTTTTCTAAAGGCGCCTTTGGCGCCAATATATACTAATTTTGAAGGGGATGCGCCAAAAAAAGCGCGATTTTGTGGTCAAAATTTTCCAAAAATAGCCCAAAAAACTAATTTGCCTGTGGTGCATAAATTTTTGTCAAAAAAGTCGACAAAAAATTCGAAACTTTTGAAAATCTGCCCCCAGCTCTAGAAAATCCTAGATCCGCTCCTGGGTCAGCGGGAAAAATGAACAGATTTCTCCAATATTTCGTACATCGAAATCGTCGTAGGTACCATTTCTAAACCACTTTCATTATACTTTTACGAGGGGGAAGGGGTGAGTTAGTGGGGTGGAAAACTAGAAAAGAGAGCCCTTGATTGTTTCTAGGAATGAGTTCGCGTATGGGTGTGCAGACAGACTGGTCTATGTGCGGAAATTTTCCCCTAGTGGCAGTGAGATGTTCCTCGTGAACACTCTCCTCGGTCACCTGGGAGAGGTGAACTGTGTCGGGTGGATATCCGATCTGGACTCGTGGGTGTCTGCCGCAGATGACTCTACCATGCGCGTGTGGAGTGTAAGTGTCGTCGTACCAATACACTCATTTAAGAAGCGCAGAGGTTATTCAGCCGCAGACTCTTCAGCCCATTTCAAATACAGACAGTCAAATACTTACGAAATTCAGCCAAATTAGATTAAAAAGACTAGATTTAAAAAGTTTAAACTTTTTAGAGGCGATGAAAGAATGTAGTTCAGACTCTTATATAGGTCGCAATGATTTTTATTTTCATTTTTTTTTTCAAGAAAGTTCGTAAAAAACATGTTCAGGCTCAAATTTGATTTTTCGCGGAAAGAGCTTGAAAACCATCTTCTTTTCTTTGAAATTCGAATGTTTAGATTTAAAATAAAGACTTATTTAAAAATATTGTATTTTTTCTGTTTACTTGCGTTCATTGACGCTTTTCCAGCTGTCTGTTGGGTATGTTTCTCTTTTGATAAGAGTCAATCATTGTATTGAAGTACCCCGAAGATATAACAGATCTAGGTATTGTCGGCTCTGCATAAAGATGCAAGTCACTTAGTACGCTGAAGGCAATCTGTTTTCTTGATTTTTGAATGGGCTGGGTAAATGAGTATGCCGGTTATCTACGGTGGTTTCTTGCTAATATAATCCACTGATCTGCATTTTTTGAAGGCACGTGGTCACTTATTAAGGCAGATCTAAAGTCGTCTTTTTTTAATGATATCGGTATCCATCAATACACAGGTGCTTTCTTCAAGTTCACATATACGAATTCCGTTATATACGCCAAGAGAATGAAAGAGATGATTGATGAAAACCAACATGGTTACTAGTGAGAAATGTCCAACGTTCTTTTTGTTGATGTATTAATAAACTACAAAAGCTATGCGGCTGATTTCTGATTGACAATGAATCATTCGCATTTAGTTTCTCCTTAATGTTTAAAGAAGCTTATGTTTCAATTTAGTTTTTTATAGCGAACTAATCATTTTTTTCACGCGATAGATCTTCTTGGCGGAAGTATAATGAAAAGTTGTTAAGCGTTGAATTTTTAATGTTATGCGGGTCATTTTAAAAAATTTTGTTTTTGCTGAAGTTGAGTAAAAAGTCGTTAGGCCCTTATCCTTCTCGTATAAATTATCTATCCTTAGGTTTGGAGTAAGATTGCGATGGTTTTGGAGCCTGTAAATTAGAAGTTTCTATGTGAGCCTAAACTGAGAAGCCAGGATTTTTGGAATTTAGATATTGTGATGGTTTAGAGTGTGGATGCAATGGAGTGTACTGAGGCTATATCTCTGCCTGGGCCTGCGTCTGCACTCACTGTGGACAACATGAACAGGGTGTTGGTAGTGGCAGCTCAGAACTCAATCTTGTAAGACAATATCGTTAAATTAGTCAGAATGAGCGCATGGTTTTAATGATCGATTGCACTATCAATTTGTCCTCCGTAAACAATTTGATTCAAATGCTGAGTTAAAAAGCAGTCATAGATAAAGCACACAAAATGAATGATTTTCAGCAAGAGATTGCAGTTTATCGTAATATGCAGAACTCAAATGTTGGTATGCCTTTTTTGCAGATTCCTGTTAATAGTCAAAATTTTGGATTAAACATCTGTTTTGATCGGGTGACCACATAGAGACATGAAAGTATAAATTTTGTTTTGCTTGAAACTTCGAGAAACAAAATGAGATTTGATTAAAACTTTGAAACCATTTGGTTTATTTTAGCATATAATGATGCTATAAGCCTGTTTTGTTTGATATTTTACGATTGAACATCTGAAAGTTGTCTTTTTCTTGACAGATCTACGAATTCATTGACACTTTAAAGCCTTATATGTTTAATCTAATTCATGACTGAGGTGTTTGTTTTATGTGTGGGTGTTTAGAGTGTATGATATCTTCTCTTGGCGTATTCTGCAGAGTCATTGCAGCTTCAACAACTCCATCATCAACTGTCTTCTACTGTTGCCCGAAAGAAACCAGGTCAGTAGTTCTTTTTCCTCCTTCAGCAACCTTATATGAACTTGAAAAACACAGAGTTATAATGATAGGGTATTTAGGTCAGGCAAGTCAGCTGAAGTTTGATTAACCCTACCTTCATATTTTTAACTTGAGGAACCTCTTGTTTTAGTCTAGCTTTATTTGCCACATTTTCAGATTAATGCTGGTACTGTTTTGGATTTAGAGAGGAACAAGACTGCTCGTATATCAGGGCAAAGCCTTGAATGTTCCGACTGCCCTTTAATCCATATCGAATAGTTTTTAGAATATGAAAGTATTGAAAAAACTAAAAATTTTGGACAATACCAAAGATCAAGTGTTAAAAATTGAGTCGCACGAAATTAATACGACCGATTTAACTAGCCTCAATTCAATTTGGAACTTTTTTGTTGTGGGGGATAAATTGCCATGCGTAAACAATTCGAAATACGATTTCAGCATTAGGAATAAAATCTCCAAAGCGTGCATGAATTAGTCCAGAGCATGGCAAATTTGGCAATTGACAAACTCCCAGAACTTTGCAAAAAAAGATTGAGGTAAAATATCTTTTTACATTTGATTTCAGGGAGTCGAAATCTTCAATGAAAAACTTGAATTTTTTTTGTTAAAACTTATTTGTTGGATCGCTGAAATTTGGCTGAATAAAAAACCACTCCAAGCATAAAGATTCCGTTTTCTTCGAAAGTCGGAACAAAAAGTCGGTCTTGATTTCAAACGGCTTCGATCCATAGAATTACTTACAACAGCAAATATAATAATAATAATAATGAGGTTAATAAAACTCAAACTACTGTTGCTGCACCCACCAACTAGTTCAGAGTCTTATATAGGTCGTGAGGATTTTTTTGAGGAAAAGTCTTAAAATTTGTTCATACTCAAATTTATTTTGGGCTTTGACTTTTGATTTCTTTTTAACATCAGTTAATTGCTTTTGTTAAAAAGAAGGCAAACTCCACCATCAAATGTGTTTGTTGAATCGTTTCCAATTGTCTATTTTAGTAAAGGAACAATCTGTGATATTTACACAGCATACTGATTGTTCCGACTTTCTTAACGAAAGTAACGGAATATTTGTGCTCGGGGTGGGTTTATTTTAACTAGCCAATTTTGACGGGCTTTCTTATATCATTCAAAAGGTATTGTTGTCTTGAGCTTAATTTTGAAAAGATATTTCCCCTGTGATCATTTTTCGTAAAATTATGGGGGTTTAAAGATTGCCTTTTTGGCCAATTAGGGACAATTAACGCGCGATATATTTCGCGCTATTAACGCGTAAGCGGAGATAAAATCCGTCTTAGAAATCGTTCCAAATTTGTCCAAGGAAGCTGATTTGCCTTAAACTTACTAAGTTACGATATGTTACTTGGAGCGAAATCTATCAGTTGGTACTTTATATGGCGTGTGGGGTGATGATTTTCAAAAAATCTCAATTTTTTTTTTTTTTTTCATTTTATTTTATTACATTTATTTTTCCATGTTATTTTTTGCTCCATAGAGCTTAAAAAGCAGTCGCAACATTTAGGGCTTCGCGTTGATACGAGCAGTCTTGTTTTCTTTTCATGCCTTTTGTTCCGAGTTTTGACGAAAAGCGGAATATTTATGCTTGGGCTGGCTTTTTTAAAATATTCAGTCAATTTTGACTTCACGATTTTTTGACGGAATTTTTTGTACGCTCTGAGAGATATTGTTCTTCTGAGCTCAAATAAAAAAGATATCTTTCTTGTGATAGTTTTTTCGTAAAGTTATGAGGTTTGAAAATTGCTAATTTGGGTTAATTAACCCGCGATATATTGCGTTCTTATAACAAGCGTAAGCGGCGGATTATTGCGTTCCAAATTAAACTGAGGCAAATATTTTGGTCTAATTTTACACGATACATGACGCTTATTACATCCCTTTGCAGTTAACATGAGCGTATGGGGGGATAAATTAAAAAAAAAACGTTTTTTCGATTATTTCGTGAATTTGTCAGCCAAAATTTTTTTAAACTGGCCGTAAAGTGCAGTCAGATTATTCAGGGCCTCGCCCTGATATATGAGCAGTCTTGTTAAGTGTGAATAGCTGGTTTATTGGTAGCTAGTGGTTTCAGGTTGGTAGGCGCTCATAGCTTATAAGCTAGGTTTTTTTACTCTCAATTTCCAGGTCGGGGTGCGATTTCGAAGCATAGCAGATTTTTTATCTGTTCTATCTTTTCTTTTTTCCTTATAGCACTTTTAGAGCTAATTTTTGACGGTTATTGCTTGTGTTTGCGAAGTTACAGCTTCGCCTCTGTGCTTTAGTATTTGAGTGGAAGTAGCGATGGAACCATCCAGCTGTGGAGTTCAAGCAGACTTAATGCCCTCATCAACAACCTGGGGAAAGTGACTGCACGACAACTAGAACAACAGAAGGTGGCTAACATCCTACACGGTCCCCCAGACTCCACTTACAGCAACCAGGGCAACAAGTCGCTGAATGAGAGTGACTTCACAGTTTATGATGAACCTATCAGTAGGCCACAGTTGTCGCGAGAGATTTCGAGGATGTCGCTGCTTAGTCTGACCACAAGATCAAGACGATATTCGGCCGATTCGGGAACATAGTTTATCACTTACTCATCTGTAAAATTCATGCATGCTCAGTCCAAAATGATCCAGTGCTTATTAGATTGAATAAAATACAGAATTTAAATTGTATAAAGTGTAAATTTGTAATTAAATTTTTGCTTTTCTATCGAGAAAAATTTAACAGAAAGTTATTGTATCCGACTTTTGACCAGCAGATGAACCTTACCATCGAATGTTTCTAATTTTAAAAGAATGACGAAATATCAGCGGGATTTTTCTGTTATACGGCCCAAAGTTACCGAATTGTTCATTGAGCTTCTGTTGTTAATTACACTTGCGATCTGCTTAGTGTGTTATTCCAAACCTTCTTGTTTTCTAACCTAACTCGCAAATAAAAGTGTTCATTTATTTGAAAGTTTCACAAGCATTGGAAATTGCATAGCATCTGTTCTCTGCTGTATTTGTTAATGAGTGGTTAATGGTACTTTTTAAGCTTACGTGGCTTAGTGGTTAGTGTGTGCGACTCTTAATCTCTAGGTCGAAGGTTTGAAGCTGAGAGGCAGACAAGTTTTTGCTAATTCGAGGAGTATTTCTAATATTAAATATTGCACTTTATAGAGCTGCTTTTTGTCGTGTTCTCGCAAGTGTTTGCGAAGCGAAACATCGCTTCTGTGTTTATATTGGCTTAGTGGCCTCAAATTGTTCATTAGTCGAGCGATTAACTTATTTGGGTATGTTTTTGAGGGTGAGAGGCACTTAATAAATTATTATGTTAAGTTCTGTTGAATTTTTCTTTGGCTTAAAGGGTTTCTGCTACCGTTTTTTTAGCTTTCTTAACTCTTGGTAATTTTTATTGGATGCAATTTTTACATTCTATTGTCTTGGCGCGTTTTGGCACTTCTAGTATTTTTGGTTTTAAGATTCCGAGTATCGGAAAGCTAATTAACTTTGGTACTCTTAATTGTAAATCGTTCGGAATTGGTGCAAACATCTTTCGTTTTTTTTTATTCGGCTGATATTATGTTGGTTAAAGTTCCAAGCAATTTATATTAGCTATATTGTTCATTGAATGTTAATTTAACTCTAAGTCTATGAAAATCTAAAAATTTGTTTCTTAGGTTTCAATCGTTTATTTCTTCTTTTACAGATTTAACTTTTTCAGAGGATCTTTTCCCAACATGATCATAAATTTGTATCATAGGCAGTCAGGGTTACTGTTTTAATCAAGTATTTTCTTGGTTGCTACATAGTTTGCTTCTTAAGCTCCGATTGTTTTCTTTTCAAAATGAAATTTCAGCGAAGTTAAAATACCAGTTAAAGGTTTCGTTTTAGCGTCTTCCGAGCTTGAAATAACACAATTTTAAGTTCTTGAAGACAAATACTCAAGTATTTGCGGTACTGCTAATTTATTTATCAAGGATATTGATGGAGATTTAGCTGTATAAATTTTGACTTAGGGCTGAATTGTTTTTTTTTGCATCTACGTACTTGGATGCTGCTTTAGCTGAAATTTTGACTGTGCTGCTGTAGAGTGCGCCGTTCATGCTTTATCCAGTATAGGTCTACGATGCGACTCTTTTTTTGACAAAGTCAATGGTTTTTGCCTTCATGGTATTTACATCCAATTTCATCGGGTGTTTTGCTATCTGTTTCATGATCGGATCTCGGCTCAAACCATTTTTTCCTTCTTTGTTTTTTGTTTGTGAATTGACGAGGAGCTTTTAGGTGCGACTGAACGTAATGAAGAAACTTAAATGGGTCGTGTTGGTAACTTTGAGAAACATGTCTTGAAATGCACTAATAAGTAGACAAGTGCATTCATACATACAAATGTATGTATGCACTTTTAAGGTCAATTAAACTTCATTTGCTTTAAAGAAGGCGAACTCCGATCTCCAACTGAAGAAGTGATGGCGTGAAAAAACATTAAAAAGGGAATAGAAATGTTATTAAGAGAAATGAACGTCGTGAAGACTTATATAGGTCTTGCTGATTTTTTTTTAGGAAAAGTCTCTAATAACTACAGATGTACATTCATAGATATTGAAGCATTTATGAATACCCTTAGGAATATATGCCTTTTTTGTGTTCAATTGACTTTCTTCTGCTCAAAGTGACGTAAATAGCTTTCTCCAATTACGAACCTGGAATGGAGCGAAAAAACGTGAATGTTTTCTAGTTTCGAAAGTGGAGTTTAATTTTAAGATTTCCAGCGGAACAAAAACTTTACTTATAGATCCAGTTTTCTCTAATTGTGTTCATGTTTTGAAAAAAGCGCCAATCATAAATTGTTCTAGAAATTCAAAGCGCTTAAAGGGAATCTATTTTTTTCTTTGAAATTCGAATGTGAGATTTTTCCAAGAAAGTCAGTGTTTTTTATGTTTAATTGCGTTCATTACTCTTTTCCAATCTTCGATTGGCTATGTTCAGTTGATTCAGTCGTCTTAATTCTCATTAGCGATATCAAATATCGTTAATCGAAAATGATTTAACAGAGTTTCAAGGCCGCATGGTTTTTTAACTAGAAAAAAAAACAATCATTTAGTTTTTCAGTCTCCTTGAAACCATTGAACTTTCTCACTGTCTGTTGGTTATAATTTTTTGATTATAAGCTACTGTGTTTTTTTTTCTTGGCGAAAATTATTTCATCTAATTGAAATTTTTTTCTCAAAGAGCATTTTACGGTTGTCTGCGGCTATAAGCAATGTGTGAAACATCAGTTTTCGAAAGCTTTTTTAATATCAGCTTTTTATTTGAAATTTTTCGCTTTCAAGCTTCGGGCTGAGAATGTTGGCTTAATTCCCGCACAGATTTGATCTTTTTTTCATTTATTTGATTAACTCATTTTTTAATTCTATATTACTTTTCGAATTTCTGATGTGACAAGCTTCTCGATTTTAATTTAAATTCTTTGATTTTGGATTTCCACTTTCCACTGCTTCGTCAATTTGTGTATGGATATGGAATACAATTACAATTATTTGAATAGATGTCATAAAAAAGGGGGTGAAGTCGATTTGGTCGCTCATCAAGCTTGGTCAATTTAAATTCTTTTTTTTTCTGGGCTTCATTTTAATTCTACCAATTTCTTCAGAATTATAAATAACCCATCGATTTGCTAAAGCTACTGCTGTTCGTAGAACAAATCTTTGCTCTGGAGGTTTCTAGTGCAAATACTGAATAAATATTGTTTAAACCCCGGTCTTACCTCAATGCAGCCATTTCACCGTAACCGGTCTCACCTTGAGGAGGTGGTTTAAATTGGGTTCCCTCACCTCTGTGACCGAAGTGGGATTCTAACACACGACCCTCATGTTGAGAGACGCTTGACTTAAACACTCGGCCACGGCCGCTCTAAGAGTTTTTTGGACTTGGTCAACTGTCAGCTGTATCATCCCTTGATAACATTGAGTTGAATTGATTGATCCATGTTTGTGTTACACCTACCCAGAAGGTTTAAGCATTGCGGCATGTTTCTCATTTCATAAAAAATAACCACAGATGTGGTTGAGAATGGGTTCGACCATGGTGTGAGGATAAATGATATGGAAGCAAAACGCTTGCATATCAACAAATCGATGCCAGTTTAAACAAAGCTCACATTTTACTCATCGACTTATATTTCGATTATTAGAAACTATTTTTTGAAGAATATGTTTGTTGTTATCCTCGCGATTAACACGCGTGATCAAATCCGAGCAAAGGCTTATCGAGAATGGCAACTTGTCTTACAGAGTCAGTAATTGATTTAATAGCTTCGTTTCTATTAAATTCGAGTCCAATGACTGCTTCTGCGCATTTTGACTAGAGGTTGCGACTGTTTCGAGTGCGAGCGGGACCTGAAATGTTTGCGCTCTGGAAATTTTCTCATTTTCGGTTTATCGTGCGTCTGCTTAATTTTGTTTTAGCTTTCACGCTACAACCTTACGGAACGGTGCTGTGTAGTAAATTGAAATCCAAGACTTGGTTCAATTTTGGTTTTTTTGCTTGTTTGAAGGGAGAAAACCTATGTTTTTTATATTAGTGCTTTGCATTGTTACATCAGTGCTTGTCTTGATGCTTGTATTTTTTGCTCAAATGCACGTGCTTATCCGCGCTATTAACCAGGGGTTTCGGGTAGATGTTAATTAATCTCCAAAGTGTCCATATTCCTGACTTATTTGTAATATCTGAAAATCAAAGACTTTGGCTGATTTGGCCGATACGTTTCCTCGATACAATTTTTAAACCTAATTTGCCTGCTTTTGTGTTGTTTCAGTTGTTGATTCAAATTAAAATTCATTCGCGGAGACCCACAAAACTTAGTAGAAGCGTTTTTCTATATTTTTCTAAGTAATTTTTTTAAGTAAGTTTTTGGCTTGGTGTCTTTAGTCTCGGCTTGGAGTTCTGCTAGCTTTCCATGCTGTTTTTTGTATCGCTGTGCCTCTGCGTTGGAGCTTCTTGCTGTTTTGATTGTGTTAGTGATATTAAATTACACAATCTGGACTTTCAATGATCAACATGGAATCTACTAAGCAATTGGGGAGTCTGGATTCACATATCTTCAACTTGTCACGTGGAATTTGGGACAATACCAAGGGAAATTTGAACCAAATATTCTTGTAGTTAAGTCGCTGATTAGTCATTTCGCCATAGGTTCCCGATTCCTTGCTTGGGTTGCTAATCATATAGTTGCATAGGCCGTACTAATTTCTCCAAGAGATGTGCAGGATTTCCCCCACTTTGTTTCGGATTCCACGCCGTGTTTCGGATTCCCCGTTTGAGCTTATGATTGTTGTAATTTATTGGAAGCGCTCATTTTCCGATTGACTTTTTTCAATTGCTTTTTGTTGGTTTTTGTAAAAATGGTTGAAGTCTCACAAAATGTTTCGGACAAATCTAAATCACTTTCCTAGACCCTTCCTAATAAAAGTAAAAATTTTAAAATTGAAAAAAAGTTTAAAATGTTTGAATTTTAATTGAAATTTTTTCAAAAAATTTTTTTTCAATAAATTTTTTTTCGTGTATATTTTCAGTTTGCAAAATAACTTTGCTTTCAACCTTTTATGTTTTTTTTTGTTCAATCAACTGTTTTTTTAAATATTTTTTTCTGGTGTAGTTAATGAGTTTTCGCAATTTTTTTGCTTATGATTGTTAAGTTTTTCTACAACAATTGAAAATATGTTCTCATTGTTTTTTAGCTCAAATTGTTCTGAAAAGTAGCTGTTTTATCCAAAAAACAAGAACGAAGCAAGCTATTTTTGGTAATTTAAATTAATATTGCTAGTCAAGTTCATGTTTTGCAAATTCAATTTGAGTTGCTGTCTGGTATTTTTTGTTCCTTCAGTTTTGCTTAGTTTCATTGTTTGGATGGTAAAAGCGGGAGCGAAATAAGCTTGAAGTCATCATTTTTCCGCGATTTTATCATTTTTCCTTTTTTTTTGTCGCCAATTTAAAAAGTGTATTTTTTTTGCTCACTTTTAGTTAATTTTGATCTGTTTTCGGGCTGCATTTTTAACAATAGTTCATTGGCTCATGTTTTTCTTTATTAATTGGTTATTTTTTGGTTTGATTTTTTGGTACTGTTATTCAGTCAACTTGCTTGTCTTCTCTGACCGGATTTTTTTGAAATGAAAATCGGTGGTTTTTTGGCTTCATAGCTGTTCAAAATCAGTTGATTTTTCATAAGCAGTGTCTAGTTCTTGTTTTTTTTTTAAAATCATTCGTTTTTTCAGACTTTTTTTGTTGAACTAATAAATTTCAAGTTTTTGAATGGTTTTGGAATTGTTTTTCGAAAATTTTTGCGAAATTTCTCATTGTCAGTAGTGTTGTTTTTTAAGTATCGGATCACATTTGTTTTGTTTCTAATCTTATTTGTCTAGGCTCCTGAAAAATTGAATAATGTTGTTCGGTATTTATGTGCCTGTCATTTACTAATTTAAAAAGTAAAAAGAGTGGTTTTTGCTTCTTTCATCAATGCAGTTTACCCATGGATCGATCGCGTGTCTTCGGAATATTTCGATTCATAGTAGGCAGGTTAAAAAGTTTCTTGGAGCAGGCAGATTTTGTTGTTTATATAATTTCAAAAAATATTTTTGCAACAATTTTGTTATCTGATTTTTGACAACGTTTTTCTTGACTTATAATTTTTGCATCGCAACTGCAGAATAAATGCACTTAATATTTTTAACACAAAAACGTCAATCTATTGGGATTTTTAACTTATGTAAGCTTGATTAATTAACATCTGAAAATTTTTGGAAAATTGAAAATTATTGGTGCATGAAGTTGCTGGCTGAATAAAAGTTTCTCGAAAAAAAGGGTAAAAGCAAAAGTTCTAAACTTTTGCAGATCATTTTGAAGGTTTTTTAAAATTATTTCCAAGCAAGAGCTACATGAAGTACAAATAATTTTTTCAGTGCTTAAATAAAAGTTTTTTTTCTGTTTTTAACACTTACTCAGTCGCTTTATTCGCGTTGAAATTTTTGCTTTTAGTTTAACTTAGAGAACTTGAAACCAGTTTTTGTAGAGGCTGAGAAAATTTTGCGATGCCGTTCGAATCGCGCTTTTAGGTGCGTTAATTTGATAGAAAATTACTATACCCATTAGACGATTATTTGTGGTAACTAATTTTGTGGTAGCAAAATTTTTAAAAACCAAATCGGCCACAAAGACAAAGTTCCGCCGCTCTCTCATTGGTCTGAACAGATATGTGTTAAAAGTAATCTCAGTAATATGGTGCGCTGTTATTGTATGCTCGTATTTTTTTGATTTTTATTGCCACGCAAGAAATGAGCGTGTAATTTGCTTTGTTAGCTGGTACTGATACTGCTAGTAGGACAATATACCCGATCACAATCTACTCCATGACATTATACCCTATATACCAATGTAACTTATGTTTATTTAACCTACAGTTAGCGATACTATTGTTTACTAATACTGAATATTGAAATTGATCGAAATGACTGATTTAGTTTTTCGAAAAGTCAAATTTAGGATTTTTTTTTGGTGGTGTCCCACTTACAGCTCGTTTTTCAAATTCATTTTCCAATTGGAGCTCGCGATACATTTCTCATTAACAAAAAAAAAGAAAATGCGGTGCTAATCTCCACTTTCACTTTCAAAGTGTATCATAAATTAGTTATTTTAAGACTGAATGGAAAAAAATATATTGATTCCATTTTCATTATTTGGGTGACTTGTATCAATTTATTTTAGTTTATTTTATAAATGTATCTTGAAATTGGTCTAGCTTTAAAATTGAGCTTTTTATTCCAAGACAATCATAATTGAAAGAAGCAGTCCTTTTAATTATATTTTCCCCAAGTTCAATAATTCTTTGTCAATTGTTTGTTGGTTATTTTCGTTTTCTTAGTTGCATTTATACAAATTGATAAGATATATTTTGCTTGCTTGATTGTTTTTAAAATTAATGTGCGTTTTTCTGTTGATTGTCCTATGGCGTTCCCTGTTCGTACCATATGTTCTCATCCGCCAGAATTTTGAGTTGTGGGCGGTTGTTTAAGTTAGCTAGTGAGTGAAGTGAACAAGACTGTTTTGCAGTTGAACTTCCTTAATTCGCGTGTCTCCTCTGTTCTCTTAATCAATATACTGTATTTTCCTACCGCGCTTGACGTTTAGCAAATAAATCGCCACGATGGATACACCATTACCGTTGCTATACTACGGAAAGCAGAGGCTTAATGGGAAGGAAAATAAAAATCTATCTCGCAAACGATTTCTGCGCTCAACGGAGCTCTAATTTTTCAACCACTAATGAAAAAGTGTTCTACAGTTGCTGTACTGTTAACAGTTAGATAAGTCCTATCCGTTTATATTTTCTATTTGATGGAATGTAAAAGGATATAGATATACAGCTAGATGATTGCCTCGCACCTTTCTTTGTTCTCCAATTCCTTCCAATTTTGGTGATTTATTTCAGATTTTCCCAATATTTTCATCTCATTGTACTCTAATTGTTGCCTCAAAGTTAGCTCATTGTTGAATTTGCTACGTCTCACTGTCATCAAACCTTTTCACAAACTGTCATCAAGTCTAATTTTTGTTTGAGAAAGGCAAACGTAAGTTTATAATATCACTTCATTCAATTGTAGGAATTGATAGCATGATAAGATCTACTTTTTTTCAGCATTGTTTTTTTAAATAGTTGACAATCATAGCACTGGTAATGAAAACAAACATTCAAATCATCCAAAATTCCCCCAAAAAATCCCCTTGTGGGAGTTTTTGGGGGAATAAAGGAGCAAACCAGCTAGCGACTAAGAAACAAATTAAACGGGACCAGGAAGTATTGGTTGTCGTTTCTAAAGGAAGAGAAAATAGGCTAGCGTGAAATATTAATCTTCCATTTTTTGAAACTTAAAAGGTGTTTTCGAGATCCTTAGAAATGTGTTTGATGCTTCAGCGCCCAAAGGAGAAATGAAAAAATATTGTTTTTTTTGTTCTTATTGCTTCTCTGCAATTTTTTCGGTTTTCCTTGAAAAATTGCCTGATAAAAGTCTTAGCATATGAAAACACCAGCCATATAAAATCATCTTCAGAGGATCTGAGTTTCCTTAAAGCCGTATCAGGTGAAATGAACCAACAAAACATAAAAGAGTATGGAAATACCTGAAATAGCTGAACAAACAAGCATGATTCTTTCTTCTTCATTTTTTGCTCTCTGCTGATAGAAAACTGTCAATAAGATAAAAATTTATATCATTTTTCAGATGAAAATCGTCAAAAGGTCAACAAAATTGGGCCTATAAATAGAAAGATTATGGCATGATAGTGCCAGTTTGGGCACCCTATGAATTGGAGCTGAAGTAATTATGACTTGACTTAGTAGCAATGCTTTGCTTTAGATTCTCTCGACTGGCGTGCTTCTTGTTATTACCATCAATCAATTATTGCATTACTTGACTAGTTAGTGATAGTTATATAGGGCAGAAGTAATTGACCTCAGTGCATTTTACAATCAAATTGCATTCCTGGATTTAAGTTTGATATATCGCTCCAAAGGAACCAGCTGAGAATTGGATTTGTCAAAGTGAGTTCGAAGTGATTGCCTAAGTATAACAATGGAAGTGCTTAAATCAGGATTGTTCCGCGCGGCGTATTTTCTCTACACGAATACGAGTGCGGGCTACTATTACCATGCTCATAACTTGGCAACTGCGGAGAGGAAGTTCAGGCCGAACGACATCAAAGGTAAGTCACCGAAATAACTACTTTCAAGTATTTTTTGTTTGATAAGCGTATTATAAATGGCCAAGATTTTTTCTTCAGTTGGATGTGTTGTTGCAAAATATTCAAAATTTTATTTTTATTTTTTGTACCTTAGAGCAGTATTACTTTTGGAAGTATCCGTAGAAATATGTGAGTTATTATTCTACACAGTTTTTCGATTGGTTTTGTTTCAATATAACTATTAATGATTTCAGATTGAATTTTTACCAAAAAAATTAGCTTCTTGGTTTTAGTATGAATCGATTCCTAGAACGTGGCTGGGTTTCCTCTAGAAGCGAATGTTTTCGAACCCAAAAAAAAAGAAATTACTCTTTTTTGGTCTGTGGTCACCGTGGTCTGATGTAATGAGATGAACAGCTCTTTTTGGTTTTTTTTGGGTATTCCTTTTTTGGTTGACATTTCTGGCTTTTTCGTTCTTATATCCGCTTCAGTCTGCATGAAATAAAATCCTAGCTACCAAGCTGAGAACTTTGTATTTTGGGTGTCTATAGTTTGCTGCAGGGCTGTAATGGGAGAGTCAATTTTATAAACAAAAAAACTATTCTGGCATCTTTGTAGCGCACAGCAAGGAGACCCACTTCGACTATGGACCCATCAGTGTGCATGTAATACCCTTCTGTATGGACAACTACTGCTACATAGTAGTGGACACAGTCTCTCTCAGTGCACTCGTCGTGGACCCAGGGGATGCCACTCCAGTCGTCGACTTCTTCGCTCGTAATACAAACTATAAGGTGCGTACATGAAATCAATTTACTTTTTTCTAGACGGTGATTTATCTAAAGTAGGCGGAGACTTCACTCTGCGGTTAAGTGTAAGGTCAGTATCTCGACCTGATTTCTAAATTTTGTTTTTCTAAATTGTAAAGAAAACTACACATAATGACATAATCATTATCTCTCTTCTCTCTCTCTCTCTCTCTCTCTCTCTCTCTCTCTTTATTTCTTTTTTCTTTCTTTTATTTTTCTTTGTTTCTTTTTCACTGATGCGGCTTTGGAGTCCATTCAATATAAAAATAAATAAATAATTTTGAATTTCCGTTATTCGAAGGTCTCTTGGCGCCCTTTTGTATTACTTTTGGGTTCCCGTTTTTGAAGTTAATTGAGTGTAGATTTTCTTTTGTTTCCAGCCCATTGCAATTCTATGCACTCACAAGCACTGGGACCATTGTGCGGGCAATGGAGAACTATTAGAGAAGTATCCACACCTGGAAATATTCGCATCGGAGGATGACGGAGCCTATTTGAGCAACAGGACTTTCAGAGACTCGGAGGAGATCGCACTTGGACAAGGACTTTTTAGCAGTGCCAGCATTACGGCTTACGAAATGCCAGGTAAGCTCAGGGTGGCTACAAGCGGCTGAAATGATAAGATTTGTCATATGGTCGGTCAAACCAGTCATGCTAAAACTTCCTTTATCGGACTTATATGGCTACAGCCACTAATAACAGAGGAAAATGTTTTTAGGGTTGAAAAATACGGTTGGAAAAGGCTTTCTAGTTTATAATGGACTTGGTATTTGTGATGGGTTTACCCAGATTAGGACAATAAATCGAAAAGCTCCATTGATTTTAAAGCAATGTGATGATCGTGCAAATTGCGTCTTTCGATAGCATAACGGAAATAGTGCCAAAGTTCGTTCTTAGTCAGTCGTGTCAAAAATAAAGTGCTTTATTTCTGAGAATCATGAGCTGAATGAATAACATACCTTGGTCACGGGTTTTGAAAAAAGAGTAGTTCTACCAATATCTTCAATATGATGTTCTTTATTCCTAATGAAAAAATGTGAAAACGTTTTTATGAACGTTTTTTAGCAGCGTTTGGTTTCAAAAGGAATGTTCGGAAATTAAAAGTATAAATGGTTTTGTTCAGGTCACACTGTTGGACATGCTCTGTTCTGTATTTCTCCAGTGTCATCAAACAGGACGGCGGAAAATATGAAAATACAATCTAACAGTAGAAACGACAGCATTGGGCGCATACTGTCTCTAGACCCCGATTTCGAAAATGAGTCACTAACAATCACCTCTTATCAACACCATCATGGCACTTCAGCCAATAAACATCAAACCATACCCACTATCAGTGATGATCATGAGTACTTAGCTGGAAAGCTCATTCATAAGATGTTCCCCATCAATATAAACATTCTAATGAATGGATAGACGGCTTAAAACTAGTTAAGGTCTTTCGATAGCCCATTTTTTGAAGTAAAATACTTTTTGAAATGTATTGGTTTTTAAAAAATAGTAAGTTATGCTTGATTGTCGATGACACAGCCCAAAATTTTATTGATGTTGTTAAATATATTCAAATGCTCATCACTGCTTCTCTTAGCGTACAATGGAACTGGTAGACTAGGAGAAAATGATCACGAGGAAATTACAAACTCTGCTGATGAAATTCAAGACGAAGCCACGTTGCCGCCTCTGTTGTTCACAGGCGACTGTCTCTTCATGAACGGAATCGGAAAGATGTTCGAGTGTCCAAGTGTGGTCATGGCCGCCACATTGCAGCGAATCATGGACATTTTTCCGGACACTACGCTTGTCTGGCCTGGCCATGAATACACGATGACGTTTGTTAAGTTCACGCTTAATGAAATTGAACCAGAGAATGAAGTTTTGCAAGAGAGATTCAGAAAAATTAGTGAATTAACTGAGCAAAAATTGCCAACAGTTCCCTCACTGTTCAAAACTGAAAAGGAGTGCAACCCTTTTTTGCGCACTGCCAAATTAAGCTCGGAGAACAAAGACTTCATGAAGAAAAGTCCGAGCGATATTCTGCAAATTTTAGCCGATAGAAAAGACAAATTTGCCAAAAGTTTAAATGCTAATTCTCCTGCTGCAAGTAGCAGTGAATTTGTTGGCTCAAACTCTAACTAAAATTGGTTTCATCAATTCAATTTTTTGTACCATATCATCATTAAATGACAAAAAATTTTATTCTGGATGGCTATTTTTTGAAACTTAAAAATTTACTCAATATTCTGCCATATAAATCAATTCAACTTTTTGCTAAGCATCCTTTTTGGGACAGAAAAATGAAAGTAAATCTCAGCTGAGTTGCAGGATCTGATCTATGAATTTAACGAGGTGTGTTTCAAGAATTTTGCCAACTTTAGCTAAACAAAATGAATTTTTCTATCTCTACCAAAATTAGAATAGACCTTATTTTGGCTCAAGTTCTGTGCGATAGGCAATTTATTGAGAAAGTATGCGGAAAGCACTGTTAAAGGATAGTTTTTGGAAGGTTTCAACTAGTTTGCAGGTTTTGGGATGCGCTTAGGCATGAAATTAGTATATATTGGCGCCAAAGACTTTTCCTTTCCAGTTTTGACTGCCCTCGTAGTTTTTCAAAAAATATATATTTGAAAATTGTTTATACGACAGTTTGCATGCAAGAAATATTGTAAACAAATGTCTTGTTAATAGACTTCGAAATCAGAAATCGATTTGCAGGCGAAAACCAAATAAAGAGGGGAATGGCAATTTGGGTTGCTTGGCCAGAAAATGACTAATAGCAACTTCGGATTGGTTTGAATTTCTGAAGTGCTTTTTGGAGTGGATACATTGTTGTTTTCTGTCGCTAACATTACCCAACTGTCACCCGCATATCGTTTCTTGAGTGTCAATGAACGAAATGATTTATCATTTCTTCATGTTTTGTGGATTTTTAATTCAGTTTTTTTTCCAGGAAAAATTTGGGTGTTTTGTATCAATAAGTTTAAAGTAAAATAAGATTTTGAAATTTTGCTTGCTTTAAAATAGCACGGTGGAACGATCAATTTCACGAGAGGAAATATTTAACTATAATTCAATAGTTTTTGGCCGTTTTTTGGTCAGCGTAATTTGTTTTCTGCGCTGTGCTGCAAAATTGAATAGACACTTTCAATACAAAAGCTATGTGCGATAGGCGATTTTTTGAAAAGAAAAACGTGCAGAAAGTATCCGTTTTCGGATGCTTTTTAGAAGGTTTCGAACAAAAATTTGCACATTTCCGGGTTGTGCTCCCCCAAATAATTAGTATTTATTGGCGCCAAAAGCGACCTGAGAAAAAAAATTAAGCTCTTTTCCAGTTTAGGACGTAGTTTTACAAATAAGGTGGTCGAAAAATGTTTATACGGCAATTCGCTTGTAATAAGTTGATTGAGAAAAGTGTTTTTCTGACAAGTTTTCTTCGCAGTTTAGAGCATCAAAAAGTATTTTAAATAGGCTTACTCGAATTAAATTGCCGAAAAAATCAAAAAAGGGGGGCAAGAAAAGAGCTGAACTATCGGGTTGGTGGGCCATAAAAGATGTGAAAAGGCACCAAAGGGAAAGCCTTTGGATTGTTAATGGTTTGAATTCCGAAGGAAAGAAAACAGTGCCCCTCACCAATAAATTGGTACTGCTGATTGGGGACTTATTCTTAGTATAGTAGACGGACTGTTTAACAGTCGATGAAATAAGTTCATACTCCTATATAGTAAGCGATGATTTTTTTTCGTTTTTTGCAGGAAGTTTAAAACGCTTTTTTATTTTACGGAAGTGAATTCGTACATTTTAATGCATTTATGAAAACGTTTAGGTATAGTTGCACTGTTTGAGTTCAATTCAATTTCATTTGCAGAAGTTTGACAATTTTCCTTCGCCGATAAGGAAAAGTGAAGGCCACGAAACACGTGATTGACTTCTAGATTCCAAAGTTGATTTTGTTTCCAAATTTCTTAGCTGAAGAAAACTTTACCTTCTAATCCATTTTTCTCAATTTGAGTTAATTTTATCCACAAAGTATCAATCATAATTTTATCCAAAAAAAGTATCGATCATGTAATTGAAATTCATAGATCTGTAAACCCATATATTTTTTACTTTTCATTTTTAGTTAACGTTCTTTGAGAATCCAGCCACACTGGGTGTTATAAATCTATCAATACATTTTGTTATTTTTTCTTTAAAATATTTAGCCATACGCAAAAATCATGTGTAGCGTTTGAGTGACTGTTACTGCACGTTCCTGTTACTTGGCGTCTTACTTCACATAAATTTGTACGGAAGTTTGTGTAGTGAAATGGCATAAACAATTTATTTTTAGTATAAAATCGGAAATCGAGTCGTAGCTTCTCAACGTCTTGAGTGCTCACATTTAAGGTCAAAAGTCAAAATTTTCAGTTTGTGCTCGAGATTTTGAGTTTTCTTTTTTGATCAACAGTAAAGTATGATTAATTGTGAAAAAATTGATGATTAATTGTGAAAAATAAATGGCTACAATAATTATTTTTGCTAAAATTTCTTTAGGGTTGTATAACTTTTAATTTTTTTTTTGAAGTTCGATTGAATGCCATTTGATAAAATATAGAAAAACGTTGCCTCTTTTTTTCCTTGCAATAAGTAATGGTATTGCAATTAGGTACTAGACTTTTTCCCCGTAAACAATTTTGTTCACAGTTGTGCACAGTCAGTGCAAGTGTTCACTTCTTAAGTTCAAGATGTTCGCATCTTAACCTGCAAGTGTTGTTGATGCTAAGTTTCAGGGGGAACTTGAAATATTCTTAAAAAATATATAATTTTTTTTTTGGCTCAACTGGTGCCTGCTCAAAGATTGTCGGCTTAGTTGCCACATCACGGATTTTGCTTGTGTTGCAAACAGTTTGCTTTGAAATTGCAAGTGCAATTGTTGCTCATATTAGTTTCACGGGGACTTGAAACATTTAAATTTTCTTCTTAAATCATTTTTTATTGGCCCAGCTGGTGTTTGCTCAAATATTGTGGGTTTAGTTGTCCCATGGATTTTTCTTTTGCTTTAAGCAACTTCCATTGTTTTTTCAAGTGTGTTAATTGTAGATTCACAGGAAATTTAAATTTTGTTTTAAAATCTATTTTTTCGGTTCATTTTGTTTCTGCTCAAAGATTGTCGGCTTTGTTTCTTTTTCGTAAGCTTTGTTCCTTTGCTAATTCAATTTTCAAATGTCTGGCACTTTCATTTTCATTTTACAAGACTTATTTGTTTAATAATGTTTTTGACTTATGTTTTTTCTATATTTGTGTTGTACGCAAGTGGTGCCAAGCTCGGCTTCGCCTCTGTGTGAAGAAAGTGCAAGTGGCGCAAAAAAAACGTGAATGCTTTTTAGTTTCGAAAGTTGATGTTTTAAGATTTCACAGCAATAACAAAAGATTCTTGGGTTCGTGAAGTTTTATTTTGATTCGAGCAGTTGTTACTATAATTGAAAGTTCCGAGTTTTTATATTTACCGAGTATGATTTTTATATTTCTTTTTATTTTTACTAACTTTTTTTCGATTTAAGGGTTCCAGTGTATCTATATACGCTTTGCGAACTCTTAATGTGTAGTTTTGTGGGCAGATATATTTTTATGGTTTTTATGTGATTCAGTACGGATGGTTGGTAAAATCTAAAACTTGATAACTCAAAGTTTTGACAGCAGTTTTGTTTTCGGCTCTACAGGATTGACTTAATTTTGATTGCCTTAGTTGCAGCGGTAAATGATTGCCAAAGTTTTTTAAGGCTTTTTATGATCATCAGCCAATGAAGACATGGATATTTTTTAGGTGTAGTTTTTCGACTTTTTCCAATTTAGCTTTGCAAGAATTTTTTCAATTTAATTTGAAAAATAAAAATTTGTTTTTTCTATTCACAATCCTGTCACGCTATTTTTTTTTTGTAAAACAAGTACTGCTAAGCTGCGCTTGGCATCTGTTTCTATGAACTTAAGTATTTTTTTTGTTTTGCAAATTATGTTAAGCTCCGCGTTTAAGTAATGTGTGAAATTAAGCATTGGAAGGGAATTTCTACTTAGATATGATATGTCACTTTAAGAACAGCTATTCGTCGAAACCTTCCTAAATTTTTTTTTTGTAGAGATCTTTGACTAAAAATATTGTGCTATTTTCAACAACTCATCTGTGTGTTTACCAAGCTAGCAAAGTTATAAAATCATTTCACATTTTCCAACGCAATGCGCACTTGGTTGTGCAAAATTTATGCGGTACATGGAGAGTATATAGCAATATTGGCTTTATTGAGGCTCATTTGTGCTGCCTGTTATCCCAGCTAGTAGCTGATTTAGGAGAAATTTAATTGTCAGACTATTGTTTGTCGCCTTATTTTTGTCGGCGGACTTACTTGCAATTGTCTTCTGGTTTTGTTAGAATTTAAATGCGGTCATTTGTTCCTGTAATATGTAAATTTGCATATTTTCTTTATTTTCTTATTTCTACCTAATTTGTCTTTTGGTTTTGCTTCTGTGGGTGTCAGGAACTTTGTAGCTCAAAAGATTTTATGGTTATTTTGTTTTCGGTTCTATGTTCGTCTACTTAATTTTCGTCGGTTCAGGTGGCGATCGTAAATTTGTCTGAATGCTGATTAATCGCTGTCGATAGTGTTTCTCGCAACGCTTTGAAAAATTGAACAATATTCAGAACAAACGTATGAAATTTTCGTAATTATGGTTTTTCTGACTGATTGGCCTACGCCTCATTTTCTACGTTGGAATTTCTTTGAGGAATAATTCTTATTTTCTAGTAGACTTTTCTTTGCTTGTTCCTCTATATTATATTTTGCTCCTACCAGTTCTTGAAAATAATTTCGACTGTTCTCGGGGCATCCTCCTTAGAATTCAACACCGAGAGTTAGCGTGATGAAGACCATTGCCTTGAACTTGACAATGCTGTGTGAAATTTTGTTTCACTTGAACTCGCTTAACTTTTATCAAGGCTGGATGATCCGTATTGTAATTGTTGTGAAATTTTGAAAATTTAATAGTAATGTTTTTTTTTCAGATTAGTATAGTAGCACTTTTTAACCATCCCCGTATTGCTCATCCGAATGATCCTCACTTAAATGATCTCTATTTATCTATAACTTGTAATTATATCTAACATGCAATGAGTGACCTGACCCTGTTTGACCTGACGGGGGGCTATGGTGTGTACCAGTTTGTGTATGCTTCTCTCGCTGCTTTGGTCACTGCTCTAGTCTGCACGGATTCTGCGCTGACTCCCTTTTTGTTCCACGACATCTCTCACAGGTCAGTCAAGTTTTCAGCTGGTTCTCCAAAATACCTTTCAGTTGGCGGAAAAAATCAGTTTGAGAGTAGAATTATTGGCTCATTTTCCTTCCCCCCACCTCACACGAACATCAATTTTATGGTGTAACGAGTGGTTTTACAAGGTTAATTATGAAGACCTAATATGTTTGCCATGGCCTTATTAGTCCGTATGCCAATTTTCATAACTATCGAGTAATGTGAACAAAGTTTTCATCTGTAAAATTTTGCAGGTTTGGAAATGAAAAAGAACCGAACTCTTTAATGTGTGTGATGGTTTTCGAAGAATCAGAACTACTGTTTTAGAGTTAATTCAAATAACTTCTGAGCAGTATATGAGCTTCTTTGCTCTTGGTATGGAGAAAGTTAAAGATTAATATTCAACAAGGCACTTAAAAACAATAGTTTGTTTTTGAGACTTGAGATATCGACCGATTTTTATTGAGATCGTGAAAGTACAAGATATGCATGTTTTTGTATGCTGAAGTTTTAAATAGGCTTACTGGCAAAAACTTAGAGTTTTTTCACCAGATAGCACATTAAGTGTCATTGGTTTTTAGACAGGTTCGAGCGAGTAGGTGTGATAATAAGAAAATAAACTTTAAAAGAAACTAAGCTTTTTTTAGTGTGTAGTTTTATTCCAGAAAAACAAGTTTATGACGCTCCATGCTGCGCTTTTTCGCCAGTTTAATGTTTCAAAAAAAGTTCCGCAAAAAGTTGTTCCATGACGTATTCCGCACACAAAAAATCAACATAAATTTGCAGAGAAAAATGTTTTTTAATATATTTTTTAATGTGGTGAGAACTTTTCCTGTTTCTTGCACAGAAATTGGTTATTCTTAATATAACTTGATTTTTTAAAGAAAAGTGAAACGTTCAAACAATCAGAATTCGAAAATAAATCATTATTTGTTCCAATTTTACATTTGTCCGTTTTTTCATTCGTCCGTTGAATTTAACTGCCATCATGACCCTTGCGATAAGCAAAGTTATTGAAATCGGGTACTATATTTTTTCCAGCAAATAATTTTGTTCGTAGGACTCTTTTATCTGGAATTTTTTTGAGAGCCTTTTAGCCACAAATTTAGCTAGCGCTACAGTTTCAAAACTAGCTTTTTAAATTTTGATAGATCTATTTTTTTTGACCTTTATGCTTTTTTGTTTTGTATCGCAAGTGGTGCGAATCTCAGCTTCGCTTCTGTGTCAAAATATCTGTTTAAATGCCTATAAGCACTATCAATTGGACGCATTTCTACATGTAAGAATTTTTGATTTTGTCATTTTAGTTGTTCTTGTTCAGAATCTCTTCTGCTGTTTTTATCTGGTTTACTAGTTTTCAGATTGTAGTCAAGAGCCTCGAAAATTTAAAAATCGCCCCCGTGTAATAAGTTGCTGATAACAAGTTAAACCAGATGAAACAATCCAATTGTACAGAGGAGTGGATCTCTTCGTTCAAATTTCTAGTGTTATTTTAAAGTGAAAGAATATTTGTTTGATGTTTGCACTTGCGAGCGTAGTTTAATAGTAAGATTATTCTTTTTCTACCCTTGCGAGCTTAAGGGAGCGTAGTGTAACAAAACGACTATTCTTTTTTTCCAACCTAAGTTGTAAACATTGGTGCCAGTTTTGTTTGCACTTTTACGGCTTTTTGATAGCACGAGCTTTGAAATTCGATAAGTTACTGAGCTTTGAAATAAGTTACTGATAAATTCATCAAATGAACCGAAAAAAGCTTTTTGCTTCAAACAACATTACTATAATAAAAATCGGTTTCAAAAATTGATTTCAGAAAAGTTCCAAGTCATTATGAACAGAATTTTTTTTGAAATGCATAATTTATACATAATTTGGCTTCCTGCTTTCCAATATCTTACATGCAAAGTTAGTGCGAATTCCTTCACTTTGTTTTATTCCAACAGAACTTATGTTTTGTTATTTCAAATCTGTTTTGTTTGTTATATTCCTAATTATTACATTCATAATTGTGTCTATTTGTATTTAGTGCTACTCACGAGCTTGCCAATTGGTACCAAATTATTACACAACGGAGCGATGTGTAATACTACCAAGCTTTTTTTACCCATTGGGTTGTGGCATAATACTAAGATGCATTTTTTCCAACCTAAGTTGCAAATGAAAGTGCTAATTTGGTGGCACTTCGGTAAGTTTCCAACCATAGGCGAATAAGTAACATCTGTAGCTGCGTTATTGCTGGATAGTGTTTGTTTCACTTTCTGTTTGATAAAATAGATATTATAAAAAGTATGGGATTTAGTTAGTAATTATGTTTTGTTGATGAACGTAGTTTTGAGTCTTATATTTTTAAATTGGTCGCGCTGATTTTTTTCATTTGTTTTTTCAGGAGAAGTCTTTGAATTTGTTCAGGCTCAAAAATAGTTTTTTTTGCGGTTTTATTTTTGAATTCAGTTCATTTCCTCTGTTAAAAAGAAGCCAAACTCCACTATCGAATAGAAAAATGTGATCGACTTCTAGTTTCAAAAAAGGAATTTAATTTTCAGATTTCCTAGCGAGCTAAAAAATTTATTTATTGATCTAGTTTTCTCAAATTGAGTAAATTTTATCAAAAAAATTGTCAGTCTTGTTTGTTGTAGAATTATGAAGAGCTTAAGGCCTTCTAATTTTTTAAATTGAAATCCGAGTATTTATTTTTCTTAAAATATGTAAGTCATTTTCAGCATTTTGTTCCGTTTTCTTGCGTTCATTGGCTCTTTTTCAACGTGTGTTGGCCTTGTAAAATATCCCTGAGAGGGGTTATTTTTGACTAGTTTTTTGATTTTTTTTTAAATTCTCGAACTACCCTACCAAATTTGAGATTAAGTTTTCAATCGAAAGAAAATGTAATGGGATCTCCCTGGTGTAATCAACTTTGTCCTAGAGTTACAGTTGTGTCTTTAGTTTCCGAAAGAAATTAACAATTCAATCGAAAGAACAGTTTGAGTAAAGCTGCTACGCCCTTATTTTTTAAATATAAAAAGTTGTGGCCTTGATACCAGCCATTTGACATTTAAACTGTTTTTAGTGAAATTTTGTCACAAAAAGATTCAAAATGTTTACTCCTGAAGTGTTTAGTCTTCTGTTACAATTTTGAGAGCAAGTGCATTGTAATTGGAACCAGAGTTTTTCCTTAAACAATTTTTCAAAGTGGGATGTCTCGAATTTGCTAAGCTTCACGAATATGCAAATTCAAAATTTCTTGCATCTTTCAAGAAAAAAATTTTACGGAAAAAGTAGTCTGGGTTCGAGTCCCGGCCTGAGCTTGTTTTTTTTTCTCAGTGTGCTTAAAGCTGAAATCGTTTAGAATTGTCAAAATTTCGTTTGCCTGCTAATTTTTCGTCGGCTTAGTTGCCACGTCGGGTAATTTTCTTGTGCTTCAAACAATTTTCGTCAGATTTGTCAGTTTTTGTTAGATGCAAGTGTTTTTGATTTTCTGCAATTTTTAAAAAATTATTAGCCCTGACTTTATTTTGTATTTTGTCCTTGGTTTTCCTTTTTGTTGTTTTTTCGCTTAAAAATTTGAGCCTTAATGGTTTTGGTTTAGGTACGTTATTTTGTGTCTTTTCAAAGGCAAAAAATGATTGATTTTATTGTGAAAAATTCTGATAGTTGCAAGGTTTCAAAGTTTAAAACTTAATTGCTCAACGTTTTTTTTACAACAATTGCTGATGGCTTTTTTTTTGTTTCTGGATAAATGGGCGTCTACTTTTTGTCGCTTTCGATTATACTCGGTTAAGACTGAAAGTTTATTTAATACTGGTGGTTCTGTTTTTTGACGGTTTCTGAAAAATTTTTTTCTTCTATGAAGTTGTTTGTGATTTTGATATTTCCATCTCAATTTCTACTCGCTAGCTTGCAATTCTACGCTTGCTTTGTGTCGCAAGTGATGTGAAGCCCCGCTTTGATTTTGTTTTTACTCTTGCGGTGTTTACTTTTTTTGGCAGAGAAACTGTCAAAAAATAGTCATGTTAGTGATGATGTCGAAAATTGAGACCTTATCAGTGTTTGACATATCAATTTTTTCCTTTTTGAATCGGAATGTATTGTCTGGGACGTTGGTTACATCCAAGTTTCAGAGTTTTAATAACTTTGGCTTGAAATTTTACTTTACCTTTTCTGATCTGTCATGATCAAAGTACGCTAGACAGTGTGTACGAGTGTAGATACTACTATTAACTATAAAAGATTAGTCAGATCCCTATTTTGAAGTAAGTTTTGGTGGATAAATTTAATCTCTACAAAGTAGCGTGATCGGTTTTTTGGTTTTTGCGACTCTTATAAATCAAAGAGAATGAAAAATCAACTTCTCCTTGCACAGAACACCACTGTTAAACTAGCAGCTTTCGTAGCGTTGCGACAGGTATGAGCTCCCAAGTTGATTTTGATTTTCGTGATCTTTTCTAGGCCCTTGTTTCTGTATCCGGAGCTTTGTAAGGATTTTTACAAAATATCCATGAAAATTTCGTTTTTGTCTCACCCACATCACTAATTACGCTTTATCTTCGTATCATTACAATATCTTCATTAAAAGTATCAAACTGGGCCGTTAGTTTAGTCAAGCTGCATCACTAGATTATTTTCATGCGGCTCAGTAGCATAGTAACGAAAAAGTGAGACTCCTTATCTCCACGTTGGAGGTGCGATTCCGGCACAGCAAATGTTTTGTTTTGGTTTATTTTACCATTTGTTTTTCCTTAATTAGATTTAGTTTTTTGGAGATTTTTTTGCCTTTTTCTCGCTTGTGTTTGCAAAATGCAGCTTTTCCTCTGTGTATATGACAAAACTTACGCAAGGCTCTTGTTCCTTGTCACTCAGTCAATTATACGAACAACAAGTTGAAAGGACAGCCAGAAAATTTGAGGGATTCGCGTTGATAGCAGCATTTGTTTAGGTCTATTATGTATTGCAGACATCTTATTTTTACCTGTAAGTCATTTTCAATTGCTATTGACGCCATTTTTAACAGCTCATCCTTCGCAATGCTTAAATAATTTTTTTGGAGTTAACACGTTTGAATGCAGGCAGCGCACGGCAAGTAGGGGCAGTGTAACGGAACTTAGTGCAGCGCCGCGCAGACAGAGGGTCCTAATAAATGCGCTGAGTCCCACACTCTAGAAAAAGTCTCACATTCTTTTGGTTTTTTTTTGTTTTGGTGATGTTAATTGAACTATGAAGTAAGTTAGAGCAAATGAAGCAAATTTTACGGTTCAAAAAACTGTTGAAACGAACGAAAGATGTCTATTGATTTACTGAAATCTACTTAAATGGTCAGTGGCAGCGGCCCTTCAGTTGTACTTCAAGGAATTGCAAAAGGGCTGAAACGGGATAGAGCTTTTTTTAAAGTAGCCTTAAGAGTTGTCAAAACAATTGAAAAGTTTTAATCTTTTTTTGGTCAAACGCTTGCTGAATTCTTTTGTCACGATTTGTGAACTAATTCAAGCTTATAAAACTGCAAATGGTTCGAAGTTTACTCTTTCTTAAGCTTGCGTCAGCTGTTGTTTTTTGGACCCATCACGCCATCAAGACAAGTTGAATGAAAAATAGATAGGTCATGAAGATAGACAACTAACGTTGTTTAGATTTAGTTTGCATTAAAGATGCATCATTTAAAAAGAGCTGGGTAAATATTCATTTTGCTGCTCCGTAAAACTTGCCTCCGATTTGTTGTTTTCTTAATACGACTGAATCAGTTCTGCTTAACATGTTCAGTAATAGCCAAAACTTAGAAGAATAGTGTTTAAACTTGGCGAGATAGGTGCCTAAAATTTTTTTATAAAAAATTACGGTGACGAAGCTTGAACATGCGAGTGAGCCAGACGCATTTAAATAGTTGACTTTTTATTAATTCATTCATGTATCAAAGTAAATTAAAACTTTTTATTTTTTAATTTCTTGAATAGCTTGCGAGAAGCCAACTTTTGCGAAGCGAATCAAGCCATGCAAAGAACTTGGAATGTGTCAAAGTTTTGTTTGGTAGTTTGAAAGTTAAAGCACGCCGATTTAGGCGCTGAGGTCAGATTTAAGTTTGACGTTTCATGGCTTGATTAGCTGACTGGTATGTTAAAGTTTTCCTTGCTTCATTAGCTTGCTTCAAAAATTCACAATTTATGTGAACCTGTTCAAGCAATCAACCTTAATTGAAATCAAGCAAATGCACTGTTGAATTTTTGTTAATGAAAATAGAAAAAAAAAAATTTTAAATGGGCTGGCTAGTTATTCTTTTTTCTGCGAATGATTGGAGATTACGACCAAGAAAGCATTTAAAAATTTTCCTAATGAGTGTTGCAACCTTCAGGGCTCAAGCTTGCGTCCAGCTGCTTTTTTAAAAAAATTTTAGGTGCTTTCATGAAACCTGTTCACGCACATAGAGGATTTCAGTTCTGAGGAGGTGCTTATATACTTTCTTGCTCATTTAACTGAAAATTCAATCTATTAAAGCTGTATAGTTAATCATTGAATGGTGCATTACAGAACTATATTTACTGAAAAAAAAACTAATACATTTAATGATTCGTTTTGAACAGTATCAATCGAACGCTACCAAGTCGTATTATACTTGTTAATATAATTAAGATTCAAGATTAGAATTATTCATTTTGTTGATGTCTTAGCATCCGTTTTATCCTGGTTTAGTGATCTACAATTCGTTCAGTGAAAAATTATTAGAAAGTAAGATAAGCGCCGTATTGGAGATTTATCATCGATGTTTTCATTTCGACAAGCTGATAATAGAGTTTAATTATTACGAATTTTTACGAGAGAAAAGACAAGCGTTGTACTCTTAGTTAAGAAATACATGCATGTTTTTGTTAGTCTGAGAATTACTACCTGACCGTCAATCAGTTAGCGCAGATCATGGTGGTTCTCGAACCATCGACCTTTCGACTAAGAGGTGGAGACCTTAACCGCTCCTCAGTTATGAGATATCTTTAATTGTACACAACAGATAAGTTTTTTCCCGAAGTTTATTTATGTTTCCTTAAGTTTTAGCATATTATTCCTTCTTACTTCTAAACGTCCTTGGAAGACAGTTAAAAGAACGATATCATTTTTTCTGCTATGACAAAACATCATCCCATGCACATAAATTTGTAGCCGTTTTTTAAAACAATCAAAAATCCCCCATCAATCAAGTTTCTTGTGATTCTGGGTGATTATGTCTGACGTAATCTTGTTTGAGTTGGTCGGAGAGTATGGCCTCTACCACGTGGTCTATTCGTGTGTGGTCTGTTTCGCTCTCTTTCTCAATCAGGGTTCCTTGCCTGTTTTCCTCTTCCACGACATACCGCACAGGTTTGCAAATGAACCTGGGTTGTTTGCGCATATATGAAGAAGAATAAAAAATTTATCGAATCAAAAAGAATCTGCCTTTCTTACCAGCGTATTAGTTTAGTGTTTCTACTGCAACATCAAATTCTCTTTGTAATGTTTCAAAAATATTTTGGTTTCATAGTTGACTCAAAGTGAGTATTCTGATCTAAAGAATTAATCTGTTAATTATCTGTTCTAAACTGTTCTTCATAAATTTCATCTGCTTTCATTCCGTATCTTGCTTAATGTCGATAATTTTTGTTCTTTTATCCACACTCTCTAATTAATCTTCGTTTTTTAGGTGCTCAGTGCCTGCGGCTGCCGAAACGTCATCTAACACGTCATCTTATTCTCCACTTCTTTTCAATGTGACCACGACCACTGCTTTGTCATCTGTAGCTGCAATAGGAAACTTCTCTATTGTAGATACTGCCTTCAGGTGAGACCATTTTTTTCGGATTACACTTACAAACTTTCTATACTTACGTATGCTTCCATTGCTCTGTTTGCTTTTTCGGATAACTAAATAATCTACGATCTTTGCTTCTCAATGAAAAATTTGATATACAGAATTTGTTTTGTCCTGTTTTTTTTCGGCAAGCTCTTGTGTTCTATTGCGATTTCAGTTTTTTTAAAACTTATCTCGCACAAATAAGTGCTCAATATCAGTATTTGTGCACTCTTTTTTGTTATATTTGGCAATTTAATAGCATGTGTTTTGTCGACTATGTTGGTGACTTGTGTTTTATTAAACTCCCATCCCACTCTGGTGATCAGGGTTTAAATCCCCCTGCCCTAGGAGGCAAGTTCTTTTTTCAAAGCCTTTGTGTTTACGTTTGTATGTGCTTGCATTTCGAAGCGCCCTATTGCCATTTTTTTCTTGTTTGTGGCGCTTTTTGAATTACTCCAAAATAGTTCATTGTATGAAATATAAATCTTGGTTTGTTTTGGCTTATCTAATTTTCATTCACGAAGTTGGTTTTTGTTCCGACCATTGAACATAGTTTTAAAGTTTTTATGGGTGTGTTATAGTTTCTATTTCATTTTCTTTGTTTTCCATGCAAAAACAGGTGCCACAAAAATTATGGTAATGGGTCTAGTGACTCAAGTTTTTTCGGTCATGATTCGAGTATCAGTGTCGAAAAAAAACTGGTTGGAAATTTTTTAGTCTTAGTCTTGTTTCCAACGAGTAGGTCTAATATAAAAAATTCTTTCAGGTAGTGAAACACTTGCTTCAGGAAAACTAGTTTTCAAAGCTTCGTCCAGCGCTTCCTTGGCAATGATTTTTGAAAAATTATTTTTTTTTCTTGAAAATTAATTGTTAAGTGTAAAAGAACAAAGTGATTTTCATTTGTATAGATTTTGATTATTTTTGTTTGTTTTTTAGGCAAAGTCTTAAAATGCTCTCATATTACAGACGTGCATCATACATATTAATTCATTTTTATATCTATGCATTTTTCGAGTTCAATACAAATTCATCGGCTAAAAGATATGTATGTTAATTACGCTCTTTAACTACGAAAGCGAAAATGGAGCACAAAATTGTCAACGACTTCTAGTTTTGAGAGCGAATATAAATTTTTATTTTCGGTGCGGAATTAAAGTTTTGACCCATTGATCCAGTTTTTTTAAACTGGGTTAATTTTATCATAGAAGTTTCAATCATGAAATTTTCTTGAAATTCGAAGCGCTTTAAACTGATGTATTTTTGCTTAGAAGTTTTTACTCACACTTTTCCGACCTTTTGGTTCTGTTTTTTTTTCTTTCATCGATTTTTAAAGTCAAACATTTTATATGAATGGGGTCGGAACATTCTTTGCTACTTGCAGATCAACCAGCTATCCATATTGTAGTTTTCTTAGCTTTTCTTGTTAAGAGTCGATGAACGTAGTTAAGACTCCTATATATATGTCGCGATGCGTTTTAATGCGTTTTTTTTTTCAGGAAAAGTCCTATATGTCGTTCAGGCTCAATTTTTTTTTCGCGGTTTGACTCTTGATTTTTCTAAGTTCAGTTCATTTCCTTTGCTTAAACTAGCGTCAGCTTAGTGTTTTAGTAAGAACCTTCTTTTTTCTCCAATCTAAGACGCAAATAGCATGTGCTTTGACATTCGACTACTATTAAGTTAAAACAGTTGATGCATTTTTAATTAATCAAATGAACCGAAAAAAACTATTTGTTTCAAACAACATAACAAAAACAAAAACTCGATTTCAGAAACTTTCTAGCTCAATATTTCTCGAAATTTTTTGAAATGCTTAATTTATAGTTAATGCAGCTTTATGCTTTGCAATTTGTTACCTGCAAAGTTAATGTGGATGCCTTCAGTTTGTCATATTCCTAATTATTACTTTCAAAATTGTGTCTATTTGTATTAGCATATGTAGCTGCTTTATTTTTGACTAGTGTTTGTCGGTGGTTAAGCGTAGGGGACTGAGTGGTTAGTGCGTGATACTCAAATTCTTTTGATTGCAGTAGGTCGCAGCTCGAATCTAGCCGAATTTTTGCTAATTCGAGGCTTATTTCTATTTTTATTGCACTTTGTAGAGCTATTATTTGCACTGTTTTTATTGCACTTTGTCATGTTCTCACTAGTGTTTGCAAAGCGAAGCTTCAACTGTGTAAAAGGAAGGCAAACTCTAATATCGAACAGCGAAATTGTTAAGCTCACAAAAAACGTGAGCGACTTCTAATTTTGAAAACGGAATTTAACTATCTTATTTCTCAGCGAAACAATATTTACCTAATGATCCAGTTTTCGCAAATGGCTTCCTTTTATCAAAAAATTGTCAACCATAAATTGTTTTGGAAATTCAAAGAGCTTCAAGGCCATTTTTTTGAGAATAAGTCAGTTTTCTTTTCTGTTTACTTGCGTTCGTTGACTCTTTTCCAACTATCTGTTGCCTATTTTTGTTCTTGCATCAAGAAAATACGAAAGACTTGTTCAAATAGTTAAATCCATTAGACGATTTGTTTGCAGTCAAATCATAATGTTACTCGAATGGGTGCCGAAACAAACCTAAAAATCTGTTTCAGCAGTCATTTTTTTTAAGTGATTTGGATTTTGAATTGCAAAAATTTCGTTTCTGTTTCTCCAACGGTTTGCAAAATTATTCTTGTTTTTCATCGGTTTACTTAAACTAGGTATAGTCTGCTTATATTTTGGCTCCCTTGTATTTCGTTTGGTATGTATTCTTAGTTTTCAAATTTGTTAGATCATTTTTTGTTGTCATAGTTTCTGAGTTTCGTCCTAAGATCCGCGTCGCCTCTGCAAGTGATTGCACAAGATATAGCAAATAAATGTTATATGCTTAAACTCATTTCCAAAAGTTTTGAAGTGATTTGACGTTTGTTTCTGCCATTTTTGTTTTGTTTTTAAGAGTAATGAACGTAGTGAAGACTCTTAGATAGGTCTTGCTGATTTTTTTGTTTTTTTTTTTCAGGAAAAAGTCTCAAAATTTTGATGCACCTAGGTATAATGCGCTTTTTGAGTTCAATTGAAATTCATCTGCTGAAAATGACGGAAAAACGCACTCTCCAAATACGAGCGTGGAAATGGCGCAAAAAACGTGAGCGATTTCTACTTTCAAAGAGCTTAAAGGGCATCTATTTTCTTCTTTGAATTTCGAAAGTTGAGATTTTTTCTAAGTCGGTGTTTTTTTTATGTTTACTTCGTTTATTACTCTTTTCCAATCTTCGATTGGCTATGTTTTGGTTTTCCGGATCTTCTCTACAATTATTTCACGAGTAAAAATAACTCGCTTAAACGTCATCATGTCTTTGCAAGCGCAGATCTAGGGTTTTCTCGTGGGGGGATTGCGAATTTTTCAAAACGTTCTAAAGACCCTATTTTGAAATGTTCTGCATCGCAGGCGAATAAAAACAGACAAAAAAAGCGTTTTATGAATTTTTTGGAAAGTTTTAACCCATTAAATTTAACCCGCTGCTCCAGCTTAAAATGGATAACGTAAAACAGTTCTAAAGGCGGTGAGCTTTGAAGTAAAGATCTCCCCATGCATGGGTTTAGTCTCTGCAATGACACTTTACCTATGTTGTTTTTGTCTAATGCAGTGACTCATGTGATGCGGGCTACTCGCTCTCCGATTGTGCTTCGGTGGGCGGGCAGATAGAGTACGAGTGCTGCTACCCATTCCACAGCACTGTGGTGTCCGACTTCGACCTCATCTGCGAGAATCTACACTACAAGTCCATCGCAGAGTCAAATCTGGGCTAGTTAAGTTATCACCCATTTTCATTGGGTCGAATCAACTTCTTGTTTCAAACCAGTTGAAGAAAACAATTTTTAGCTCATGTCTAAGCAGACGTTTTAGTTTTTGATTATCTATTGAATAATGTTTCTATGTTAATTTTCCGAGCGCTTAGTGGTCAAAAATTATGCGACGGGTTTTTATTTTCAAATTTTTTGAATAATAATGACATGTAAATTTGAGCACTAAAACTTATATTTTTAAATGTTTTCTACGTGCGACTTGCGATACTAAATGTACTTACGGTACCAGGTATATTACGGTTTTCTTAATTTAGGTCTCGGTTACCTCGTGGCCTCAGTGGTGATTGGGCGCTTGTCAGACAGGGTTGGAAGAAGGAAAGTGGCTCTCTATCTGCTCTTCAGCAAGATTATCATCAACGCCCTCCTCTCCCTATCCGCCAACTACTACCAGTTCCTCATTCTATACTTCCTCAACTGCTTCACAGGTAATGACATGGGACTTAGACTACATTTGAAACCCGCCAGCTGTGAAACGGCATCTGCATAATGGGCTATTGGGTAAAAAGTACCATTTACAAACATGAAATATCAATAGTGTTGCAAATGAATGGTGTTGTTTTGTCTAACATTCGTTTCCATCTTCCGTTATTAAAAGCCCTTTGCTGAATAGGTCCCTACCCTATTTGGGCTGGCATACTTCTCTTTTTTTTAATATCATGGATTACTGTTAATATCATCATGAGTTTAAATGCAACATTCTAATGCATACGATCTGCCAAAGAATAATTTATGCATAACTGAAATCTAAAAAATCGGTTTTTGCCGCATTTCGTTTTTCAGGTAATTGCCTAATTCTTAAACTATCGATTGACAATTGTAATTAAACGCGCGAAGCGAGTATATTAGTACTTCTTTTTTTTTCAACCTAAATCGCAAATATTGTTGCGGCACCCCAATAGTGGTGGAACACCTGTACAGTTTTTTGATAGCATGTACTTTTGTATTCGAATAATAATGAGTTGACACAGTTGATGCATTTTCAATTCATCAAATAAACCGAAAAATCTATTTGTTCCAAACAACATAACAATGATAAAAACTCGATTTCAGAAATTTTCTAACTCAATATATCTCGCAATTTTTTAAATGCATAGTTTATGCATAATGTGGTTTTTTGCTTTGAGATTTGTTACATTCAAAGTTAGTGTGGTGCCTTCAAATTGTTATATTCCAAATTATTACACGCAAAATTGAGTCTATTTGTATTTGGTGCCACTCCTGCTGAATCGCATTGGCAATTTATTAGCATATGTAACTACTTTATTCGTGACTAGTGTTTGTCGGTTGTTAAGCTTGCGTGGCTGACTATATAGTGCGTGGGACTCAGAATCTTTTGATTGCAGTAGGTCGCAAATTCGTAACCTACAGGTAGCCGAGTTTTTCGCTAATACGAGGCTTATTTCTACTTTTTCTTATGTCTGCGGATAGCGCGCATACGGTTTGCTCAACTCGGCTCCGGGTACAATCCGCTCACTAACTCATACCTAAGCCGTATAAAAAGTGAGGTATACAATTCCTGTCCAGACTGTAATGAGACGCCGCATCATTTATTCAACTGCACTCGAAACCCGACTTGCCTGCCTACTGAAGACCTCTGGCTTCATCCCCTCGAAGTTACTGAGTTCCTCAAACTTCATATCACGAGGGAGCAGAGAGCTGAACGCCCTTAGGAAACAAATCTCAGTCAAATGACGACGAAGATGCTGACTTTTGAACAGCACACATCGACAACGACGAAGAGCTGACTTCGAAAGATGGATCAGCAATATCAAAACAAGTCCATGCTTAAACGGTATTCATGTAACCACTCATGTGGCATACCCCAACTATTCTGCCGGGGGACAAGAGCACTGGGCAGGGACTAGTGGAAACCCAATCAACCTTCATATCCTACGAAGATGAAGTACTGGATAGCGTTGGCAACCAAGAAACAGAACAAAACGAAGCTACCCCACAAAATCCAGCAGACGATGGCGTTGGGCGTAGCTACTGCAACAATAATTTTTTCTTATGTCACATGATAGAGCTGCTGCGCCTCTGTTTAAAAATTGTCTAACAAACGCACTGAATCCATTTGGGCCAACAGATATTTTTGAGCATTTCTGAATTTTAAATTCCCGTTTTTCATTCTAAATTTTTGTTTATGTTGGTTGTAAACCAACTCTGAATTTTCATTATTTTCCTTTATTATGACAAAGACTTTTTTCAGTTCAACGGGCGTCCGTCTACCCAAGTTTTATCAAGCAATTGTCTGATAAGTTGGGAGAAACGTATGAAAATTTAGGTAGATCTATTTTCGATCTTTTTAAATGGTTTGTGTGTGAGTGTCAATGAACATAGTGAAACGCCCATGATTTTCTGCAGGGAAAGGTTAAAATTTGATTTTTCTTACCGCTCAAATTTGATTTGTTTGCAAAACAAGGTTTTTTCAAAACATAAGATAGAACAAGGCTTTTGTGGTTATGTTGAACTTGTTCATAGTTTTAATTTGGTTTTTAGGCTACGGCATCTTCTTGTCGTTGTTTGTGTTGCTGACTGAGAGCTTCGGCAGTTCCCACCGGTACCTGGTGAGTGTGAAGGTAGAGAGTGCGAGTGTGTTGGGGGAGTTGTCTGCCTGTCTCCTGTTCTATCTGGCCTCCTCCTGGAGACAAGTGCCTCAAGTACTCACTCTCACCAGCTTCGTCTCATTCTTCCTTGTGCTGATGTGAGTTGCTATTTTTATGGCATAGTTTTGCATATTTTTCATGCAAAAAACAAAATTTAGGTAGAACAATCAAATATTTTTTTTAATCCAGGGTATTTGTTGAAACTTTCTGTTGACCAATTATATAATTATGAAACTATATTTATCGGAAAAATTCTAAGACTTTAAGTTTTGAGTCTGTTTCAACTACTGGATTGATGACAACATATATAAAATCAGCGAGTCTTCTGATTTAAATTTACACAGATTCGCATGTTTAGGTTCCTCTACGAGTCGCCCTTGTGGCTACTGTCCCAAGGCAGAATGGACAAAGCGGAGGCTGTGATTAAGAGGATGTCCATCATGAACAGACGTCCTATCCCACCCTCCAAACTCATACAACTGAAACAATTCTACTGCACATCGGAGCCTTCTGACCAGACAAAAATGAAAAGAAAGAAAAAGAAAAATGAGAATACTGAATCGCTCCTTGCCAAAGAAGATTTACCACAACAGGTCAGTCTTAGTTTTTACATTAAAGTTGTTAAATTTCTTTGGTTATGAACGAAGTGATTTGTTCCTTGAAGTTGTACTCGAGAATTTTTTCGTAGCCACAGATTATTGAAACTTGGAAAATCTATACGATTACACACTCCTCTGAGATGGAGAAGTTTAATCAAAGACTTGATATTTGTGGAAGTTTATTCAGTTTTGGTATTTTTAATGTGTATGTTTTCATCTGTGCGCAAAAAATGCTAAGAATTCAAAAATGTTGTTGGATCAGTGATCACTTTGATTTTTTCTACTTTGATGTGTTTTGTATGATAGGGGGATAAAAATAAGGGTGATCGCAAGGAGTACATGGGCGAAGACAGTGATGGAGGGAATAGTATTGACAGCAGAAGTGACAACGAGGAGCGGGCCACGTGTGACTCTGTCTCTATCCCTGGATCCTCTGGCTCTTCTGCCTCTGCCCTGGATCTGTTCAGACACCCAACTGTCAGGGCCAAGTCACTCATGACCATGTTTAACTGGTGAGCCACCAAAATTGCATGCAAATTATATGCCTGATAACTTGTCTAACAAGATTTTCTGAACCAATACTGAACCACGTATTTACACTTGCGATCAGCTTAGTGTGTTATTATGAACCTTCTTTTTTTCGAACCTAACTCGCTAATAAAAGTATCCACTTATTTGGAAATTTCACAGTAGCATCGGAAATTGCATGGCATCTGTTCTCGGCTTTTGTGGTGGGTAGTGTTCGGCGTAAATTAAGCTTCCGTGGCTGAGTGATTAGTAGTGTGTGAGACTCTTAATCACTAGATCGTAGGTTCGAATCTCAGAAGTATCAGAATCTTTGCTAATTCGAGGCTTATTTCTTTTATTTTTATTTTTGAACTTTATAGAGCTGCTTTTTGTCGTTTTCTCGCAAGTATTTGCAAAGCGAAGCTTCGCCTGTGTAAATTTTGGACAGCTGCTACAGCGGCCATTGCCCAAGGAAGGGATAGGAAAGCGACATAACATTGATAAAAATCTGATTAAAGAAGTCAAAATTTTCTCACAGCGAAGTAAGTTAGACATCGGCTGATATATTATGGGGAATAACAAGATTAACAATTGATTAAGAGTAATGAACGTAATGAAGACTTTTATATAGCTCTTGGTGATTTTTTTGCAAAAATTTTTGAAATGCTCTTATAACTACAGATGTGTATTCTTACAAATTATTGCATTTATGAATGCACTTAAGTATATATGCACTTTTTGAGTTCATTGAATTTCATCTGCTGAAAGCTACGTTGATAGCACTCTCCAAATACGAACGTGGAAATGGCGCGAAAAAACGTGAATGTTTTCTAGTTTCGAAAGTGGAGTTTAATTTTAAGATTTCCAGCGGAACAAAAACGTTACCTTTTGATCCAGTTTTCTCAAGTTGGGTTAATGTTATCAAAAACTGCCAATCAAAAATTTTTCTAGAAAGTCAAGCTAGAAGTTTTTTATACTTAAGTTCATTACTCTTTTCCAGCTGTCAATTGGCTATGTTTTTTTGTTTAAGTAATGAAGAAATTTAAGGGCAAAGCGACCGAAAGCTCGAAAAATTAATCAGGAATGAAGATACTGATAGTGATAAATTTACAGAAGCTTTTACAGATTCTTTTATTACAATTTATGAATATCAGTTCTGAAATCTGCTACAAGTTTACGGATTTTATCAGGTCGTGGATGAAAGCCGACAGAGGAGACATCATTTTTATTTCGTATTGGAATGTTGTGGTACTCTGCTAGACGCTGGTAACGGCGGTTCATTCGCCTGATTGTGTTTCGTTTGCTCTTCTGAACAATGAGAGAAAGTATCGGTGCTTTAATGCCACGATCCTAGTATTTCAGCAGAAGATACTCAATTTCTTCAACCACAACTCCATCACTCATTTTATAATTACCTTGAAGCTCGAAAAAATTATTTTTTTTGCAGCCATTACTACAAGTTTTCTCACTCTAAAATTTACCGTTTGATCACATTTTTTGTCTCAATACAATGTCGCTATTGTCCCTCCTAGACATGATACAGTAATAGAATTGTGTAGTAAAACACCGTTTACTATTGAGATTTATAAAACTGTAAGTTTGTTTGTTTGTTTATTATCTTCACAGGTTCTCGGTGACCTCTGCCTTCTACGTGATCTATCTGAACATGGCCTCTCTACATGGTAGTGACCCCTACCTCTCTTTCATCTATGGTGCACTCATTGGCATCCCCAGTGTCCTCGTGTTCATATGCACCATGCAGATATTCGGAAGACGACCCATGTTCTGCCTATTCATGACATCCGGTAACAAATTTTCTCCCATTTAATAGCGAATATTCAACAAATCAGGGCTGTTTCAGGGGTTTTATGTGCAAATGAGTCCTTTAGGGATTTGATTCTCACCGAATTAAAGAAACTCAAAAGTCAGTCAAGATCATGAGATTAGGTCAGGTTTCTAAAATCTCAGCTTATAACGTCAATTCACCTAATTTAGACCACGAAACAGTGAAGTATGGAAAAATTTGGGCTATTATGTTTGAAAGCAGTATAAGATGGTTTGAGATAATAGATTATGAGGGACTGTAGAATTGCTACTGTCCCACTCCTACGTCGTTTTTTTGAACACGTGAGCGACAAAAACACCATTTGAAAGGTGTCATACTTGGTCCTGCCCGTCTTAAAAAGGTACACTGTCACGACACTTCTAATTAAACTTGATTCGAACTGTACTTTGCCAACTCGTTTGTATTCGAATCAGGTGCCGTTTTACTCATAAACATTTTGAGATTTGAAGCAAATTTGAGCGGGCGTTTAGTAAAAAGACAGTTAATGAGTTTTTGTTCAGGTGCTTTGTGTGGTCTTGGCACTTTGATGACTACCACAGTCTATTTCGAAGAGCGCTTCTCCCCCCAGGCGGCCGACCGGACTGCGATGTGGCTGACGATAGGGGGTAAGTTCTTCTTCGGGTCAGCATTCGGATTGGTCTACATCTGGAGCAGTGAACTCTATCCCACTCCTCTGCGCAACACAGGCATGGGACTGTCCTCTTTGTGTGGCCGAGTCGGTCTTCTATTAGTCCCATTCGCACTCGAGTTCGGAATTGTGGCCCAGGTAAGAGATAATATGCCTTACTAACAGTAAAAAAAAAGTTCTGATCTATAACTGAACTTTCGCTCTCATATTGTCAGATTGTCTATTCGATCCTCTGAAATCGTCATGATAGCGTGTCTCGCGTGACGTTTGGCTTCAGGTCTACCACAGCTTGACCGTTTCGGCTGAAATAGTGGTACCACGTGAAGTTTCTAGACACAAAAATAACTGCCTTGCTCCGCAAAAAATCTCATCTCAATAAAATGTTTCAGTCTGGAATGTGGGCAAACAATAGAAATGGACTATCGTTGAAACGCTCAACTTGTTTTGATAGGTTTTCTACGATTCGCGGAAACTTATTTTTTTCTGCGATTCACGGAAAATAATGTATTATCTCTTCCCTTGTTTAGGCGTGTGTGTCAATGTTGGGCTTCGTGGCTGCCTTCCAGTCTCTCTTCCTCCCTGAGACTCTGGGCACTGCTCTCCCACAGACACTCTCCGACAGTCAACTCATACCACTGAGGAATTGGGGCCAAATATGCAATAGGTAATTAATACATGTACCAATCAACAGATTAACAGTTTACACCAGTCAAAATTTGATCATGGTCGCGTATATTAGAAAGCTATGATGCAGATTAAAAATCAATTCAAATTAACACATCAAAGAAATAGAATCCATGAGAGCTAGAATGCAAGCTTGGCCCTTTTAAGTAAGTTATAGTCGGGTTAGGTTGAAATAAATAGTCCTCTGCGCCGTTGGGTATTTAACTGAAAAAATTTGTATGGGGAATGGGGAATAATTTGAATGATTTTGGTTGAACTTATCCGGCCTCAACGTGCTGAAAAGTAAAATTCTAACTATCAGCTAGGATTGCATGCATCGCGCCTTGTAGCATCCTAAAATTTAGAAGTTAATGAACAGAAAATAATTTACAGCTGAATCTCTTTTTGCAGATCTTGAAAAAGCGTTTGGTATTACAATGTGCTTTTAGTTGAACTCATTATTGGTAACTGGGAATTATCAGGGCTTATGGGTTTGTGGCAAAGCAAAAATTTATTTTATTGGTGACCTGTTTTGAGTTGATTTGAGAAAAATAATAACCAGTTGCCCAGTATGCTCGACCACTGTTGTCTGTGCAAAAACAAAAACAAAATGAAAACGGAAAACACGTCATTGCGAGGGGAGGGGGTTGTCTAGCCTCACACATAGCCAATTCAATTTTTCGCTATTTACTCTAAAACAAAAGTTAAATTAAAAAGAAAACGCGGAACTGGGAGGGGGCTGGTGGTCTGATCTCACAGAGAGCCAATTCAATTCTTCGCTATTTATTCTAAATCTACAAAGAAAAAAGTCGCTATTAACCTTAAATCTACAAAGAAAAAAGTCTGGTTTTTCTTCTACGCCCATAAAGCTCCCCATTTTTTGCAGGTTAAATTTCTGATAAAAATCAGTATGGGTTATCACTCAAAGCATCTGAATTTTTTGTGGAATCTGGATTGGCGTGGTTTTGAGTTCAAGCTTATATTTATCTTTGCGAATAAAAAATTTATTGGAATTGGGTACTGTACTTTTTTGCCGTAAACAACCCGAGTTCGCCGATGAGATAATTGCTTACAGAATTCGCCGATAATCTCCGTGCTTGAGACGGCTTATGTTCTGGGTTGGATTTTATATATATATATATATATATATATATATATATATATATATATATATATATATATATATATATATGTCTTGACGTTTTTTTCTCCTGAATTTCGTTCTCGCTAAAATGTGATTTTTCGCAGTTTGACCCTTGATTTTTTTTAGGTTCACTTCATTTCCATTGATAAAAGGGAGGCAAACTCCACTATCAAACAGCAAAAGAGTAAAAGTCACGAAAAACGGTTTTGTTTTTCAGATTTAATAGCGGAATTAAAAATTTACGTACTGATACAGTTTTCTCAAATTGGGTTAATTTTATCAAAGAAATCAATCATTTTTTGTTTTAAAATTTCGAAGAGGTTTCAGGTCATATATATTTTTTTTCAACTTCGAAATATGAGTTTTTTTTTAAAATCAGTCGGTCTATTTTGTTTCTTTGCGTTCATGACTCTTTTTCAACTGTTGGCAATATTTTCAAATTTTTTGTCTTGAAAAATTCATTTGTTAGACCGTCGTTTGTCTGCTTATTTTGTTGCTCGCTTTTGAAAGCATGAAAATTTTCGTTTGCTCTAGGGATTTTCACGATAATTGAAAGTCAATTTCAAATATTTCTGTGATTTGTAAATTTACCAAATCATTTTGAACAGTTTGTTTTATTTTTTGTTAACCGATTTTAAGTTTATTTCGCTTTATGATTTTGACTTATGGTTTCTCTAATTGGTTGTTTAATAATACGACGCTTATAGAGCGAAATCACTTTTTGGGCGCGTGTGCTTCAGAGAGGCGTAAAAACTTAGCTCTAAAATTTCGAGGCGGAGGAGTTGTTGCTTCGGGCGGAGTTTGAAAATTTTGCTTAGCTACCGCTTGATTACACAAGAAAAACTTTTGTTATAGTATGAAATATCTATTTTTTTCCAAGCAGCCAATGCTAAGGATATTTACATAGACTATTATTGTACCAATAACACTTTAGCTTCAATGTATCATGGATCTGTAGCGTAGATAAGGAAGGAGACCAGCAACAAAATTAGAGGGTTCGAACCCATTGGGCAGGGTCGGATGTTTTTAATGAACTTTTTCGTATACTGATTAAAATGCGTCCGCTCTAAAAATTGTGGCATTTTAGTTGGTAAAAGTTTTACTCATTCAGTTTGGTTAATTTTGTTTTCAGTTTCGTCTTAGTGGCTTTTAAGTTTTTTATTTCGGCTAAGTTCCGTGCTTTTTTTTTCTGTTTAATCTCAAGTGCTGCGAAGCACTGTTCCACCTCAGTGTAAAATAGTTTTTAAATTTGCTGTCAAAATTGTTTTCGTGAAGTTACATTTTTCGGTAAATGCCAGTATATCAGGTTTGACATTGTTTTTTCTTCATGATGATCATGCCGTTTTTTGGTAGTTTAAAAGTGTCTTCGTGTCTTTTGGGATCGCAAATTGCCTTCCAAATAATATACTAATTTTTCATGTCAATGTTTCATTTTCTTCAATGTTTATATCAATTTCGTGAAACACAGCAAGTCAATTTTCCGCTTCGGCATGAGTTTGGTCGCTGAGCATTGCTAAATCAATTCATTTGAGCTTGATTTTCAATTAACTGTACTGGGAGTTGCTCTCTGAGGAGTTTTTTAATCCTTTTTTTATAATCTCTGCTATTTGTCGTTTCTGTTGAATTGTCGTTTTATTGGTTCAGTTAAGTGTTTATGAACGAAGTGATTGTCTTTTATTCAAGTCGGGTGTTTTGTTTTGGTTTTCTTGAGGAAAAGTCTTGAAATTTTTTCACACTCAAATTTGATTTTTGATTTATTTTCAATTTCATTTCAAAAACATTTACTAAAAGGAAGGAAAATTACGCTTTTCTGTACTCAGCCAGTAAATGCAAAGTTAGCTTATGCTGAATGTCTGCGGAAAACAAAAATTTGGCAAGTTAATTCAGTTCTGATAAAACGTATATTCCTTTTTGAACTTTTAACCCCAATTTAAAGGGTGTCAATGTTTTACCTTATTTGAACTGCCTCGCTCGAACAAGCCGTTGTTAAGCATATCTGTCTACAACTACGGAAATTTTAAAATAACAGTGTATAGTTCTCATATTTTACGCTTGCGATTAGCAAGCGTTATTAAATCGGAATGTAGACTTTTTTCGGGCTAACAATTAGCTTAACAAAATCAGTTGAATCACTTATTCAAGTTCAATTAGTACTGCTCATATAGGCGATTTTGTTGATGTTAGGGTACAATAACTAGGGTACCATATAGGCGATTTTGATCATGCTAGGGGACTTGAAGCTTTAATTTTTTTTTAAATCAGTTCTTTTTCGGCTAAACTGGTGTCTGCTCATAGGTTGTCGGCATTGTTTCCGTTTTGTAGGCGTTGTTCAGTTGCTAATTTGAGTTTCAAATGTCCTATTTGGCATGTTTTCCTGAAATTCTTGTTTGATAAAAACAGATGTTATGGAAATTTATAAGATTTGGTTTTTCATTTTGTTTGTCTTTGAGACGCTTTGGAAAACTACCGATTTTCAAAAAGGGTTACCCATAGAAAGATCTCTGGCAGCCTTGTGCGCCTGAATTCTCATCTGGTCTCTTTTCGTTTTTCTACAGCCTTAAAAGGTCTGTGGGGGAATATTTGGATATTTTTGATGTTTCTTTCGTTTTCTCTTAAGCTAACCTACCAAATCTGAGATCTTGGTTTCATTAAATAGTGCAGATTTGAACAGTTCCACTCTATGAGCGGCTACCAAAAACCTTTCTGACCGTTTTTTTTTAAAATCTTTGACCGTTTTTTGACCGTTTTTGAATCTTTTTGACTTCCACAAAACTAGTCTCCCAAATCTGAGGTTATGGGTTCAATGGAGATAAAGGGTATTGGGAATCTCACCTGCAATATCAGCCAGTCACCATTTTTTACACAAAAAGTTAACGTCCTCGTAAAAGACAATTTTTTGATTGTTTGAGAGTTTTTGTATAGATTTTTTGAATTTTACAACAAAAGACCCTGTCATATTTGAGATTTTGAGTTCAAGCAAAAGAATGAGTTGTGGAAAGCTCCTTTGCATACGCGATTACGACTCAAAATTTTTTGACGCTAAACATTATGGCTCTCGGAAAAATCAAACATTTGATTTTTTTTTACCGTTTTTGAAACTTCTTGACTTCTCTCGAAAACTATCCTGTCAAATCTGGCATCATAGGTTCAATCGACGCAACAGGTTGTCGGCATTGTTTCCGTTTTGTAGGCGTTGTTCAGTTGCTAATTTGAGTTTCAAATGTCCTATTTGGCATGTTTTCCTGAAATTCTTGTTTGATAAAAACAGATGTTATGGAAATTTATAAGATTTGGTTTTTCATTTTGTTTGTCTTTGAGACGCTTTGGAAAACTACCGATTTTCAAAAAGGGTTACCCATAGAAAGATCTCTGGCAGCCTTGTGCGCCTGAATTCTCATCTGGTCTCTTTTCGTTTTTCTACAGCCTTAAAAGGTCTGTGGGGGAATATTTGGATATTTTTGATGTTTCTTTCGTTTTCTCTTAAGCTAACCTACCAAATCTGAGATCTTGGTTTCATTAAATAGTGCAGATTTGAACAGTTCCACTATATGAGCGGCTACCAAAAACCTTTCTGACCGTTTTTTTTTTTAATCTTTGACCGTTTTTTGACCGTTTTTGAATCTTTTTGACTTCCACAAAACTAGTCTCCCAAATCTGAGGTTATGGGTTCAATGGAGATAAAGGGTATTGGGAATCTCACCTGCAATATCAGCCAGTCACCATTTTTTACACAAAAAGTTAACGTCCTCGTAAAAGACAATTTTTTGATTGTTTGAGAGTTTTTGTATAGATTTTTTGAATTTTACAACAAAAGACCCTGTCATATTTGAGATTTTGAGTTCAAGCAAAAGAATGAGTTGTGGAAAGCTCCTTTGCATACGCGATTACGACTCAAAATTTTTTGACGCTAAACATTATGGCTCTCGGAAAAATCAAACATTTGATTTTTTTTTACCGTTTTTGAAACTTCTTGACTTCTCTCGAAAACTATCCTGTCAAATCTGACATCATAGGTTCAATCGACGCAACAGGTTGTTGAAAGCTTAACTTAGTAGTTTGCTACGCGTAGTTTCTCTAAGAAAAAAGTTATGGCCTTCAAACAAGTGAAAATTTTGAAACTGACTGTTTTTGAATTTTTTGCCTCTACTTGAAAATTGCTGTGCCAATTCTCAGGTTGCGTAAATCGAAAAACCTGATTTGGGATTCTTCTCGTCTTTACCGGCCTTGACCGGTTTTTAAACAGACCTCTAGCAGAAAAAAAGTTACGGCCTTCAGAAAACCAAGTTTTTGAACTTTGACATTTTTCTGCAACTTTTTGATTTTCTTAAAAAGTACCCTATCTAATCTGAGATAAAAAGTTCAATCGAAAGAAGCGTTTGCGCGATTTTTTTTAGTTCAGAATCGGCTACTCTGTAGTTTGTGTTAGCAAAATGTTATGTTTTTGGGAAAATTCCAAAATCTCAAAAATTTTCACTCTTCTCACTTATTTTAGTAGAGAAACAACAAAGGTTTTGGGCATAGTCCAATTACTGAAATTACGCATTTCGAAAATTTTGGTCAACCTATTTTTTGTCATAATTGTCTTTTCGACTTTTTTGAAGATTGCGTTGTATTGCAAGTGTGTGAATTGGTCAGACCAAAAACTCAGTTTTTTTTTCAGATCGAGCCTTAAAGTGGACAAGAAAAAAGAGTACCTAGATGGCAAGGAACTTAAAGAAGCAGAAGTATATCTAGAGCTTACTTCGGGAGTCAACGGGGTCAAGAAGAACGATTTTGGATCGAAATCGGGTAAGACAGGGGAACAGTTCATGCGGCTGCTAGATGACCAATCAGAAAGTGACAATGAATTAGAAACAAGGTTAAACAAAAACGATAAAGAAGACGATGCTAGCTCAAGGTCATCACACGGCGAGGACTTTGGCGATGAGAACAATGAAAGTATACATATCAGATTTACAGACTGAATGGCCTTGAAACATATCTCATTTAAAAGGTGCACGCTGGCTTATTTGTTTGAAATATTAGTTTGTATTCTATTTGTATAGGTTAATTTTATTGTATTTGTGTTGGATTATTCTAATTGAAAGTTTCAAATTGTCATCATTGATCTAGGATAGAGATCTTTTCAAAGCATGAAAAAAAAGAATTTCTAGGATAAAATGAAATCGCTTCAAGAAATGAAAAACTGAATTTCTGATTTAAAAAACTCAAAGTTAAAATCATTAAATGAACTAATTGCCAATAATTTCATTCCATAGAGTTTTTGGCGGACTTCCCACCGTGCCAATAGTGTGCTTCTTCCAGAACCTATGATTAACTTAAAAGAAAAGTTGCATCTCTAATTTCATCGGAAGCAGTTCGTTTGACTTTTCCTAATAATTACCCTTGCAGTAAGTAAGGTTAGTAAAAAGCAGGTGGTTTTGTAGCAGTATTTAGACAACCGCGTATTCAGACTCGTCAGTAAGCAGACAAAAACTGTATCAACCAATTAGAATCGAAACAAGGAAGAATTTAATAAATAATAATTTTTTTTTTCGAAAGTTAGCTTTCTCATCTCGATTGTGATTGGTTAATATAGTATGTCTGCTTACTGACGAGTATGAATACGCGGTTGTCTAAATACAGACCGCACTCCAAAGCAGGTTCTAGACTTTCCCCGCAAGTAAATTTGTTCACAAGCACGCGAAATCAACATGCGGTTGTCCGTGTTCCCTGTCCCCTGGTATATATAATACACAAATATTCTAGTCAATTAGTAATTGTTTTCTCTTTGCTAGAGTATAGGTGGACAATTTACTGGAATGCTTCAATTTTTTTGGTCATCGTGGATGTTCGGTGCCTCCATTTTTAGTGCCTTATTTTTGCATTGTTTTCAATCTTGATATATATCTCCTTTTAGCTGGATTAATATTTGATTCCTTTTTTGCCCCTTTGTAAGAGTAGATGAAAATGACTTTTCTATAGGTCGCCATGATTTTTTCAAAGTTTTTTGAAGTTTTTTTTTCAGGAAAAGTTTTTAAGTTTGTTCAGGCTCAAATTCATTTTTTCGCCCTTTGGCTTTTGATTTCTTTGTAAGTTCAGTTCATTTCCTTTGTTAAAAGGAAGTCAAACTCGACTATCAAACAGCAAAAGATTAAAATTGATGAAAAACGTGATCAACTTCTATTTTCGAAAGTGGAATTTAATTTTAAGATTTCCCAGCCAAATGCAAAAATTTATCTATGCTCGTTTTTAAAATTGGATGAATTCTACCGTAAAAGTGACAATCGAAACTTAATCAAAAAATTCGAAGAGCTTTAAGCTCATCTATTTTTTTGTGGGAAATTCAAAAATTTAATTGTGTTCATTGGCTTTTTTCCAACTGCTTGCTGGCTATGTTTAACCGATTATTACACCGAAGACTTTAGTCAAGGTGTTATGGTATCGTGTAACGGGGTTTTTTTTTAATGTTGTCTGTTGTCAAGTGTCGACAAATAACGTCCACAGTTATCAATTATCATGTGGGCTGGACTATATCGCGCTATGTCACGTGATTGCGTATGTTTGTTTCTTTATTTGTTCATCTTTATTTATTTAATTATCTGTTCTTCTATTTATTTAATTATGTTTAGTTTGCTTATATTTATTTATAATTTATGTATGTACATATTTATTTTTGTTTATTTTTATCACGTGTTTTGTTTATTTATTTAATTATTCTTTCTTTCATTTAGTTTTGCTTTTATTATTTCTGCGTGTGTATTTATTTAATTAATTTATTTTCATTTATTTATATTATGGGTCTGTTTGTTTGGTTATTTGTTCATATATTTTTTTTCATGTCTATTTAATTATTTGTACATTTCACTTTTGCTTTTATTTATTTATTTATTTATTTGTTTATGTATTTATTTATTTATTTATGTATTGATTTATTTTTTTATTGCTTATTTATTTATCAGGTGTGTTTTGTTTATTTGTTGATATTTATTTCTATATTTATTTAATTATTCTTTCTTTCATTTAGTTTTGCTTTTATTATTTATGTATGTGTATTTATTTCATTTATTTATTTTCATTTATTCATATTATGGGTCTGTTTGTTTGGTTATTTGTTCATATATATTTTTTCATGTCTATTTAATTATTTGTACATTTCACTTTTGATTTTATTTATTTATATATTTATTTATTTATGTATTCATTTATGTATTTATTTATTTATTTATGTATTGATTTATTTTTTTATTGCTTATTTATTTATCAGGTGTGTTTTGTTTATTTGTTGATATTTATTTCTATATTTATTTAATTATTCTTTCTTTCATTTAGATTTGCTTTTATTATTTATGTATGTGTATTTATTTAATTCATTTACTTTCATTTATTTATATTATGGGTCTGTTTGTTTGGTTATTTGTTCATGAGATATATATTTTTTCATGTTAATTTAATTATTTGTACATTTCAGTTTTGCGTTTATTTATTTATTTATTTATTTATGTATGTATTTATTTATTTATGTATTGATTTATTTTTTTATTGTTTATTTATTTATCAGGTGTGTTTTGTTTATTCGTTGATATTTATTGCTATATTTATTTAATTATTTTCTTTCATTTAGTTTTGCTTTTATTTATTATTCATGTATGTATTTATTTATTCATTTATTTATTTATGTTTATTTATTTTTGGTTTGTTCGTTCATTTGTTGGTTTGTTCGTTCATTTATTTATTTATTTAGTTAGCGTCTTTGTTGTTTTTGATTGTGAAATTTGATGTTTTACTTCTTAGCTATGTAGTTAAAAGCAAAAAATGATTTTCAATTTATTGTTCTGTTTAGGATATTTTCAGAAAGATCTGTATATCACCAATTAGCGTACAACGATTTACAGGGAACGCTGCCAACGAGATTTGTCCACTTGCTTTTGGGTTGCAGCTACATCAAAAATGATTTTAAATTATTTATTTTAAAGATTTATCTATAGTTATAAACGAAGTAAGCCTGTCTGAGTTCTTTCTCGAGAACCCGTCCATTACGCTCGAGTTCACCCAAGGCGTTGTATCACGTTTACACACCGCCTATTAGTAGTACGCTTAAGACTGCTTTACACTTTCTGGATGTCTAGTTGTAGACAAATTTTTGTTATGTCTCTCAAATGTACTCAAATCGTTCAAATGTACCTTGTTATATTTTTGATTGACTAGCAGTAGATGAGTTCTTTGTGATAATTTTCTTTGAATCTTTTTTGAAATTTATCATTACTGCATTTTATTCATTCTCTTAGAGGGTCACAGTTGACAATGCAGGTCACGTCGAAGAGTACGAGCATTTTGGACTACGTGTTTTAAGAATTTACAATCTGTTTTAATGTACGACCAATAAATTTTACACCTTAATTCTTAAAAAAAAAACATTTTCAATTCTTCCCTTGCCATTCTGAACAGGTGGTTACAAAGTTTTAGCTAGTCACTGTATGATTTTCTGCCAGCAGCTCAACTGGTCTGTGTATACTTGTATTAGGTACACAGTTTTTTTTTCAACTGCTGTGTATACTTGTATTAGGTACACTGTAGTTTCAATCAATTGATCTGTGTATACTTGTATTAGGTACACAGTTATTCTATTTCAACTTTTGTGTATACTTGTATTAGGTACACTGTAGTTTCAATCAACTGGTCTGTGTATACTTGTATTAGGTACAGTTTTTTTTCAACTGCTGTGTATACTTGTATTAGGTACACTGTAGTTTCAATCAACTGATCTGTGTATACTTGTATTAGGTACACAGTTATTCTATTTCAACTTTTGTGTATTCTTGTATTAGGTACACTGTAGTTTCAATCAACTGGTCTGTGTATACTTGTATTAGGTACACAGTTTTTTTTCAACTGCTGTGTATACTTGTATTAGGTACACTGTAGTTTCAATCAACTGATCTGTGTATACTTGTATTAGGTACACAGTTTTTCTATTTCAACTGCTGTGTATACTTGTATTAGGTACACTGTAGTTTCAATCAACTGGTCTGTGTATACTTGTATTAGGTACACAGTTTTTTTTCAACTGCTGTGTATACTTGTATTAGGTACACTGTAGTTTCAATCAACTGGTCTGTGTATACTTGTATTAGGTACACAGTTTTTCTATTTTAACTGCTGTGTATACTTGTATTAGGTACACTGTAGTTTCAATCAACTGATCGTGTATACTTGTATTAGGTACACAGTTTCTTTAGTTTAACTGATCTGTGTATACTTGTAATAGGTACACTGTAGTTTCAATTAACTGGTCTGTGTATACTTGTATTAGGTGTAAAACAGGAGGCGTTTTGCTACACATACAAACACAATCTTTTGTATTTTATTATAGCTATAGAAATTGATCTACAATGCGTAAGTACGACATTTAGTTCTACGATTGTTATTTCAGGTCCTTTGTCAATATTTCAGGCTCTTTGTCAATATAGCAAAATTTTGGTGTATATATGTGTTAGTAAGATTTTTAGTTCTACAACGTTTATTCAGGCTCTTTGTCGATATAGCAAAATATTGGTGTATACATGTGTTAGTACGATTTTAGCTCTAGAATTGTTATTTCAGGCTCTTCGTCAATATAGCAATATTTTAGCGTATACATGTGTTAGTACCAGTTTTAGTTCTCGAACTGTTATTTTATGATCTATGTCAATATATCAAAATTTTAGTGTATACATGTGTTATTACGATTTTTAGTTCTCGAACTGTTATTTCATGATCTTTGTCAATATATCAAAATTTTATTGTATACATGTGTTAGTACCATTTTTAGTTCTCGAACTGTTATTCAATGATCTTTGTCAATATAGCAAAATTTTGGTGTATACATGTGTTAGTACGATTTTTAGCTCTAGAACTGTTATTCCATGATCTTTGTCAATATAGCAAAAATTTGACGTATACATGTGTTAGTACGATTTTTAGCTCTCGAACTGTTATTTCATGATCTTTGCCAATATAGCAAAATTTTGGTGTATACATGTGTTCGTACGATTTTTAGCTCACGAACTGTTATTTCAGGCTCTTTGTCAATATAGTAAAATTTTGG